AGTTTTGCTCTGAATTTCAAAGGTAAGTGTGTTTAGGAATAAAGGAATAACAAGAAGAATCAGGGTAAAAAAATTCCTCTTCTTCACTGAATAAATATAAAATAATATTTTAAAAAAAAAACAAAAGAGCACTGCGCAAATAAAACTTAAATAAGCCATAAAAAAGAATGAAATATTCTGAGTAGTACATGTGCAGAAAGTACATATTAAAGTAGCATAAGGGGAAATCCCTCACTTCACAAATTACATGTAATAAAAGCTTCCTTTAGTGAGTTTCGGGGGGAAACTCACATTTTATTTCCTTATGAAAATAAATTCATCAAATTAATTTCAAATACAGTCACAGAAAATTATGCCTAGTATTTGAGAATTAATGAGAGATTTTTAAATATAATACTAAAGAGAGGGAAAATATTCTTGACTTTTTTTTCTAATAGCCTGCAGATTTGACAGGTAAATGCAGGAACAGAGAATATTGAGTAGACATGTTATTCAAATACTGATAATTCATGAAAAGAGGACTACCATACATTTTGTCAACAATGGAAGCAAGACAACTCATTTTCTTCACCTTTCATTGCAATAGATTCAAGTGTAGAGTAAATATTGAAACTATTATTAACCCTGAAAAAGAATGTGCTTGGTAAAACATGCAAGATCTTTTAAAACATTTGGACTCCTCATTTGGGTAAAATTACTAAATGAGAATTGTTTTTTTCTTTACTATTTTGTGCAAATACGTAAATATACAGATTATTCTTTCATTCTCCTTCTTGCCAGTGAATTTTGCATGTCAACTTGACACAGTTTTCTGACCCTTTTTTCTGTTGGTGCATGGATCCATATATTTCAAAGAGAGGTAACTCTCTTTTGAACTTAATTTTGGGGACAGTAAAGGGGGGATCTTAAATTGTTACGATTGTTTTTCACCATTTTCTTTAAAATTAAGTTTTTAATAAGACATCAAAATTTTATTTTATGACTAATAGTTATCATTTCCACAATGACTGATTTCAGTCTAACCCCTAACTACAGTTAATTCTCGATAAACCGCCGCCTTCTGTAATTTAGAAATCATGGCGGTATAACGAATTTGGCGATGAATTGAATTTCTCATCTTTTAGAAAACAAGAAGAAGAGTTATCGTTCTTAGAAATACCATTTAGCGTTTCTATTCTTATTATTACATGTACATGTATATTAAAACATATTTCTGATTGAAAATACTTCAAGTAATTTTTTTAATGTACAATTTTGCTAAAACAAAATGTGTAGATATGAAATAAAGACAAATATTTGTATATGAATGTAAATCTGCACATTCGATATTGAAAAAAAAAACATACTGGGTCGATCGTCGTGATATATTGCCGATAATAAGTAAAATGAATTCTTGAATATGTTCATTGTTTATGGTATCATTGTTGATGGAACGTTCACAATTTATACCGTATAATTATTTTTTCCAGCAAACTTTGCACTGTTTAAAGCAGAGATCATCAAAATAATATCGTTATCGGCGAACTTTAACAACGACCGTGCGAAGCCATGAATAAATGATTATATTAAACAGAAAACAAAATTATTATAACAGTTCATGTTAAAATTATTGTTTATTTAATTCTTGTTTAATTACTTAATTGCATGTACCTTGTCTGCGTTTGCATGCTTTACAACAGGAATAGCGTCAACTAATTAGCCGCGCTTCACTGACCAGTGTCATGCACCTGTGGCGGTATATCGAGATAATTGACACTTAAAAATGGACGTTTGTTGTGAAAACAGGGTGGCGGATGGCGGTATGCGAATTTGGCATTATAAAGAGAATTTTATATAGCAGGAAAAACGTTCTTGGGAAATCATGGCGGTATTGCGAAAATGGCGATGAATCGAATGGCGATAATTCGAGAATTGACTGTATTAGGAATTATAACATGCATCAATATTTATCAGTAGGTCAAATATTATCTGCTTAGCATTCACACATTAAACCTACTAATAAGATATACTGTACATATGGTGTCTGTATTACAAATGGAAGTATTAATAGAACAACTGGTGGGATAACTTTTTACAAAGTCCTATGAATTGTATTGCAGTTTTCTGTCCAACTTTTCTATTGAATTTGCCATCAATATTAAAAAATATCAATTCATTCTTGATTCCATTCTTAAATTAGCCTTAAATGCTTATTTTTCCCCCTAGATACCACCATTTCATTGAGTATCTGTATTGCTGTTTGTACACAAAGAATGAGAATTATTTAAGTGATGACAGTGACAATAATATGTTGACAGTGCGACCATTAGGATGAGCACAGATACTTATTCAGTCTTAATTTAGATCAGGTTCATCAAATCGCACATGATATTTGGTGCCTCTATGATGTCATATGTAAGTTGAATTGCCAAACTAAATTCTGAAAAGTGCTACATTTCATTGAATTAAAAATCAAGGCAAGTTTTTTATTTATTGAACTCACGAGAATGTGATTTAAGAAGCAATGCATTATTGGTCCAGATGCTACTGCAGAAGAAAATTCATTTTGGAGCAATGTGCAAGTTTTAATTTCCTCTTTGCCCAGGCATTGACATTACAGCTCCCAGTCAGGCCAGTGTGAGTGCTGCTGCACTCGCCATTAGATGCATTGCATTCTTGTCCGTTGATGGTAATTTTAGGAGAATGGGCTTTTAAAATTATTACAAGGCTTTAAGAATCTTTCAAGAAAAGTCAGATGTATAATATTAAATTAATTTTAGGACAATAAAGCAAAACAAAGACATCCAGATAAGTTTTACTGCAGAAGATGGGAGGGATGATAAATCATGGTTGCAGCAACGGGGCAGACACCTTGCATCTTAGAAATTGACATAATTGTCTTTAATTACATCGGTGTAATCGTGTAGACATTTAAGCTTCATATAATAAATAAAGTAATGGCACTATAAGGCAATGACAGAAATGCACACCTGTAGGCAAAATACACCTGCAGCTGCTTCCTCATCGATTTTCTTACCTGGTTTTGACATGATGCCGGTTGTTCAGGTAAAATTTCCTGTCATGGTCCCTACTTTTTGCAGTCTGTGAGCCTTTGCATCATATTTGGCTTTAAACTATGGCTTTTTAAGACTCAAGTTCATAAAAATTTGCAGCTAATTCAACAAATTTCTTTTCTGCTCTTCGAAAAATGTTTATTCTGGAAACGAGGCTCGAGCCATTTATTTTGTTAATCCATACTAAAAAGTATTCGTATTAGCATTATTAGTCGCTCCCTATATATATTTACTACATAATAATACAGTATATGACTAAAGTGATAAACTATTGCTATATACTTTTCATAAATGACTGACAAATGTTTTGAAACGTTATTTCATAGACAAGTGTCTCTGATACCTACTCACTTTTTAAGAATTTGGATGGAATTAGGATTAAAGATTATAGTTTTTTTTTGTATTAAAAAAAAATGCGTTTCAATTTATCATACTTATTGGAAAAAAATGAAATGGTTCCTCAATTATGGCTATAGTTAAATAATACATGTAGTTTAAAACGGATTTTTAAATACCTCCTTCCTTTAGAGGATTTTAAAATTTTATTGTTTTTCGAGTATTTTAAAAAAGGACAAATATTAATTAAATCATTCCCTTATAGATATTTCTGAAAATTTTCTGCTGCATCATTTTGATTAATATCAAACCTTTACTTGCTTGATCCTTTTTACTTTGATTTTCGCGTGACAATCAAAATAAAAAGGAGCAGTGAAGGTTTAATTGTTTTTTATCAGATTGCTGCTGCATAGAGGCACAATTAGTACCCATCGGGATAACAACAGTTTGTAGAAAGATTAATAAATGATAAAGTGGTGTCAATGAGGAATTTGAGCATCTTTTTAATTATGAATACCAACATCAGCTAGAGTAATTTTCTAAAGAATCAGAGCGATTTTTAACAAAATAGTTTTATTTGTTGGTTATACATCAAATATTTAAATTACGAAAATTTCAAAAATATTATGAAGCAGCTGTCGATGATATTACCACAGGAGTTCGCGTACCTATCAATTTTACCGAATTTTTCAGTAAATTAAAAAAAAGCGTAATACTTATAATAATAACATTATTGTAAGTACACTTAATCTCGTATTTTTTTTTTCAATTATATAGCTTTCAAAAGTTTTTGGTTATAAATCAAAATTACGAAAATTTCAACAATATAGAAGAAGCAGCTGTCGATGATGCGTGTATTAAAAAAAGTTTTATATTCAGTTATTTATCGAGAGGAATTGTTGTCTAAAGTTGTAGAAAAGTCGTACCTTTTGATGTTACTGACTTTAGCAAAATTTTAACGATTTTAACTCGAATTTTGTTTCATAAATCATCTTAAAATTTGGAACATTTCAGAAAAAAATTGTATGAGGGGTGGGGGTTAGGGGGATGGCTAGGTTGGGCATTTGCTGGATCATGTTATCATTAAATATGTAAATGTTTCAAAGAAGTAATTCAGTTGGGGTTGGGTTGGAGTAAAACTTATTCTTTAGTTGGGGGCATTAACAACTATCAAAAATTCATTGACAGGCAAAAAGTAATGATTATAACATAAAAATGCAGCAGACGTTATTATGGAGGGGCACCTGTAGATCTATATATGGTAGAGGCTGCTTTGTGTTATTTCTATATTAATCTATGTATATTGGCAAAATTATTGGAGGCATCCCCCGTGCCCTCCCCGGTCACTACGACCACGATAACTATGCTATAACATGTATATTTATAGTGATTATCCCCCTCCCCCTTTCTGGCAGTGTATAGGTTACGTCGAATTGGCTTTCGTACAACTTATTTTTTAACAAGTTTGAACATTTAAACCATATGTCTATTTGTATAATAATTTTCAGTAAACAGCTAAAAAAAGGTGAAAAACCAAATTGTAATTCAATTAAAATAAAAACTTAAAAAAATAATATTTCAAAATCTATTTGCTGCGGAGTAGCTAAAAAGATTCAAGATGTCGCTCAAACAGGCAGTTCACGAAAGTAGGCTGATGTTTTCACCGTATTTAATGTTCTTTAAAAGAAAGATTTAGATAAAGTGCGGTTGGAAGCTTAATATTTAAGAGTAGTGCTTTATTTCTAATAGTTTATGTGAAAAGGGGTGCACCCATGTGTTGCAAACTAATGCAGTTTTTCGGAAATGTCAACTTAATATTTATAAGCCTTCCTGCGATCGATATTGCCAAATTTTTTACTCTTATTACGCATAATTTGTAAAGGCGATAGTATGATGGTTTGAAATTCAAATACAATAAACAGACGGATAAATAAATAATACAAATACCAGATAAAATCGAGCGAGTGAAAAATAATTGCAAGGATCTCCTATAAGTTCGAGTTTCCTCTATCCAACTTCCCCTCCCACTTACACTTGCAAAATTTATTTACTTAGATTTATGCCAGTATAAAAAATTCTATAAGTTACTAAATAAAATTATCAATGTTTGTAAATTGAATAATTCTTGTGGATTTTGCAACTGTTATATTCAGTAGACTGTTGTTTACATTTACTTTACAATAACAGAATATCTGATATACATTTTATGAAATTTTAACAGAAGGTGTAATTAAGTGTAACATAGACATTAATCTGCCTCCACCTTGGATTGAACGCAAAGGGGAATAACTTTTGTAAATGTGAAAGTCGTCTATAATGGAATAACTTTAAACATTTCATGAAATTTTAACAGAAGGTGTGATTAAAAAATGTAACATAGACATTAATCTAATCAGTTCCAATTTCATCTGTTTTTTAACATTAGTATATTGTTTAAGATAATAAATGAGGAGACATTGCATAAAGCAGAGCCAATTTTTTTACATCTGTTTTTTGCACACAATATCAGGATTAAAATATTTGTCAGAAAACAATATATTTAGGAAATACCGAAGTATTTACTTGTTAATCTTTATGTTTCAGAGATTATGTCAGATGTTGTCCAAGCGGTGAAAAAGAACGGAGAATGGAAAGTGATGATTGTAGATCAGCTGAGTATGAGGATGATATCAGCATGCTGCAAGATGCACGAGATTATGTCAGAGGGAATAACATGCAAGTTTATTTTTTATGGCGTCGGGCTTGTTCAAGTACAGGTTTACGCGACCGCACGTGTCAGTGGATGCCCCAATAGAAAATAGCAACAATTCCACACAATATAAAATTAAATCAATTGATTACTAACATATATTTGTTTAATTTTTACAGAAAAAATGGTTGTTGCGGATTTAAGAAAATGACATGAATCACATTTTGGGACCGTATTTAATGCAAACAATTGTAAAATAATTACAAAATAAACACGAATACAACAAGACTATAAAGATTGAATTTCTTAATCTTAGAGATTTTAATCCAATTTTAGTACGATATTGATGCCAGTTGTCCAATTTGTTTACCGCGCCTTAGTAAGTCGATCGTACTTGTAACATTAGAGTCATGGTTGTAGAATGGAAAGTGATGGCAATTAATTAAAATAATTTATGAAACCCTTCAGCTGATTATGAGGATGATATATAGACATTTCAGCATGCTGCAAGATGCACGAGGACACAAGGCTATCATGTATTTGTGTTAAGACTTTTTTTTTAAATTTTATTATTATGTTAGGGAATAACATGAAATTGTTTTTCAAGTTTATTTTTTCTTAATCTAATGGAGATTAAAAGTGTTCTTTGTCTTTATTTTTTTAAAATGCAATATTGCGTGAAAAGGAGAGGTGGACTTTAATATTAATTCTTTTAAATAGTTTTATCATTTATGCTTTAATAGAACTCATTCAGGAACTCAAATTATTTTAAGTGTATCTCTTGAATGTGAGGTTTGGAGCATTTTATAAAATTCAAGAAATGAATAGCTATTGCTCTCTATTGCAGCTAAGGTTGATTAAAACTCTTAAGCATTCTTATTAAAACAGTTTAATAAAAAAAATTGTATCCAAATTGACCAAATACATGTCCGTGTGTTTGACATATTAAGGTAAAATACTCTATGAACTTGCAATAAATTATTTTTTTTAAATATGCAGTGGTTGAAGATATAAATAAGAGAAGAGAAAGACTGCCTAAGCTGGATGCTGTTTATTTGATAACACCAACAGATAAGGTAAGGAAATGAAGTTCTATACATCAAATTCATTTTTTGAGAATATTTATACAGACTGTGTCAGTGAGAAAAAAAAATCTTTTCAACAATCCAAAAAACTGTCTCTCAACTTACTTCATAGAGAGGGTTAAAATTTATACATTCAATGATAGTTCTTACTGTGTGTAGAACTATTGTCCTGCAACCTGATGTATTTTACAGTTAAATGCATATTGAGGGATGTTAAAGGAATCAATAGCATGCACAAACTTTTCTTCTCCTCTTTTAGTCGGTTAATTTACTGAAGCAAGATTTTAGCCACCCCACCAACACCCAGTATAGGTCAGCACATGTTTACTTTACAGAAGGTGAGTTAGAGGAAACAGTCATTAATCCAAAAAGATTAACTGATGAAAGAATTCTAGACTTTTTTGGAAAAAGGATTATGTGTCGGTTTATTCTTTTGACTTAATATGAAATAAAAGTTATCTAAATTTTTTAAAAATTACATTTTGTTTCTAGCCTGTCCAGATGTTCTTTTCAATGAATTGTGCAAGTCAACAGCTGCTAAATACATAAAAACTCTTAAGGAAATTAACATAGCTTTTCTCCCATATGAATCACAGGTAAGCATATACCGTAATTTCGGGATTATAGGTCGATGGGGTATATAGGTCGGAAGGCTCATTTTCAGCCTTAATTTTTGAAAAATCCTAAGATAGGACGAACTTACTATATAGGACAAGGGTTTGTTTCCCGTTTTCTAAAGATTCTTACGCAGATACAACGTATCGGAACAGATAAACCCCTAAAATTACCGGGGTTATTCCGTGACATGAACGTATCAAGAAAATAAACAGGTATTTTAATGAGTACAGCATTTAAATAAAGTTTTTAAAAAAATGTAGTTAAAACTTCTTTAAATTGTGTTACTTATTTTTCTCCAACTTGCCTGTTCAATGCCTCCGTAGTTTCACACTGTTGTTAAATCAGAGGCAGAAATAACACGTAAATACGTTATTATATTACAGCTATAATTCGGGAAATACCCGATACCAAAGAATAGTAATTCCGATTTCAGAACAACTTAGACACATTGCTAATAATTTTTATTCAGACATTATTTACCGGTGGACGACAATTACTAGTTCTTCGATGTCCGCCATTTTTATTTTTCTTCTCCAGGGATTTGCTAAAACACGCAAATGACCATTGAATGTATATATCAAGCAACAGTAAAGAATTGAAATCATATTAACACTCCATAAGTTTAATTTATAAATTTAATTGAGAGTACATTCACAATTTGACTGTCAACATGAATTTCACGGCTTTGATTGTTCAATGATATGTAACACTAATACCCTATAACGGAACGTGGGTCAGTGATTGGGAAGGCCAATATGGTAAATGAGACTATGGTGCAACTGTCAACATTTTTGATGGGCCATTTCGAAAATAAATGGGCCATCAGTATAATCTGAAGAACCATTTTAATAAATAACAAAGTGACAAATATGAAATACGAGAGAAAACACGTTTTTAATTAACCGAATCCAACTTTTAACGCATGAAATGCAGCAAATTTAAAGGCATTTGCTTAGAATATAACTGACCCGTATTTTGTGTTAAAATTACAACAGTTTTGGAAAGGGAACAGCCCTACCATACAAATGAATGAAGTATTGTACCTCATGTAAGTGCGTTTAACCAGAAGTACTTTTTGACAGGTTTCAACCAATGAGATTTGTTGTTTCAAATTGACTGCATTTAAAACGAAAGTAAAACAAGAAAGAAAGTCGTATGCAAAATATTTCCAAATAACATCACTAAAAATTGAATGCGCGCTTGGCGCCATGATTGATTGATTTAATGTGCTATTTTTCACTTCATTGCGACTATGGCGCATGGTGCAAGCCCTTCCCAATCACTGGTGGGTTTCTGAATCATGCCCCGCAGGCATTTAAACTAACACAGGTGTTAACACAGTGTAAATCCCTTTATCTGTCAGACAATTAAAATTCTGTTAGAAACCAATCTTTGTATCGGTATATTCAAGATAAGTTTGTTTGACCGGTATTATAATTAATTAAATTTTTAAAAAAACGGTAATGAATAGCGTTTTTTTTGGGGGGGGGTAATTAAATGTAGGAATTGAATGGCAACAAATTATTTCACTCATTTTATATTTAAATAAACATAAAACAATAAAAAATGTTTAATATACTATTTCAATTTATCACTACTAATAAATGATAAAAACACTACAGTTGTGATCGTGAAAAATTTCCTTATTTTAAATTTTGATACAGTTGCGGTTTTACTTTTAGTACACGATCGCGACTTCCTAACTTCACAAGATGGATACCGCATGATGTTAATGGATAATACGTTGAGGAATTATTTAATAGATGAAGCAATGTTGTTTTCCTTTGTCATCAACGGATAATTAATGGAATTTATTTTGTAAGAAAGCTATAGAATAAATATTTTATTGTTTACTGGGGCATTGATTTTTTTCCGAAAAATAATCAAAAAAGTTACGAAAGTGGCATGGCACAAATTTGCTTTGAAATTGAGGTAAATTTTACAGATCAGGGGGCATTTTTCATAAACTTGAGCCTTAAATAGGTCGAATTCTGTATTGGTCGACCCCAGCGGTTCTGAGAAAAAGAAGTATCAACCTATATTCCGTAAATTACGGTACTCAGTACCTATTCTAAATTTATTTGTCTTCTTACTTCATGAAATTAGAACTAAAGTTTGTAGTTTTTCCTTTTCTATTGATTGAACCAATAGACGGTGGTAGAGAAAATCATTCGGAATATTAATTCATGATTATTCAGTCAACAAATAGCAGCATACATGTATTAAAAGATAAAACTATAGTTATGGAACGTTACATATACATTTCCAAATTTGAATATACATTTAGATTCGTCTAAAGTTCATTTTTATCAAATATGGGTAGAGTTTTGTCTCTAGTTTAAAGAAGTTATAATTAGAATAGTTCTTAGAATTTGTCTGTTGACATAAGGCATGGTTTGTACTGTAATCATTTCATCTTGTCCTCTGTGTTCAGTCTGTAAATTCCTTGGATCCACTCTTCCACCATTGTGACTTGTAGGTCTATCACCTGGATTCTGCGGAGACATTCCAGTATTATTATAATCCTCTCAGACAGTCCGGGAGGACCATGAACCTAGAACGCTGTGCTGAACAGATAGCTACGCTGTGTGCCACACTCGGAGAGTACCCCAGTGTCAGATATAGAAGGTGGGTTTGTCAAAAATTGTGTTCAGTTTTAATTTTTGTTTCAGGTTTATTTTTTAAGGGTATGAAGCTAACATGTAAATGAGCAATCACATTGACTTCACTTAGCAAATTGATAGAGCAATGTTGTATTCAAAATGAAAGTAGCTCTTCATGACTGTTGCTGCTTTTCTGCAAAAAAAAAAAATATTCCTTCAAATTTTTATAGAACTTGAATAAAAGGAAAAGGGGGAAAAAAAGGTTTGAGTAAAATAAATAAGTTATCGTTCAAATTTTTAGCTTTGTTGTCATTATTTTTACATGTGTTAGCTAAATGAAAAGCTGAACAATCGAAATTATTTGGACAATGAATAAGCAAGCATCATCTCCAGCTTACAAACATTCAACCTTGTTCAGTTCATGACTTAGAGGATATTGTAAATCTCCAGTTCTCATCATGCCATTACATTCCTTTACAGTGACTTTGACAGGAATGCAGAGTTTGCTCAGATGGTACAGCAGAAGCTGGATGCCTACAGAGCTGACGATCACACCATGGGAGAGGTAGGGCTGTTTGGAGGAATATATTGTAGAATTTACATGTAATTCAGACATATAAGTTGCTCTTTATATGGATATAATGGTTTGTTATGAAATGCATCAATTAGGTGAAATAACCACACACCTGAGGGTTCTTTCTGCAATACTAAAATAATGCATTGTTTAAATTAATTAAAATAATACATGGAAGCATTGATACTTTTGGAGATATTCAAGTTTTGTAGAAATAGCTTTACTTGAATTTCCATATTTACAATATTTTTACTTTCATAATTGTTCAAACTCTGTTTAATTTTTACTTAAGAAATGTTGGTTCATACATATTTTTTTCCATTGTATTCTTAAAATATATTTTCATTTCAAATGTTTTGAGGTTTAACTGCATAAATTCATATCCTGAATTTTAATTTAACAGGGACCACAAAAGGACCGATCTCAGCTTCTAATTATAGACCGAGGATTTGATCCAATCTCCCCTCTACTTCATGAACTGACATTTCAGGCCATGGCTTATGATCTTTTACCAATTATTAACGATGTTTATAAGTAAGTTTTTTTGAACATATCCAATTCTTATAAATGTTCAGTGCTATTAATCACCTTCTTTAGTTTACAATTAGTCAACATGAAGTGCCACGAGAGAAGTTGAGAATAAACAAGACATATTAAGGAAAATGATTTCTCAGCAAGAGTTGTCACCCTTTGTAAGAGTTTACTATTTATCTATGTCTGTGTATGATTATACATGTAAACTCTAATAGTTTTATACGTTATGTTCTCTATAGGTATGATAATACAAGTGGTGAAATTCACGAGAAAGAGGCTCTCCTTGATGAAAATGACGAGTTATGGGTCGGTCTGAGACATCAGCACATCGCAATTGTATCACAGTAAGTCAGACATAGAATTCATCCACTTCTTGTCCTCAGTATATATATATATTGAAATCTGATGTTTTGAATAAATTGATACATGTTTTCTACAATTTATTCACTTCTTGTCCTCAGTATATTAAAATCTGATGTTTTCAATAAATTGATACATATTTTCCTTTTTTCTTTAAAAAGGCAAGTCACAAAGCAATTAAAACAATTCGCACAAGACAAACGGATGAATGACGGGGAGAAGGCTAACATTCGAGATCTGTCGCAGATGTTGAAGAAGATGCCTCAGTATCAGAAGGAACTCAGTAAATACTCCACACACCTCCACCTGGCAGAGGACTGCATGAACAAATACCAGAAACACGTAGATCGACTGTGTAAAGTGGAACAGGTGAGGGGATATGTTTATACTCTGAACTCAAATTGTATGAGCTGATTAGGACAGGCAGTATTTTTTTACCCATGTTACATGTTGGTCAACCAGTAAAGATTTTCATACCAGGTTATCATTGTTACTAAGCTGTAGATTACACAGTATCATAAAAAACAAGCTTATTTCTTTATTGTAACAGTAAACATGTGATGAATTGAAAAGTGTTTTGTAACATCAAAAATCTTAATGAAATCGTATTTCGCAGGCTGAAAATTACTTATGAATATTTTAATTTACTACATCCTGAAACCATTAGTCAGATAGTTGTAATGAGCTGATGTTTATTATTTTAGGACCTGGCCATGGGAACAGATCCTGAGGGGGAGAAGATCAAGGATCACATGAGAAACATTGTACCAATTCTTCTAGACCAGAACATTATGGCTTACGACAAAGTCCGCATCATTCTGCTCTACGTCATCCACAAAGGAGGTACGATCCTTCTGGACAAGCTAAGTTTAGGTGTAGTTAGATGTTACACAAACACCAATGCATATTATATATATTGTATTGCATTTACCGTAATTTTCGGATAATAGGTCGATACTTTTTTTCTCAGAACCGCTGGGGTCGCCCAGTATACGAATTCGACCTTTCTAAGGCTCAAGTTTACGACAAAATCAATAAAATTTACATCAATTTCAAAGCAAATCTGTGCCACTTTCATATTTTTTCATTATTTTATGCAGAAAAAGTAATGCCCATATTTATTCTATAGCTTTCTTACAAAATAAATTCCATTAATTATCCGTTGATGACAAAGGAAAACAACATTGCTTCATCTATTAAATAATTCCTCAACGTATTATCCATTAACATCATGCGGTATCCATCTTGTGAAGTAAGGAAGTCGCTACCGTTTACTAAAAGTAAAACCGCAACCGTATCAAAATTTTAAATACGGAAAAATTTTCAAGATCACAACTGTAATGTTTTTACCATTTATTAGTAGCGATATATTGAAATAGTATATTAAATATTTTTTATTGTCTTAAGCAAAGAATTAGCAATAAATACGGATGACAGAAATATAATTTACATTGAATTACCGGCATACAAAGATTGGCTTCTATTTTAATTGTCTGAAAGATAAAGGGATTCACTGTGTACACAAAGGTGTAACACCTGTGTTCAGTATTTAAACAAACCCACGTGCCGTTATAGGGTATTAGTGTTACACATCATTGAACAAACAAAGCCATGAAATTCATGTTGACAGTCAAATTGTGAATGTACTCTCAATTAAATTTATAAATTAAACTTATTAGAGTGTTGATATGATTTCAGTTCTTTACTGTTGCTTGATACATACATTCAATGGTCATTGCGTGTTTTAGCGAATCCCTGGAGAAGAAAAATAAAAATGGCGGACATCAAAGTAATTGTCGTCCACCGGTAAATAATGTCTGAATAAAGTTAACAGGAATTGTGTCCAAGTTGTTCTGAAATCGGAATTACTATTCTTTGGTCTCGGGTATTTCCCGAATATTATAGCTGTAAAATAATAATGTATTTACGTGTTATTTATGCCTTTGATTTAACAACGGTGTGAAACTACGGAGGCATGATTGGAAAAAAATAAGTCAAAAAAGTTTTAACTACTTTAAAAAAAAAACTTTATTTAAATTCTGTAATTAAAATACCTGTTTAATTTTATACATTTATGTCATAACCCCGGTAATTCTAGGGGTTTAATATTGTATCTGCGTAAGAATCTTTAGAAAACGGGAAACAAAGCCTCATCCTATATAGTAATTCGTCCTATCTTAGGATTTTTCAAAAATTAAGGCTGAAAATGAGCCTTTCGACCTATATACCTCATCGACCTATAACCCAAAAATTACGGTATATGTGATAAGATTTTATTCTTTTCCATCTGATATTTAAAAATTCAGTTGAACTTCTGTATTTTGAGCTCTGATATCTTGAATAGCCAATATCATGATGTCATAATCCCAACGACATATTCTTTATATTTTTTTCAACATTTTATCCCATCAGGTTCGAAACGTTCATAATTAATCTTATATTTTTTTCAACATCTTTTAAAATCATAATTGTTAATATAAGGATATTGTGTAAAAGAAGATGATTAATGTTTCTGTTAGCTTTGGCTCAATAACCAAGCAGTAATTTAATATATTAGAATAATTTTTACAGGAATAACAGAGGAAAACCTGGCTAAGCTAGTGCAACATGCCCAGATTCCTATGGATGTGAAGTGTATCATAAATAACATGCAGAACCTGGGTGTCCCCATCATTCAGGATGTAAGTAGCCTGAGGAAATGTCTTACTACTGTAGTGTAGATGTAGGTGTCTTGAAATGAAGGTGGGTTTTTTATTGGGTGGTACACATTTAGCACACTCTGTACAATTTCATGACTCAAATTTGTTAATTTTCTGTGTTAAGTTTCATTTTAAAATTCTTGCACTTTTCACATATTTTGTATATAAAGTCTTCTCTTCCCAATTTTTAAACCTTTTGAAAATTATTCTTTTATTAAGTTCTTAAGCATTCATTCTACCAATCATTGATGTGTTGTTTGAAAAAAAAAGGTGCAAAAAGAATATCCAAGGATTTGTTAAAGTTAAGCACTTATCATGACGGAAGGTTCACATTTTTTTTTGTACCTGAGATTTAATTCATATTAAGATCTCATGAACATTTGCATGCCTCAGCCACAAGGTAACAAAACGTTTAGTGTGGGATTAATCGAGGATTATGGGACTTTTCAGGTGAGAGCAGGATTCAATGTGTCTAGACTCTGCTCACAGCTCAGTTGTCGCCCTTTTTCAAATTTCTGTTGCCGCATTGATCTGTATTGCTGCCATGATGTATAATTATCTTAGATAATCTTGTTTTCATAAAAAATTATTAAATTTTCGTTTTAAAAAAAGTTGACTTTTTCTTAGAATTAGCATAAATACCATGGGTTAAAGTATTTTATTTTGGGGAAATCAAATATCGTCATCTCAAGTTATGGAACTGAAATGTGTGCACAGAAAGGACTTTTTCGTCTTTTTTCTTTCTTTTTTTTTTAATTGGCTGTTGCTCGGTGAATGGGGTTCTAATGGTAGAATTTTTTTGATTGATAGCAGTGAAAAATTCCCGATGTTCCTCTGTTTTTTCATCACAGTAGACTAGATTTTGTTAAACAACACAGATATTTTTTTCACTATTCCCTGTACTGTCAGAACTTTTAATTATTATGTCTTGTAGAATTGAATTTTAATTGTTTAGTGACCTTTAAAACTAAATTTGTTATTAATATTAGAATTACTACACATATTTCTGTCTACCTTCAAATAGTGAATCACAGTAATTTTTGTCAGCCATTTATGTTTTTTATCCACCTTTTTATAGATAGTTGAAACAGAAAAGAAAGACATAAAAAATAAGTTGAAAAAGGCCCTGGTACCGGTATGTGAAGAGAATCATTCCGTCTGCCGTGTGATCCCAAACTTCCCTGTTACTAACACTGGGTCCACAAATTAACTGCATCAAAGTCCTGTTTCTTTTAGGTCTTTTAAAAGGATTTTATAAGCCATTTGCTGTTTATTTCAACATGAATTTCTTCTCCTTTTTGGGGGGCAAACATTGCAAAGTAACTCCTTTGCATGCAAACCTTTGATGATCTATCTTCTTAAAAATTCTTTGAAATCTAGAACTCTGATCTCCCTTTAGAATAATATTGCTGTTTTTTGAAGTTTAATCCAGTATTCAACTTTAGTTGAAGTTGACAACATTGGCAAAAATGCAATGGAATAAGGATTCATGATGCAGTTTATTTAACAAATTAAATAACAAAATATCAAACCCTAATACATTAATAATGCAACGAGGTGAAATAGATTTATTCTAGTTGATTATACATATATATCGCATACACTGGGAACATAGTGTTTTCATGCATATAGGGCTTCTTATTGCTATGCCACAGTCTATGGTTACTGTTGTACAAGGTAATGTTATGGGTAGAATGCAAGAAAAGTAACATATCTGGTAGACTGCAAGAATGTTTTGTGTTTTAATTTTTGTCACTGAGTTTTGAAGATGACATATTTTTTTCATCATTCACATCTGTTACTGTAGATTCCTTATTTTTTGCGAGTACTTATTATTGCAAAATACCTCTTTAACGTCAAATCGCAAGAATAATATTTTCGCGAATTTACATGGATTTTAACACCATAAAAATAAAAGCAAGTGATATTTTGCGAGTGATGTTTCTAGCGAAATTACAGGGAAAATAATTCCCCATGTATGATTAGGAATCTACAGTATTGTGTAGTGTCCATAAGTCTTATATCGACAATTTCAGTTTCTTCTCCGAACAATTGAACCATTCAAATTAATTTATAGCATCTTTTGGTGAAGGAGAAAAAAAAAATGTTATTTGTGACAATGTCATCACATGTTGTCTGCTGATGAAAGGGTCTACCAATGCAATGATTCAATGTCTTTGTTCTTTGGAAGAAAATGACTAAGTATTAAAATATTCAGCTTGCTATAATTCGGGATCAGAGAAAGATTGAACTTTAAAAAAAGAAAATTACCATTATGAAAAGCTGTGATCATGAACTTCTCTTGAGCTCATTTTAACAAGATCAAAATTCCTAGATTGATTGTAGTTTTTCATCCCTTACAAGATAATTTTACTCATACAAGCCATCACGAGATGCCAGTGTAGGACAACTTATTTAGTCATTCTCAGTTTGAACTGCAAGGCCTCTTCTATGTTACAATGCCTGCGTAGACATGGTTCTCATTCTTTATTAAAAGTTTCGTCTGGTTAACATCATTCACTTCAGAGCTCTGAGGACTAGGTTAAAAAAACATGACAACTATTTTTAATTGAATTGTATTCTTTTTATCAAAACTTCAGATAGAGCAAAAACGTGAATATTTTAGGCAACCAACATGAAAAACTTATGTTATAGAGGTTCGGGTGACAGTCAAGGCCCATCGGCCTCTTTTTATACTTTGTCTATTATTTGAAAGCAGGTGAGTAATATACTAACATAGCAATTAAATTATTGCTCACTTCACAAGATCATATACGTGTTTAGACACTGCAATGAGAGATCATTTATTTTCAGTTCACCAATTGTTGCATGGAAGTAGATACGCAGAATGCAGATTTCTTCCCTTGGATCTTAATCATTCTCAAAAAATTTTTTAGCTTTGGATTTGTTTGTTTGTTTTTTTTTTTTACAGATTTCTTTCACTTTGGAAAAAAACCTTGATCTTTATTTCCCAAATTTGAATGGATGCAGGATCTTTAATTTCAAATACATGTGTTTGATTGGATGTTACTTTTCTGGTGACTGAAATCTTCAAAAATTCTCCCAATTTTTGGCTGTGGATATCTTACTATTGAAGGGCTGCCTAGTTTTGTTGAAATAATGCACTATCCATGCTTTTAATAAGACTCATAGGGAAGCATTTGTCTTGCCTGTTTAGTATTTTTGATGGGTTTATTTGGTGTAGAAATCCTTACAGCATGAGTTATGTTAGGCCTGGTGACCATTGTGAAACCATAGGATGCTTCTGTGTGTTAAGATTAGTGCATTGTCTCACAAGAAAGAAGTCTGGAAATTTGTGAAATTTTAATTTTTAATGAAGATTTTGAAGTTAATTTAATATTCTCTTTTTTTCAAATTGTTTTGATAAATTAAAATCACAGTAAGACTTGTAATTTGACAGGGAGGAAGGAAGAAGTCCCAGCCCTACCAACCATTTAACAGGAAAACCAAGATTGCGGAGAACACATACCAAATGTCCCGCTGGACTCCCTATGTCAAGGACATCATGGAGGTAGGTCATCACTGAATCCAGATTGGGATCAGGCTCTGGGGTCATAAGACTTAAACAAGCTCACTTTTGATCTCAGTCTCACTTTCCCATGATAAATTCCTTAGAAGTTAGCTCATCTAAGTTTTATGGCCTTCAGACCAGGGTTTAAAAACATTGCCACATAGGCATTTCCAATTTTTTGAATTTTGGTTATATTGAATGGAAATTAAATTCAGTAAATCCAAAATAGGCTTTATTGACATCAAACAAGAGGATGATTCATGTATTTTGATAATCTGAAACAAACTTAACTGACAGTTTTTCTAATAAAGTTTTTTTTTTTCAAAAGTCACTTGGTGAACACTAAATGTTGAATTTTCTATTACATGTAGTCCCTTCTTTAAGACAGATGTATTCAACATAAAAAACTTGTGTTAAGAAACTGATTCGCTATGCAATGGGACAAGCACCCTTTAGATTAATGCTATGCATTTTCTAAAATATCCAATTATACTAAAAGGAGAAAAATTATTTTGTATTCCCAGGAGGCTGTAGACGATAAGCTGGACTCCAGACAATTTCCCTTCTTGTCAGGCGGGGCCCCAAGATCTGCGGGGGGATACAGAGGGCCACCAATCAGGTAAACAATATATATCAGGCATTGAAACAAAATCCCGCATCAGTGGAAATTTTAGCTAGACACAAAGCATTTTCCCCTAAGAATTGGTACATGTACCTGGGTATTTTATATTTAGCAGGATGTAATTTATCAATTTTAAAATGATCTCTAAAGAAGCTAGTTCACATAAAACACAATGAATTTTTAACCATATCTGATGTTAGGAACCTCAGCACCCTTGCTAAGAATGCAAAAATTAAATCCTCACTAAAAATTAAACTTGTATTGCCTCTGTTTGCTTTCTTAATGGACCCAAATTTATAGCACTTACTCAATTGTAATTTTTTAAATGCTTTTTTTATGAAGATCAAATTTTTTTTATGATTGATTGAATTATGAAAATTCCAACTTTAAACTTTGTTCACTGTCATGCTATAAGGTAGGGATTGCTAATTGATTAACCGCAAGATGTTCCGGCTGATGAAGCAACTAGATATATCTACATACACATTTTCCTGACATTCTTTTTCAAGTAAATCTATCCATATACACATCAATGAATAATTAAAAAAATCAATTTAAAAAAAGGCATTTGTTGTATTCCATTTATGCTTGATCTGTAACAGTTGACAAATGTATTTCAATTTCAAAAGGAAAAACCATGAAAATCCCAAAACATATATGACATTGACAATTTTTTCTAGACCAAATGTGCCAAGGTCATTCTGTTTTTTCACTCTAAACTCTGAATAGATACACAGTCTGAATTATAATTCAATAGTAATTTACAATGTTTAAAAAAAAATTGTACAATAACTACAAAGGATAAGTGTTGTAGGATACACAATGGTATCAGTTTACAAAACTCATTTGATCTGATTAATATCATAAAGACATACTGGGCGGATTGTGTAGCAACTTAATTTTTCAACAGGAATTTACATATTAAAAACTGAACAATTACCCTCACACCTTTTCTCGAATGGGACATAAAACAACATGCAATCGGCTGCATTTCATTTCCGGAATTTTTGGTAATTATCAACTTTTCATTTCCGACATTTTTTAGTTTTCATTTCCGACATTTCTTTGCTTTCATTTCCGACATTTTTGAAATACATATGTAGTACCTATAGTAACAGATTTGACAACTTTACTTATGAAAAATTTAAAGGAATAAATCATCAATAAATCATTGAAATCCAATTTTGTTAATCTATCAGTGACTTGGACATAAGTATGGTGCTGTCACTGACATTTAATTTAGTGCACATTAAAGGTGGTGAAAAAGTTTTATGCTCATTGAACTCTTTTACCCAGACTTAGTGCTACATGTATGCATATATGTATAGATGGGTTTTTTTATATTTTGGTATAAATACTTTTAAAATTCCATTTTCTTTTACTTAGAAAACATTGAATTGCCGCACAGGTAAATTCCGGAAATGAAAAATAAATTATGTCAGAAATGAAAACAAAAAATGTCGGAAATGAAATTTAAAAATGTCGGAAATGCTATGCATATTTCCGGAAATGAAATGCAGCGATACAATCTATCGTCTGAAGAGCATTAATTTAAATTATTTCTTCTAAATCAGCTGAAATTGAGAATTTTTTTTTTTAAATTGTAAATCAGATTTTAAAGTAAGGTATAGACATATTTTTATTTTTTGGCCTGACTGATCACAGATTTTCTAACTGATTGCCATCATTCCGACTGAGTAATTAGTTAACCTGTTACAAATTGTCACCCCTCCTGAAAACACTAATTTATTTCTTTAATATTCTTGTGTTACTTAGATGTTTTTGTTTTATTAAAGAAGTCCCAAAAAAGAATAATGCCTACCTACATATCCTAATTAAATTTTTTTTCAGCTTGAATGTTGAAATCAGAAAAAAATGAACTTTTCTTTTCTTAAATAAGTTAACACTTGGGTACCGTAATTATTTTCACTTATTGATAAAATTAATTTTTCAACTTTTAAATGATGAAAAAAAAAAATTGTTTGCAAAACAGTGAGAGGGATTTTATTTTTAATTAGGCTAGTTCGGAGAGATTGACCTTGTTTTTATCTATTGACATCAACAACATAAAGAAGTATGTCATTTCTCAGTTTGAGAAAAAAGATTAAAGCTTTAAATTATATACAGTACATGGTATACAGTAATATCTGTCTAATCCAACAGGCACAGAGACACACATTTTGTGTCGAAATAGACAGGATGTTAGATAGACAGGGTGTCAGATTGCACAATGTAAAAGTGTTAATGAAAACAAGGCTCTGGTTTTCCTATGAAACAGATGCCGCAGGTGTCAGATAGTTCTCACCGTGTATTCAGTGATTAGGAAGGGCTTGCACCACGCGCAATAGTGGCATTGAAGTGAAAAATGGCACATTAAATCAATCAATAGTGGCGCCAAGGTGCGCATTCAACATTTTTCAATGCTATTTGGAAATATTTTGTGAACGACTTTCTTACTTGTTTTACTTTCATTTTAAATGCAGTCAATTTTAAAACAACAAATCTCATTGGTTGAAAACCATAAAAACTGCTTCTGGTTAAACACTGAAGCACTGAGATTAGATACATTACTTCATTCATTTGTAGGATAGGTGGTGCTCTTTCCAAATTTTGACTTAATTTAATACAAAATACGGGTAAATTAAATTATATGCAAGTTTCCCTTAATTTGCTGTATTGCATATGTTAGAAATTAGATTCGGTTAATTAAAAACGTGATTTCTGTTGTATTTCATATTTGTTTGTCATTTTGTTATTTCTTAAAATGGCCCTTCAGATTATATTGATGGCCCATTCGTTTTCAAAATGGCCAATAAAAAATGTCTACAGTTGCACCATAGTTCCATTGGCCATTTTAGCCTTCCCAATCATGTGTATTTAGCATGCATATTTCATGAAAGTTTAAAATTAGATGATGTACAGGAATGTTAATTATTTATTAATATAATACAATGTCATGTATATACAGAATGAAATGCAGTTCTTTTGGTGTGGCTAATAGATAAATTGTGCCAAGGTGTATACATCTCTTTTTGTGTATTGAAAATTGGCAGAGATGGTAAATATCTGCCTTTGTCAAACTTTTCTAGCGTCACGAGTTACTTCTATTTCAGTGCTAGATATGGACACTGGCATAAAGACAAAAGCCAGGCAGGCTACAAAAGCGGACCACGGCTAATTATTTTCATCATTGGGGGTGTATCATACTCAGAGATGAGGTGTGCATACCAGGTGACACAAGCGTGTAAGAACTGGGAGATCTTAATTGGTGAGTAATGAGTAGTGGTGTGTTGTTGTGACTAGAGTGTTATATTATACATAATTTTACATGTATATCTTTCTGTTCATGTGCTTCATTATGTAACCCTCTTCCATTTTAGATATAGATTTTGTAATATAAACTTCATAATGGCAAGTTAGCAGTGTTTTCCCTAGGAACCGGCTGCCGGCCAAATTGACTACTTCAACCACAGGAGTCTGAAGTTTTTATCGTCAACAAAAAAAAAAAAAAATAATAAAAAATCCGGAAAAAAATTTTCCTACCCTTAACTAAAAAAACCCCAGGATGGCAACGTGTTTTGGGGGGACCCACCTAAACAAATAGATCTGGGCTTGGCCAGAAAAATCTCGCGACTAATTCAGTTTCCGGAGCGTTTTTGTTATTTATTTAATGTGAAAAATTAAATCTGCTTGACGACTACGGGCCGTTCCTAGCCCTTTTTCCACTTTGACAGCTCATCCTGGACTCCATGCCACTAAACCGGAAGAGAATCTCGCAGTGTATAATTTGACGTTTATAAAATCTTGTTCAAATGAAATAAAATAAATATTGTTCAACGTAATTTTATTCAGTTATTTTAAATATATTTAAGAGAACTTTAAAAAGTTATTTATTCTTTTTCTTACTTGTACGACGATGTGTACCAGGGACAGATAATTCAGTTTTTACAAGCGCCAAATTTAAATCACTGAAAAGCCATGTCGACAAAGAGCCAAACAGTTAGACTAAGCGCCCTTATAAAGCATTATTTTGTTTGAAAAATATATCTTTTTATTGATCACGTTTGGTAACATAAAATTGTACATGAAGTTTTACAGGCATTTTTTTTTGTTCTTTTCTTCAATTACGTCATATATTCACCTCGGAGTTCACTTCCGGTTTAGTGGCATGGAGTCCAGGATGAGCTGTCAAACTGGAAAAAGGGCATGAACAGCCCGTAGTCGTCAAGCAGATTTGATTTCTCAACTTGAATAAATAGCACAAACACTCCGGATACTGAATTAGTTGCGAGATTTTTCCGACCAAGCCCAGATCTATTTGTTTAGGTGGGTCCCCCAAAAACACGTTGCCATCCTGGGGTTTTTTTAGTTAAGGGTAGGAAAATTTTTTTCCGGATTTTTTTTTTTTTTTTTTTTTTTTTTTTTTTTTTTTTTTTGACGATAGAAACTTCAGACTCCTGTGCTTCAACTGACAAAAATGCCGCTTTGAAATAAAAATTTGTTGTAAGATTCACAGAGATTTTGTTCATAAACCTCAGCCCCTAGCCTGTAACAACTGATCTCTAACCCTTTTGTTTGAAATAAAGGGAAAACACTGCTTAAAATGTTAAATATATTATATCAGAATAGTACAGAACTGTTAATCCATTTTTTGAATGGAATGTAAACAATTTATAATTTTCTCACCTTGTACATGCCTGTTAATTTCTGTTAGAAATGAATTCAGTAGATTATTACATTCTAAATACACCTGTTTTCTGCTGATAAAACATGAATTTGATTTAAAGTCTTCAATTTTTTATACCCCCCTCAAACGAAGTGTAGGGGGGTATATAGGAATCACCTTGTCCGTCTGTCCAGCTGTCCGTCTGTCTGTGCAATCGTGTCCGGTCCATATCTTTCTTACGGAGGGACAATAGAATCTACTACTCCACACAGAGATTGCCCATGACCCAAGGGTGTGTCATGACCTTGACCCAAGGTCATTTGGGGAACTTCAAGGTCACTGAAAGAAAAATTTCATAATTCGTTTCCGGTCCATATCTTTCTTATGGATAAACTTGGTAGGTTCTCATTTCACAAAAAGATTGCCCATGACCCAAGGGTGTGTCATGACCTTGACCCAAGGTCATTTGGGGAACTTCAAGGTCACTGGAAGAAAAATTTCATAATTCGTGTCCGGTCCATATCTTTCTTATGGATAAACTTGGTAGGTTCTCATTTCACACAAAGATTGCCCATGACCCAAGGGTGTGTCATGACCTTGACCCAAGGTCATTTGGGGAACTTCAAGGTCACTGGAAGAAAAATTTCATAATTCGTGTACGGTCCATATCTTTCTTATGGTCAAACGTGGTATGTTCTGATTTCACACAAAGATTGCCCATGACCCAAGGGTGTGTCATGACCTTGACCCAAGGTCATTTGGGAAACTATAAGGTCACTGGAAGAAAAATTTCATAATTCATGTGTGATACATATCTTTCTTATGGAAAAATTTACTTCTGAAAAATTCAGCGGGGGGTATTTTGTCCCGTTTGGACAGTTCTAGTTTCCAGTTGACTTTCATGATGGTATTTTGTGGTGTTGTGATATGCAGAAACCGATGTTTTTATGCCCAGCCATGAATATTTTTGGGTGATATGGCGTTTGTCATGTCCATCTTGTTTTCCCCTTCTGCCTTAGCTACCCTCCTTCCAACTGTCCTTTGTCACACTTTGCATTTAGCTCAGTTTTAAAGAAACTACTACTAAGTATTCCACATTTTCATCAAACATTCAGCTATTCAAGTTCATCAACATTTTTGACCTTGAATACATGCTGGGTACATTCTGTTGAGAACTGTTCAACTAGATCAACATTTTTAACCTTAACCTTTCTCTTGACCTTGAGTTCTTTACTTCACTTGAAGAAACTATTCAGAGTATCTTCATCTAATTTCATACAATCGTGAATAATACAGTTAAAGAATCCTTTCCTCATTTCTAGTGAACCCTGTGTGGTATATTCATGTCCTATGGACATATTTGTCGTCTTTTTCCATGATTTGATATAATTATGATGCATTCTCACTAGTAAAAAATTCCAAATTCACCCCAATCCACCCTACCAATACTGAACTGATTAGTCCTTTTTCCTTGCCAGTGTGCTGTGGTGAGCAATGTGGCCCATGGGCCTCTTGTTTATAATTGAAGCAACCACATCCCCTTTAAAAACAAGGCATATTCTAATATTTTGGTAAGAAAGATGAGCAGTTCTTGTGCACACATATTTGAAAGTCCTTCTGTAAATGTAAATGTTGAAGAGGAAAGTCATACATTCTTTCCTTGATCAACGCTCTTGCTTGATATTGATCTAACTGTTCACCTGTTTGTGTGTGTCTGTGAGTGTGTTTTTGTTGATTTGTTTACTGGAATATTTAGAATAAGGGCAAAAATTCTAAAAGTCTATCATAAACAGAGGAAATCTAAGTAGAAAATATAAGCCTTATTGATTTCACGGATATTTTGGTGAGACTTGACCAAAAAAAAAAATTATTTTAATAAACTCCCAATCCTCTTCGAGACTTGTGTGGATGGCAACATGAGTGGTAAAGCTTTAAGCCGTAGCAATAAGTAACAAATAAAATGGATTTTCATTAAAAAAATTGTCACTCAGCCACAAAACTTAAGAGTGGCAAATGCATCTTCATTGAATATATTTTTTATCAAAACCATTATTAAAAGATTATTTTTTTTTATTAGCTCACCTCGACGAAGTCGAGATGAGCTTATGCTATACCCCCGGCGTTGGCGTCGGCGTCGGTGTCGGCGTCCCAGGTTAAAGTTTTAGGAGCAAGTCCATTCCCAAGTAACTATAAGCCCTACCTGAACCAAACTTGCATGGTTGATGCATCTAGGGATGTACAATACAAGACTTGCTTCGGATGCTGGATCTGAACTACATTTTCCAGATGAGTGACCAGGTTAAAGTTTTTGGAGCAGGTTAAAGTTTTTGGAGCAGGTCCATTCCCAAGGAATTATAAGCCCTACCCAGACCAAACTTGCATGGATGATGCATCTAGGGATGTACTCTACCAGACTTGCTTCGGATGCTGGATCTGACCTACATTTTCCAGATGAGTGACCAGGTTAAAGTTTTTGGAGCAGGTTAAAGTTTTTGGAGCAGGTCCATTCCCAAGGAATTATAAGCCCTACCCAGACCAAACTTGCATGGATGATGCATCTACGGATGTACTCTACCAGACTTGCTTCAGATGCTGGATCTGACCTACATTTTCCAGATGAGTGACCAGGTTAAAGTTTTTGTAGCAGGGCCATTCCCAAGAAACGATAAGCCCTACCCAAACCAAACTTGCATGGATGATGCATCTAGGGATGTACACTTTCAGACTTGCTTCGGATGCTGGATCTGACCTACATTTTCCAGATGAGTGAGCAGGTTAAAGTTTTTGGAGCAGGTCCATTCCCAAGGAACGATAAGCCCTACCCGAACCAAACATGCATGGATGATGCATCTGTGGATGTACACTACCAAACTTGCTTCGGATGCTGGATCTGACCTACATTTTCCAGATGAGTGACCAGGTTAAAGTTTTTGGAGCAGGTCCATTCCACTGGAACTATAAGCCCTATTTGGACCAAACTTGCATGGATGATGCATCTAGGGATGTACACTACCAGACTTGCTTCGGATGCTGGATCTGACCTACATTTTCATTCCACTGGAACTATAAGCCCTATTTGGAGCAAACTTGCATGAATGATGCATCTAGGGATGGACATTACCGGACTAGCTTCGGATGCTGGATCTGACCTTTATTTACATGCCCAAGTATCTTTAAGCCCTAGCTAAACTAAACTTGCATGGATGATGTATCTAGGGATGGACACTACCAGACTTGCTTCGGATGCTGGATCTGACCTACATTTTCATTCCAAAGTAACTATAAGCCCTAGCTTAACCAAACTTGCATGGATGATGCATCTAAGGATGGACACTATCAGACTTGCTTCGGATGCTGGATCTGACCTATATTTTATATACAAGAGACTTGGTTTAAGTTTTGGGAACAGATCAATCCGAATGAACTTAAAGACCTTGATATATGCAGTATAAACAGTTATGAATATTTGTTTACACTATACATATAAATATTTTACACGCTACAGGCTTAGAAATGTGTATATGCCATGTAAGGGGTTAAACACAACTTGCAAGAATATTGTTGTTGGGATGAATACTAAATATTCAGAAAATATGATGTGAGATTTGCATTACTTAAACTGATAACATTCGTCGAGGTGAGCTTCGTAATCTTTGATTACCTATGTTTTTCATTGGCATGGATATTTTGTGGAAAAAAAGACATCTAAAGACACAATAAATGCATGCTGTAAAAATTTGATGCCATTGTCTTAGCACTTTTCAAAATCAAATATGAGGTGTAAATAGTATTAATTAAAAAGTTAACTGCCCTCTTCCAATTGATATCAGCATCTGACATATTAAAATGTGTCATCTCATTATCTGTTGGGATAGGACTGATAAATAAACACTTTTCTGCACTTCAGAGATCAGACATGATTAGTGGGATTGATATTGCACCTACTTTCACCATTTTTTTTAAAATTCAGTCCCTGTTTTCAACCATTTTCTCTGGTGCATTAATGGACATTGCTAATCACTAAAATTTACTTTTTGCTGAAATGAATTGTGAATTTTTAAGAAAAATTGCTAAAATATGCATTTGGTTAAAAATTCTACTTATAGGTAATAGTTTACCATAAAAAGTACATATAAAATTTTTAGGGTTTGGGGTCATGTTTTGATGATTTTTTTGCTAGAATGCGGCAATAATCTTTTCCTTTTTCATGACAAGACCTGGCAGATAAATGGCTACCCTTCCCAACAGTGCAGTCACCTATAGGTGTTCAATTATCACTAAAAACTGACGTCACTCGTACATTGGTCTTATCTGCTCGTACCTCAATGCACTGGATGGTATATTTTTATCATAGTTCATTGCGTAGAAGTAAAAGTATTTTCTAGAGGTTGCCCCAATGATTATGTTTAAAGGACCAGATTTGGAAAATATCAAGAAATTGTTTATACTGCGAATCACTACGCTGTAGTTTTATGAATCCATATCACTCCTCTATAAAACTCCTGATGTAGTATACAGTATGCAGGATATTTTATTTTTGCGTATCGAAAAGTTCCTTGAAAAATACTTTGTTTAATGGATAAAAGTTACATACTTGATCCCAATATTTTCTCTATAATTATTTTTTGATAATTTGAGAGGGATATATATTACTTTAATCATTTTAACAGTAACTTGATCCATAGAACTGTATCATGTTGAGTTGACAGATCATCATATCTAACTTGAAATTTTTTCAACTTAAACTGAACCATTCCTCTTTACAGTAAAAAAAAACCTTCTTGTGAAAGGAATTATCTTGAATGACTTTAAAAAATGCAATATTAAGAGAAATTGCACACGAAAAATGAAATGTGATTTTTTTTTCTTCGTAAATCCAATATTGCTGACAAAGAATATCAGTTTTCCTCTGTCTTATGTGAGAACAGGATGATGTTTGACCAGTGGAAATCGTGATTATTCCTACAACGAACATTAATTTTTACCCCTTGGAAGTATATTACTTGTAAAAGAACCAACACAATAAAACTCATTGGCTTCATGACGTTGACACCTTTTAGATCATGCTAAGGACTAAGAAATCACACGCAGTGATTATCTGTGGTCAATGCATTATTATTTGAACTTCACAAGAACCCTAAAAACTAAAGAGGCTGATTTCTGCAGTAATTTTTGTATCCAATGTATTGTAATGGACATTAATTTAAAGTTGTATTAAAAAAAAGATCATTTTGTAGACATGTTTGAAGAAATTAACAGTGGCTTAAAAAGTACTGGATGTCGGTTTAAGCCATTAATTTTCCAAGTTATGCATACTGTTTAAAGAAAGTTCTTTTATTTACTTTATAAACGCTACCATTGTATGAAGAAATACCAATTATTTTTAGTCCATTTTAGAAAATGAACTTTACAAACTATGAAATTTTTAAATGTACCAATGAACCAAAACATGCAGTAATTAATTTCAATCTGCACAAATGTGTTACTTTGATTTTTAATCTTAGCATGAAAAAAAACTCTTTCTCCCAAAAATTAATTTCCTGTTGATTAACAGGATTTGTATCAACAGTTGAAAAACTCTTGCATGAAATTCCAGAACTGAGAAGACTATACCCAGAAATTTTGACCTTGAGGGTTTAAAATGTGGGTTGTCCTGACTGGTCAGTGATGTGATGATAAACGGGGCATGTTTTGAGACATGTAGCCTTCAGATTTATTGATTTGAAGCTTGTTTCTTAGGATTATATTGATAAACACTTAACTCTCTGTTGAAGGCCATGTCAGTCCTGTATATTAAGGCAACAATTCCACTTTATCAGGTCCAGTACAATCTCTTGATTTAGCTATATAGCTTTAAATAGCTATATAGCTTTATCTAGCTATTCAGAATAACTTTATTTAGCTATTTATATACAATTTCTCACAAAAATGTTTTTTGCTAGAAATAAAAAAAAAGTTGCATGTATTTGACTCTTCATATATGTACTATGGGCTATCAAAACAACAACCAAAAGCAAAGATAGTTCTAACATTGCATCTTTTGAATAATTTTAAGCAAAAGAGAATTTCCATTGTTAGAGTAACTGTCCACTACACTGGGTGCGTTGAGGCATGGATAAATATGATTGCTTCTCATTGTGCTGAACTGTTACTAATCAATTATCTTGTTGACCATAATTGGCCTCCTTTATATTATCATTGCAGAAGTACAGTAACTGTATCAATTGCTTTATATAGCCCCAAAACTTGTAGAACTTTGAGTACAAAGTCTCTCAAGGAGATGTAATTTGATGAGTGATTTTTACATGCATTATTTTAAGAAGAGTTCAAGGTTGTAAATCATCACTGCACCAAGGTGTGCTTTTTTTGTACATACTGAGAAAATTACACCTTTAAGAAAAAAGTGTAGTAAAATAGCTAATTTAAGCTATTCTGAATAGCTTAATAAAGCTATGTAGCTAAATCAAGAGATTGTAAAAAAAAAAAAAAAAAAAAAAAAAAAAAAATTTTGTTTTCTTTATATATTAATTATTTTCATTGCTTATCATTTTGTGCACTGTAGACTGTAGTAATTTTTCATTTAAAAAAAAACTAGGATCATAGTAGCCAGTGTTCAGAGGTGCTCAAAAAATCCCTCTCCATTCAAATTCAGTTTCTAGAACTTGACCATTCAATGGAATTCCTCATTTCAGCATTATGAAACATGTAGTAACGTTTTGCAACTGTCTCTTTTGAAGTTCATGGAGCTGAACGTAAAATATTTATCTTGGATATTAACTGGACAATTTTACCATTGTCACTGACCTGAAAACTGGTCATGAATTCCCACTGTACTTTGTACCTTGACGTCATCACCGACATTTTAACCCTTAGCAATGTCCGTAAATATTTAAACATGGAAGAAAATGTTTCCTGTCTTCTTTGTTAATAATATCCCACCCCTTTGATTTTTGCAGGATCCACCCACTTACTGACCCCTGAAGGATTCCTAGAGGACTTGAAGACCTTATCCAACACTCCTGGCAACTGACCATCTCCTGTTTTCTGTCAATGAGTGGAGAAGGATTGGTGTAACCTGCACTGAACAAGCATCTCTGTTCAATTATGCTGCCATTGTTTACTATCACTTTGTGAAAAAGAACAACAAAAAAAAAACATGCGTCATTCGCAAGTAAACTTAAAGGTCTCTATGAAAAAGTTAAATGAAATTCAAAGATTTAATTTATTAAAAGTGATTAAACAAAGATGGGTGTGTATTATATTTGTAGAGTACCTTAGTCCATTGTATTTATTAGATTTTAGCCCAAAGTCTGTCATGTGGATTCTGTACAAATATTATCATTATGAATTTGTAATTATTTGCAATTACAGGAAAATTTCTGTAGAAATGTCAGTCTTTTATTCATAGAAAGGAATTGGTTAAATAAAACCAAAGCAATATAAAATATATTACAATTGTTAGCATTTTTTCTCACTTTATTGTTTTGTTGCATTATGTTACTCGTATATTAGACATACAATTTGTATATAGATGACAATTTGTTATTGCATTATTTTCTGATAATTTATGTACTGTACTTTGTATTATGATAATTGTCTGTGTAGAGTCTTATGTGCAATATTGATTTTTCTTCATTTTTTCTACACAGATTTATATAAAGCACCAAAATACTCTGCAGTAGAAAGCAGCAATGTTTGTTGTTATGTTCATCTCTGTTTTGCATTTTAAAAGGTTTTCATGCTGATGGTAGATTGATGCTTTTATTTAGTGATAGATGTACGTATGGGGATTAATATACAGTTAAACTTGACTAATCTGGACCCGTGGTTCCAAAGGGGGTAACATTCTGAATTAGACAACATTAAAGTTTATAACACATTAGACAAGACTTTGGATTACACAAAATCCGGATAAGGCAAGTTTTACTGTACAAGCTGACATGGAATAGATGCAGCACATAGTTCAAATCTTGTCACAAGAAATGTTCAGCTATTTCATTTGACTATTTTTATGCTATCATTTTATTCCAATATCTCATTACTGCTTTCATGTGATATTTTTGAGCAAACTTTTTGACAATCTCAGTCACAATTATTTATTGTGATTTATTGTCAAAGGCATTCATTGTAGCTGCTTCAGCATAATTATTATACTTACTTATTGAATGTTGAAAACCCAAGATAGTGTGTTCTCTTAAAATGTATAGTGAGTTAAACTTGTTTCTTGCAAACCTAGTTATTGTGAACTACTGTTTTAAAGATTTGTTAAGGTCAGCTGATTTTTTGCTATAGAAATATTTTTCTGGAAAAGCAATATTTACAATTTTAAAACAAGTGTAGATAAGTTGATGTACGATATAGTGCTCTATCTTACAAGCTGATTTAGGGAGATATTTCAAAGTTTCATTTAGAAAATTATTTTGGATATCTGAAAAAAAAAATCTAAATAAAATACATGTATTCTTTATTAAATAATCAATAGAAATGATATATTTCATCTGATATTCATTTGAAATGTTTTGAACATTGTGCAATGCAAAGAAAAACTTTCTTTCATTCTGATTCCTTTGTCATAATTTATGCTGTTGAATTTGACCATTTCCTACCATGTAACAGGGGTTTGTCTCCATCAAAGAGAAAGAACCTTTGAGAAATCCTCCTGAAGCAGTTTTTTTTTTTTTTACATTCCTTGAGTGTACAATGTTGTGGCCAATGAAATAATAAATTAACGAATATGTAATGGTTTCTTTATTTCTAAGAATGAATATATTGTATGTATATATTGGGGTAGACAAATTTTACTAACTTTGCCATGGCTGAGTTGTATTTATTTAACATCCAAGTGCAATATCATTAGTGATTTGCCTACATTATAATCAGTCATGGTTTTCTTTCTATTTATAATTTGACCTACTTATAAAAGTAGGTCATTGCAAATTCTACTGCTCAGTAACTATGTCAGATTTTTAGCAGTAATTTTGAAATATTAATACATTTAGTATTATAGTCACATTCCTAATCTTTAACACAGGGGTCAATATTTGCATAACTTTGAAATCTGGTTTTTAGTGGGAGTTTGTGTGCACTACCGTGAAACAATAGTCTTAGATGGAACACCCAGTTTATACCCTAAAGGTCACCTGTACTCTTGCAATACATTTTCAACAATGGCTGTTTAAATTCAATGTATTTAATTATCAATTGAAAATTATTTAGACCCCTGAAAATATTTGTACTTTCACTATTCATTTGAATGCGCATAATTATGGAATAGATTGTAATTATGGAAAATATTTGAAAGGGTTCGTTAGTAAATCCAATATTTTTGAAGAAATTGAGTTGATGTATGGAAATATAAGAACATCCCTTCAGCTTCTGAAGATGTCTTTTATTCATGTTATCTTATTCAAGGTTAATATTCAGGTCTGGTTATGTTGAACAATAGGTTTATTGCCATGTTCAAGGAAGACTAGTAAGAATGAAGTGGGTTTATCCGTGTTGGGTCAGGTTGTAATGTGCTGCAAAAAAAAAGTTATATAGGTTTATTAATTAAAGGACATTTTATTATACCTGTTTTAAGCATTTGGGTTTACAATTTTGCTTGGTATTGAGAAAATCCTTTCACAAACAGGGGTCAATAGCCTGAATATTACATTTCACAAGTTCACAACTATGATTTTGACCGTAAATTTTCTTCTCAAATAAGACGCTTTAGGAAGCAATTTCAGACTCACTGTGCCCAAACAGAAATTTCTTGAAAACGTAATTGTTTGAGAAAACAGAACTGTAAATTGGTTTTTTTACTGTACATTTTCTAATACATTTATACCCCAGGGTATACATGTTCATGCATTGTCAAATTGGGAGGAGGGGTGACCCCTTTCAAATCATTCCTGTTCCTAGGGGCTTGCATGTTCAAAACAAGATTGATCCGTTCCATCCTACTGTTTTACTCACGAATAGTGTAGCAGCCCTTTCTGTTACAAGCGTCCGTGTCGCAGCATCCCCCACAGAGCTGAGCGACATGTGGATCGTTACCGATACCAACTTGTCGTCTGCCATGTGACAAGCCGTGGCCGTGCGAGAGGAAAGCATTACACATCTGAAATGAAACGAATGAAATGATACACGAAATATGCGAGACTGTCATAAACGGGACTTCCTAGTCGTTTTTAAACAAATTTAGAACATTTTTTAGACGCCCGTTCCCTGGTATTGACACTATGAATTCTTTTTGAGTATGCATAGTTTTCATTTCACGAAAGCGTTGCCTGCATGGCGCAGTGGTTAGAGCGTCTGCTTTAGAGTCGCGAAGTAAGTTGACCCTTCCTTCGTGGCTCGAATCCCACTATAGGACGTGAAGACAGGTTCTTCGGACGACACGGAATTAACACGATTCCCGAGTTGCAGCAGTTGTTGGCAAGAACAAGATCCCACACTGCTCAATGCTACTGAGTGCCGAGTATAAATAGATTTTAATTTGCAGACCTCCACCTGAAAGTTGTGGCGTCTCCATATGAGGGGGAAATTCTCGAAAGGGACGTTAAACAACAAACAAATAAAGCGAACGAACATTTTACAAAAGTAATTCCATTCAAACATTTAAGAAAGTGCATCATAAATTGTTGCATGTATTAGATGAGCATTTATATTACAATTGTTTCACATTGTCCATTGCATAGTCTTGACTTACCAATTTGCTACGACAGCCCATTCTGTGTCGGATGTTATGATTTTGGTCCATCACAACATCGGCATAGCACTCCTGCAACAAAGACACGAACAGATACACTGATTATGCAAATGTTTACATTAGAGAAGTATATGTAGGGCTCTTGTACTAGTTTGGGATATCAAGAGCCATATTACCTGATGATCTTCACAGTTTTGGATTTGTGTGCAGGATAGTGGATCCACTTCTGGATTTTCACACACCTGACATTTTCTGGTTGGTTTAGGGGCTGCAATGAGATGCCGGAGATACTATTCGATTAATTGTGCTTTTCCATAATTAGTTAACAAATAAACGTATATAATTAGCCCGGATGATTGGATTGCCTTGCACGATTTCTTATATTATGACGTTACAAGTATAATTGTTTCTGATTAATTCCCCTTTGCCTAATTTATAAAGATGTGATAAATCGTGTTACTTGTGACGATGGTACACAACTTGTTGTTACAATATCCAGAAGAGCAGCACTGTGTACACAGGTGGATAATGTTTCTTTTTTCTCTGTCAGTCATGTCTTCAACGTCCTCATCACGTTTCCCAAGGGAAGACAGGATATCACAAATCTACCAAAAGTATTAATTGTTTTAGAATTATTCCTGCAAACTTAATATTTAAGATAAGCCAAAGATTTGGTTGATTACCATATGTAAATCTTTTAGAGCAATGTTAATCGGGATAATGTAATATTACTCACTCGTTTAGCTTTACATCCAAGTGAAAAGTAAACATTTCCCTCTTCACTGATATACTTGTCGGTGAAACATTGCTGAAAAAAGCAAATATTTCAAAAAGTCACATAGATTTGTGCATATGATTATTTCATCATTGTTTTAATTTTTGGTAACGTATCAAGAAATCTCAATAAAACTCCCCTGCGCTGGAGTTTAAATTTAGTAACAGGTGACGTCATACCTCGTCTGTATTACAAGCTTCTGTGACGGTGCAGTCAACCGCGTCTGCTACTTTGTCACATCGGTAGCACACCAAGGGAGCTATGACAGAGTTGTTATATAAGAAATGATTTTCATTCCTTTTTTCCCAATAATTTTTTAATAAACACACTGAATCAAGAAACCTAGACACATTTTACGTCAAGAGGGGGTAACACCTTTGTAAAACCTTAAGATGCTTGTTTTATGAACAAAAAAAACATGTATACTTTTATCAAATGTGTTATTAATTCCTCCCTCGCCTTTAATGTATTTTTTGTAGTCTAATATAATTTTCCCACCAAAACATACACCACATAAACAAACGTGTATGGTATTATTCTCTGAAACGGGTCTTCTTTCTTCGGGAATGACAAATGTCTTGTAATTTTATCGAGAGGAAGTTTTCTATGATATTAGCAATACTAACCTTGTTTCTTCACTGATCCACCGTGAAGACAAACCAGCCCTAAAAATTAATTTTTGAAAATAGTATTAATAAAATTCTTGATAGTGTTCTTAATTGATTACACTGCTGAAACTGTGATTGACAGAATTTCCCTAACCTGACAATAGCAAAATGGCTCCTGCTAACGACAGCATTTTGTACTACAGTGATCTGCCCTGGCTTTCTAGTAATATTACTGGTCTTTGATAACCTTTACAATTTGTGTCATATGATTCACTGTATACATATATAGTTTTCAAAGACTTCATCATTTCGTGTATCAATATGGATTATAATGCTTTAAGAGATTCTGTTCTAAAAACCAAAGAGTACCGGCATAAATGAGCAATTTTGCAATGTGTATTTTGGATTTATTAAAGATAAAAATCAACTAATCCTCGTATTTCATTATTTTATCTTACGTAATAGTATAGAGCAATTCTTAAAAAAGATTACTGTCTTTAACATGTGTCGTAATGGTTATATATAGGGGAATTATTACACAGCATACAAAAAGTAGAAATAAAAATAAGAATTAAACAATGATGAAAAATCTCTTACAATTTTTAAAAAGAAATAAAGCGGTATTAGCATGTATCTAAAATTTATCGGAAAGACGTTATCGGAATATGCTAGACTTTGTCCGTAGATTTTATTTTAATTTATAAAATTCAATGAAATATTGGATTTTTAAACATGTTTCATACTTCGGTATACATTTGCAATATATTGAACACATGTAAATGACGGATGATGTGATTTCCATATTTAGATATTATTTATGCGTTTCTAGGGTGTTAGCCCCGCCCCTCTTTCCACGTGCGAGTGTGATACTGTATAAGAGAAGATTCTTCATTCATAAATTGTTAGAGTTATTTCATCTTTACAAACTTTTACTCCAACTAGTGCAATATTTTTTTTTTATTTTTTCTACAGCCATGGTGTTCTACATTGTGACAGCGGTGAGTTTTCTTTTTCTTTTTCCTCCCCATATTCTTTCAGTAGATATCATGATAAGAATTGTAAAAATTAAACTTTTATTTTTTCAACTGTAATTTTTCTTATATGAATTCAGAAATCACATAATTAAACATAAAAAATATGAGAAAAAAAATATCAAAATGTGCTTAACAAAATACTGAAACCTTTATTTGTACTTTTTTCCCCTCATTTTTCTTATTTAAAATAAACTAGGGTTAAGTTTATGAAAAAGTGTCCTTTGTAAGAATTCTTGCCAAAATTAAAGTTATTGGTTCTGTTTCCAACGAAACACGCAAATAAATACAGTATTACTTAGGAATATATTGGACATCTCTTTAAAGAATATGTTTTGGAATGAGACAGAATCTGTCAGGAATATATTTAAGGTTTGAGGCAGAATTATGAATTTGTTTTAGGGGTGAGGTAGAATTTTCGAGAATATGTGTTAGGTGTGAGGCAGAATTTTAGAATAATTATGTTTTTGGTGAGGCAGAATCGTTAAGAATAATTTAGGTGGAGGCAGAATTGTTAAGAATGTGTCTTAGGGGTGAGGCAGAATTGTTATGGATACACATGTACGTTAAAGGGATATGAGGCAGAATTGTTTGGAAATACGTATATTAAGGGTGAGGCAGAATTGTTAAGAATAAACATTTGGAGAGAGACAAATTTACTAAGTACTAGTATATATTTTAGGAGTAAAGCAAAATTGCTTCTACAAATGTACATCCTCTTATCGGCTCTAACAGCAGCGGTAACAGATGCTCCCGTCGAGATTAGGCCGTCACGTAAACCACACTTTATCATCTACCCGGACAATCCCCACAAGGTCAAGAGGACTCAAATGTCCCTAATGGACAATGACCGTGAATTCCTGTGATGCAATATTTGCTTTTCCGGTTGAACCTAGTACAGCCATGCCACGGCGGCCTTGGTATATCGCTGGACGTTCTGAATAATGGCATTATATTGTCTGTAGAGGGAATGATTTTCTGTTAAAGCCGTTTCTAGCATTTTTTGGTCTCTTTATGTAAGAAAATATGTACACAGTGGATCTATTAAAGGGAAAATCCGTTTACGTCAATTTAACGTTTCAGTAATTATATTTATACATAATATTGGTAGGGTGCCTAGGAACAAAGAAAACCGTTTTACTTCTGAACTTTAGTTTCATTTTACCTATATGTCAAATTCTATGAAAATAAGTTCCTTTGATTTGTTTCCTAATGCGAGGGTATCTAAATACAATAGGCCTATTAAAATCAGAAGAGCCAAATAGATATTTGTTTGATAGATATTTAAAGCACCCCCCCCCCCCCAAAAAAGTCTAAAGTTCTTCGTTTCTGTAATAAACACTTAAAAATTATTTATAGTTTGTGTTCTATTACACATAATATAAATATACGATCTTGCAATTCCAAAGGCTTACAACTTTAAAAATTGAAGTTATTGTTTGAAATTTAAATTGCGTTTCTTCTATTACAGATCCTCTCTGTTTTTGCCGTATCCATCATTGAGTGCCGCTCCTTGTCTTGTGTGAGTATATAACATGACATTCTTGGCAACTTGAATTAATATTTTCAATAATATCTGTACATGGCTTTAAATATATTTGATAACCAATACTTAATGAAACAACTAAACATGCGTATATATTTTTTCCCCCAGAATTTGAATTGCCCCCTGGGAACAAAGTGCGTTCTTCAGAGGAGTACTTGTGAATACCCGCCATGTAAACGTTACCCTGTCTGTCTAGGTAAGTTATGTTTTGTAAATTGGAGCAACTCAAACAAAAATTAGTTAGTTGTTTTTTTTCATTTGAAAAGAAGCAGGTAATTAGAATTATTGCAATTTTCAATTGGACTAAACTAATTTTTTTTCTCACTCAATATATCCTGTTTCTAAGATTGGGGTTTTTCAAAGTTAAGCTAGTAAGATTTTAGCTTAGTATTTTTAAATAATTATTTATTTATTAGAATACATTTTAAAATTTTAGCCTATGATTGTTAATTTCACATACATCGGATAATCCCTTTAAGTCTTGCTTTTTTAAATTATTATGTTAAATAAATTCATTATTCTGTTGTAACTTTGAGACGCAGTAGAGATATTTTCGCCAAAAATATAATTCCTACTGGATTTAACCATTAGTTACCACTTCTATTTTAAGTTTTACAAATAAGAGGAGAACAGAAAATTAAATCTATAATCTCTAAATATATATACTATATAGAAGACATTTAAAGCAAATATATATTTGTACTTTGGATATTTTATTTAGTCAGAAACCAGACAAGAAATCCTCCTTAACATTTCTACGTTTATTTTCAGATGTAAACCCCCCTTACCACAATAACCACGTCCCCGCCGTCGTTTCACGCCCGGGGAGATGCCCCGTCCCCACGACACCCGGCCCGTGTACAACGCGATGTCAGAACGACGCCATGTGCCCTAACGGCGGCATCTGTTGTTATAACGGGTGTGGCTTTACCTGCAGCAGACCACAAAACAAACCAGGTACCTGCCCCCGATACCTCCGGAACGAGAACCTCTGTGGAATGGACTGCTCTAGTGACAGTGACTGCCCGGGGGTGGAGAAATGCTGCCTGACCGCCTGCGGAAGCACTTGTTCAAGACCTTGCTATTACTACTTGTTCAATACTGCCAACCAAGTCGCTGGCGTCCGATCGGCATTTTGGTCCCTTCCTTACATGTGTCGCCAAATGTAGCACCTGCCCAATTTCAGTCGTAAATTTGCCATATAAATTATCGGAATATGTTGGACTTCGTCTGTGTGTGCGTGTGTGTGATTGTCAGCATGTACAGCCGTCCAAATGTGTTCAAGTTTTACCTTTATAAGGGAACGTTTGAAATATTATATGTTTATTTTACAGCATTTTTATTTGTGCAATGATACATGTGTATAATTTATCAGATCTGAATAAATTATTTATTTTCAGGTATATTTTGTTGATTTTTTTTTAGTCAGAAATTTTTAAAGGGTCGTTTTTTTATATCCAGCAAATACGCATGTTACATGTAAATATCTTACCCATGTAATGCATAAAAATAATGCATAAATTTAATCGTAAAATTCAATATACTGGCATTATGCTGCAATGGACCAAGGGAATGAAAACAACCAAGGAATCTAAATTCAATTAATATTTTTTTAAAAAATGACCTTCTGAGATTCTGATAAGACAAAGGCGTTCAAAGAAATCATACAACAGCATCTTGATAAAGAGATTAAAGACCATTCCTTTTGGCACCATTTATTTTGACCAATAAATCTTGACCTTAAAGTTTGATATCGGCAACCTTTGACCTTGAACTTAGAGTTGAATAAAAATGACCTTGGAAATAACTTTTGACCGGTTGGTAATAAGGCTTTCATATCTCGCAACAATTACGGGCAATTTCTTTGGACAAAAAATTCAATATTTTTGATTTGTAGACCTTGACCTTGGAATTTGACTTTCAAATTAAAAACTTTAACCTCCGCAATGAGCTGCCATACGGTGACATCGGTGTATCAAAAAGTTTTTTTCGTTTTTGTATTTTTTAAAATTAAAATATGATAATTAGCATATAATTTCTAAATCAAAATTGATGCAATTGGTTTTTGGTCAATCTAGAAATGTATAAAATGTTAGGAACTACTTTCACATCAAACCATTGGACGAAAGTGTAGAATAGAATCCTGGTGTTTGTATTCGTGTATTCTGTTCGTAACTATTCGTGTACATGTATGACTATAAGGTTTTCCCTCATTTGATTTTCAATATGAAATACTATCATGTCACAATGACGGATTTAGAGGGGGCCCAGCCCCCTTTTGTATCCAAAATACACAAAAGATTTGATACATGTATACCATTTTATGTGTATGTGGCTTGGGCCCCTACTCCGACCCCAAACTGGCCAGACCCCCCTTTTCAAGATTCCTTGATTCGTCACTGTGTCAATATTCAACGAGTGTTATTTGATTCCATCTTTGAATATTACACACGTATTTGCTATTTCTTAAAATATTTGATTTACAGCTCTATAGTTAAATACCACAGGCATTTGATTCCTTAATAAATTTTTTAACCCAAAGTGCATCATCATACTTAAGGTTAAAAAAAATATCACCGAAACAAGTACCTGCATGTGTCTACATGTTTTTGAGTGTCCCATATACGTTGCTGTTGCAAAACATTGCTCGAACCCCCCCTCCCTCAAAAAAAAAAATAAATAAATAAATACAGTCCCATCATACTTGTACTGGTTCCACGCTAGTGATAAATCTAATTTAGTGCTTTGAAAGCACGTTATTTTGCACTTACTAAAGTATACTTAACAACCTTTTGACCTTAATGATATAACGAGATGAACATAGGCCTATCGGAAGATTAATGAATCAGACAATACTGTGTCATTCATTGGGACTCCCTAAAAGGCTATTTGCCTCTATATACTTGTGCTCCTCGCAAGTCTAAAAGTATATTCATACATTTCTTCTACCACCCCCACCCCCTCCTTAGGCTAAAAATAAAGCATTTGTCTCTTCCGAGTTTTTTATTTCAGGAGAGAGAGAGAGAGAGAGAGGTACCATCTAAAAGAGATAGGAAGCGGATTAAAGTTGTGAATAAATAGAATGCTACTGGGTACCCAATATTTATTCTGTATAACCTGGGATGGGACAGGGTATTCTTTATAAAGTTATATAAACCTCAATTATTGAACACATATTAAAAGTGGACTTCAGCGAGATATATAAAATTCATAGTGGATTGTTGTTAAATTCATAGAGAGGAAATATTTTAAAAAGAAAAATTGAACTCAGATATTAATGACCCATAATTTATCAAAATAAAATTTGATTTTAGCATCACATGTAAACAAAAATAACGTTAAAACATTATAATGTTGTTTTGGCTTTGATATTACTTGTATTATGTCTCCGTATTCGAAGATTCGGGGGTAGCCCCCATCCCCCATTTAGTTTTTGCTCCGTCCGTCCGTCTGTCTGTCCTCAAAACTTTAACCTTGCTCATATATTTTGAGTTTGTAGAGCTATGGCTTACATATTTCATAGGTGTATTCCTTGTGACTAGAGCTTTCTTTGGGTACCATCTTTGACCCCTAGACCTTGGAGTTTGACCTTCTTTTACATTTTATCACACTTTAACCTTGGTCAGAACTTTTTAACAAGTGCTATAGGCCTTTTATACTTCACATGTGTATTCATCATGACAAGACCTTTCAATGAGTATAAATATTAATTTATATTTTTTGTTACTTTTGACCTTGACCTAAGAGTTTGACCCACTGAAAAAAATAACCATGGCCATAACTTTTGTATATACATGTTGTGGATACGAAGGATTTCATATTTTACGGGTGTATTCATTAGGACAATTAAGAATTTTCAATGGATAAAAGATTAAAAATTTATTTACCTTGACCCTAGAGTTTGACCCACTTTTAAAAAATCTAACCTTGGTCATAACTTTTAAATAAATAGTTGGCACTAAGGCTTTCATATTTCACAGGTGTATTCTTTATGACAAGAATATCCTTTAGTTACCAACCGTTTTAACCTTTTGACCTTGACCCTTGGAGTTTGATTTGTAGTTGAGGAACTTCAACCTTCGCCATAAGCTGCCTTACGGTGACATCGGCATTTAGTGTTTCACAAAAATCTTATTTTTTAGGGTACTTGATGTAACTTGATGTTACGTAATAATATCATGCGCAACGTCTCAGTGAAATGCGATGTCCGTTTTCACGTTTCTTTTCACTTTTTAAATTTCTTGTACCGGTATGTTTAATTATTATACCCCCTTTATCAAAGCTTTGAGGGTATATAGTTTTGGCCCTGTCTGTCCGTCTGTTTGTTTATCTGTTTGTCCGTAAAAACTTTGATTTTAATATTTCATACGTGCATTCCTTGTAACAAGACCTTTTTGGGTGTAAATCATTTTACCCCTTGACCTTGCACAGAGTTTGACAGAGTTTTATAAATATTTAAGGAATGACTCTAATTCTTGGCCAAATTATCGAGTATAATATGGTTTGGGTCAGTTTACGCTTTGCGGATTATAAAAAAGCGTAAACATGACCAAACCATTGTATATATGTCGATAATTTGGCCAAGATTTCATTACGAGTCATTCCTTAAATAATTTAATTTTAAAATAATTAAACAACTGGGGATGTAAAATTGTGTTGTTTTTATGAGTTCAAATTTACCGCGCAATAATACAACCGTAGTAACGGAAGTGATGGGAAGCGAGGGGAGGTAAAAACTGATACATAGATCTAGCAGCCATGATGCTTGTTTACATGAGGTAATATCGAGCAACTGTTTGAAATTAAAGGTACATTCATTAAATCTGGAATTTTCCATGAATCCCAAGGACTGGAAATGAGGGGATTGATGGATACAGATGATTATGCTGGTTGTCAAGGGGGTGTGTCCCCATACCAAACCAGATTATACAAAATGTTATGCGTTCCTTTTTGGAAATCAACCAATGAGAGGCAAGAATTCAAGCAAAATTAAATTATATAAAATTGTAACACTGAACATAACTTCTACATTGTGTATATGCATGTATATCTTTAACAAACTTTAAATTTCAAAATACGTTTACAATATACCTCAACACAGTTGGTAATATGGCTTTTATTGGGTATAAATATTTTTTTACCATGACCTCAAAGTTTAACCCACTTTAAAAAATCGAACCAAAAACTTAAACCCTAGGTCAAAACTTTTGATAAGTCGGTGTTAGGGCATTTATTTCAAATTTATATTTCTTGTGACAAGTATTTTTCCTGGGTATCATTGATTTTGACCCATTGACCTTATGACCCTGGAGATTGAAAAGGTTTGATCTTTTCTGAACGGTTAGTTCTTGGACTTTCATATTTCACATGTATTTTCATTGATACAAGTCCTTTCTTTAAAAAAAATCAATTTCTTAATATTGGCCATATTGCCCCCCGCTTTCACTTAAGGATGACGTTTACTCAGGTTTCAGATAACAGAAAGGAAATTTTATAAAGTATAATATGTTAAATCAAAAATTGTTCTAAATGGATAAAATAAGCAAGTTTTAAATCGAAATCAATTTAAAAATTTAATATTTTATTATTTAAAGAAAATATACAGGTACAAAAGTCAGTGAATGGTAATGCAGAGGAAATTCGGACTAAATTTTCAATTTTTCATTTTGGTCAAAAATTTTCATTTCTTTCAATAATAATCACGAGGTAAAGGTTAAATTTATTTTTAAACATCATTTTGCAAATATTATATGTGTTAAAGCTCATAAATTATTTCAAATAATTGAATGCTACGAAATAAAGAAATTCAAAAATATGTACAAAAACCATTCCAGACAATATTTCTCAATAATTTGATCATTGACCCCATATAATTTTAATACCATGAGAATTAGGGCATCAAAAGTAATCCGAGGCTATAGATAGTTTAGAGTCTTTATCAGTCAGATGTTTGTAATATTCGATTTAAAATGGGGAAAAAATATAAATATGACAGAGGAAATTCGGACTGTTATAATTATCACATTTCTGGCCCAAACTCCAATCATTTCTTTATATGAAGCAACGCTGTTCCATTGCTATAATATTTAATTATTTAAAGAGTTTAGTTGCTTGTAATGTTTTGTGTGAATAGAAAAAATTGGTCATAGTGTGAAAAATTGAGGTATTTCAGAAACCGTAAACCGAAATAAACCTTTACGAATGGGGCCACTAGCATGAAAAGTAGGTCATTGACCTAGTTATTTGAAATTGAAATTTAACACAAGAATCATTGGTGTACAATGTGCAATAGGTGGTTTTTCGTTCTTATCAGTGGAATTTTTGGTCATCTGAGTAAAGGTATACCTTAAAGGAGGAATATTAATTTGGATCTGTTTGTCAGTTCGTCTTCCGTTCTATTCTCTATACCAATTTGTTTCTATGCGATTTCTCGAGATTCTTTCGAGAATTTGCCGTGAAAATATGAATATATACTTTGGATCAGGTATTATACAAATTTATTATATGATTGAATATTTTCCATCTCTCTGATTGGCTGAGATCCAACTATGTTAGAAAAATACTACGTTGTATTGACCTGCACGTGACGTTCCAGGTCAATACAAGGATTTATTTCCTCTACACTTATCTAAATATAGATCGGGAAATTCCAAAATTATACAAATTGTTTTGGAAAGGTATTTAAATGACTATGATTTTTTAAAAAAAATTTTCTTCATGTGAACAAATCATAAGTGAATATATATTTTCGGGTGAGGGTGGTAAAAGTATTAAAGGATTTAATGACCCTTTATATGAGTCTCCCTTAACACTTTTACTGAACAACAATTTTTACTTTTTGGCAGTCAGTTTTCCCTGATAATACCATTTTTTTCAAAATCTACCCTATTAAAAAAGACTGACATTATTTTTTTTCATGGCAACTAAATTTGTTGAAAAAAAAACTTCAAATTGATACAACTGGTAGGGCTTATTTACATTTTAATTCTGCTTCTCTTTTGTATTTGGCTAGGACTTAATTATATATGCAAACAAGTAGTACTTTATCATTTTATTTTTCTTCAGTGAATCATATAATAAAACAATTATTGAAAATGTTTTATTGGTCAATACAATGATTTAACTTTTTAGTACAAGAAGTACAATATTTACGCGCCCTAATTTGCAAGATTTGTTCAATGATGAATATTATTCAAGATATTTTACGTAAAATAAAATCATATTTATTGCCATAGTTACATCTGATAAAATATGTAAAGGTAATACATGTAGAAAATTACAGCAATGAAATCAAAGTCCAAGTTAAAATTTCAATCAATTAATTCATATATATCTTAACAGTGAACTAGTGATCATAGTACATGTATTTGTCCTTCTTGAAAAAAAAATTATAATGCGACGTGCCTATATGAATCTCAATGCAAGTGACAGACACCAAGAATATACTATTGACGACTACATGTTGAGTTATTCTCGAATGTTGATCTTGAAATATACCTCAGACGACCTTCAGCAACAATGGACCGCCTCTCACCTCCTGTGGTTGATCATTATAGATGTATCACCTGCTCCGTAATTGTCCGTATCTCCACATCCTTAGATCAAAAACCTTGTTTGTCTAGAACCATCCTTTTAATTTTTCTATCTGGTTTTCTATAATAAGCGTGATTCAATATTTTCTTTTTATTTTCCTCCTCCTTTTTCTTTTTTTTTTTTTTTACATGTGTGTGAAATCAGCCTGTATATGTAACCGAATATTTTTTCTCTGACACGTGATAAGACAAGAGCTGACCAGAAAATGTACTCAGGTCCTTTTAGTTACATCCATTATAATACATGTTTGTCGACTCGGTCTATTCATGTGAGCTTGAAATGAGATGCTATACAGAGTATAAAGCATCAGTTTCATTATTGGATAAACATGTTTTTAAAATTACTGGAAAATGGCGTTCATGATATTCCTATAACAAACAACCTGACTTGTGTAGCAATATACTATTATCACCTGCATATGGGTTAAACGCCTCTCAGTTGATTCGATACGCAAGAGCATGCTCCACATACAAACAATTTCTAAAATAGGGTTTGCTATTGACAAACAAGTTGATGAAACAAGAATATCAATAGTCTCGTTCAAAGTCATCATCTTGCAAGTTCTATAGTCTCTACAATGATTGCCTGCAAATACAATGCTGACTGACGTACTAATTGTGAGGCCATTCTTTACACAACAAATTGTCTACGGATTTCCCCGTTTTTCCTGATCATAACAAGGAGCACACGGCGGGTGTGACCGGTCGGCAGTTGATGCTCACTTCTCCATGGCACCTGATCCCATATCTGATGCATTAGACGTCCGTGTTTGCTCTGCATCTGATTTGTATTCTTTGAATAGACTTTTGAACTTGAATGTTGTTTGTTGTCTTCATAGTTCATTGCAATAATGTAACCTCTTCCTTTTTTTGAAAGAAAAACCCACAGACACAAAGTTGCAAGAAAGTAAATCGGTATATTAACACATATATCAAATGGTTCTCTCGTGTTGGCTATTTTGACATCAACAACTGCTAGGTTCAAGTGTTAAGCCAAAGTAAAGAAACTTACATTAACAACGTATTAAGCAAAAAGTTGAGGATTTCTTTTTTTGGGGGTGGGGGGTGGGGGTGGGGGTGGGGTTACGATAGAATATTATATGTGTAAATAATTGTATTTGATTAGTGTAGGCTAGCATGCAATCTGGTATAGCAGACGTGTTTGAAAGGACATATACAGAATCTATAAGATGGCAATATCTCTAGGTAGGTGAACATGGTTGAATTCTCAGGTTTTATCACGTCAGGTTCTATCACGTGTCATCAACTGTTGCTGTGGGGTGAACAAACTTCATTGAAATCATGCAGCAGATAAAAAAACAGTAGAATCACAAACACACGATCTAATACTACATGTATATAATAATAATGGTTAAAAACGGATTCCTGACTTGGAAATTATTACATGATTTAAAAGATATACACGTAGGCTGACAACATCCTCTTAAGAAAAGAAAGGCGTATTGCTGGATTTCAAGAAACCAGCTTTCTGATGGTTGTATTGTTGTCCCCCACTTTCGAGAAAGCGAGGGGACATTTTATCTCATTTGTCCGTCCGTCCGTCTAGCTGTTCGTCCGTCTTAAAACTTTAATTTTGCCTATAACTTGTGATGAAGTGGAGCTATGACTTTCATATGTGTATTCCTTGTGACAAGACCTTTTTTGGTGTCACCAAATTTGACTTTTTGACCTTGACCTCGGAGTTTGACCCATTTTACACAAAAATTCCAAGCGTTTACTTTAGCCATAAAGTTAGAATGTTAGACACTAGGAGTTTCATATTTCATATATGTATTTTTTGTGGCAAGACCTTTCATTTTAATACCAACAACTTCGACCTTTTGACCTTGGAGATTTCCGTACTTAAGAAAAAACTTTAATCTTGGTCATTATTTTTGAAAAATAAGGGCTAGGGCTTTCGTACTTTACATATGTAGTCCTTGTAAGAATACCCTTCAATGGATAACAAGAACTTTGACCATTTAACCTTGACCTTGGAGTTTGACCTACTTTTAAAAAACAAAACATTGACCAACACTTGTGAAAGGTTAGGGCTAGGGCCTCCATACTTAACATATTTAATCCTTGCGGCAGGACCTTTCATTGGATATAAAGAACTTTGATCTTCAACTTGGAGTTCGACCTACTTTTTAAAAACTTTGACCTTGGCCATAACTTTTGAACAGTTAGGGCAAGGGCTTTCATCCTTAACATAATATGTAATCCTTGTGACATTAGACCTTTCTTTAAAAAAAACCCGTTGACCTTAAAGTTTGACCTACCTTTCAAAAATTTATCTTGGCCATAACTTTTGAACAGGTGGTGCTAGTGATTTCATATTTCACAATTGTTTTTCTTGTGAGAAGACCCTACTTTGGGTAACAATTATTTAAATTTGCATTGAAGAAAAAAATCTAGAAATCAAGGGCAGCTTGAAAGCCATTGTCCTTTCTTTTTGGTAGAAAGATATATGTCTCTGATTATACATAAATATCTTGAAGATGGATGAAATTATTGTACATATTTCATTACCAACTGGAAAGCAGATGTACTTCTGATTAAGTGTTTACGTATAAAAATGTGAAGACTACAGGCACACAATGAACATATCTGAATAATTCTTACCAGAAGAGGAGGTACAGGGCGGGGGCATGATTTTTAGGACCCCCCCCCCCGAAAAAAAGTAAATAATAAAAGAAATCCAATTAAGATTTTTTTTTTGGATAAGGCTTTAACTCCTATCCCTCCCTACATGAAAAACTTCTTTCAGGAACGGGGGAAAGTGGTTGGGTGACCGCTTGAATCAGCTTTCTGTCCAGATGCATTATTGTTCTAAGAAAGACAACTGTGTTTAGTTTTACAAACTCTTGAGCACAATATGTGGGTCAAAAATAAGAGTTATCTTTCTTGTTTTAGCGAAGTGATCAAAATTTATATTTTACCAGTTCTTCAGTTTGAACTTTCTGTATATAAACATGACAAATACATAAACATATTTTTAAAAAATAATTTTTCCCTAATATAATACAATTATGCACCACTGACATCTTCATGATCTTGTAATTTTGTAATTGATCCGCTTGAACTTTTCTCTGATGTGACCTGACCTAGCGACACGCCCATCTTGGTGTGTGTAGGTGTGGCAGAATCGAGCTCCCGGATGAGTGAACATGGCGGACGGACGGCGAGAGAGAGGAGGAAATCACTGAGGTATATAACTTTATTTTTTTCTCCATCTTTGATATTTATCATTTGTTGTTATTTTAAGTAAAACATAAACAATGAGGTTGCATCTTTAAAATGTAAATAATAACTCGATAAATCTGCGTCCGTGATGAAATAAACAACGTCCTCAGCTGTTCATTTTCACATCGGCCGATGGGAGATCTTGTCCACTTCAGGCTAGGGTTCTCATGGTTCTTTGTCGTGCTTGTGTCGGGGTGTCGGCCGCATATTTTTTTTTAACTGTTGGATTAAAAAGCAGTTGCTGAACAGAACTTCCTATTATTTGGGTTTGCATTAATCAATTCAGAGACTTCATATGTTTACATCAGCTGTTAATCTATCAGTTTGCATGGAAGAGGTTTGAGATTCAATATTTTTTCTCCTTGATAGATTTGACTTAACATATTGGATTTGTATCCAGGATAGAAAAAAAAAACCTAGGTTGCTATAAAGGATTTAAATTTCTCATTAAATACTTCATAAGCATTACTGTATAAGAAGTTCCTGTTAGAGTGACAATTGCATGAATATTATATTGTGATATTTTTGTTATAAGATTTTAAAAGGTGTACCTAAGTAAGAAGAAATAAATCTATTTTAGAAAGGACTTAATCTCTTATGTTTCATTATTGTGGTTCACTTTGAAGATCACACCAGTATGCCCAGCGTATTCCAACCAAATGTACACTTGATGCTTCTTTGGATGTTTTGTTTGATGCTGCAACTGACCTACATGCTTGGTCAGTTGGTGACTTTTTGTTTTATTCAGCATATAAGTTTGTTTCCATGCAGCTTGAATAGATGGCATTTAGACCAGATTATTATGGAATAAGTCATTTATTGTTTGTTTTATGCAGCCACTATTTACTTTGGATAGATATCTGGTCTAATTAATGCATGCTCCTAATGCTGCAGCTGACCTAAATTTTATATGTTAGATTGGCCTTAAAAAACAAATTTTGAGCATGTTTCTAGCTTGTTTGCAAACCCAAACTTCATTGAATGTTTTTTTGAGGACTTCAAGACAGTCTGATAGATGCATATACATAAGGAGCTGCAGTAATTTTCAAATCTAGATTAGCATTTTAATGATATCCAAAAAAAGCAAGAAAACACTAATAAATTCTAAGCTCATCACATGATACAGAGACTAACAGTACATTTTTTGGTAATAAAAAATCTTGACACTATATAATATTCACCAACACTCGGAATTTGCCTTTCTGGGAAGGAGGGGGGGGTTGGTATCAGTCCCATTTAAAATTTACATTTTGAATATTGAAAATATTAATTTGACAAAAGGTTTACATCAAAGGTTCCAATGAAAGTGACTTGCTTTCCTAAATTTTAAATTGTGAGTTTGGACGAATTGACTTTTGCACACACACAAAAAAGTTAGGAAATGTGCAAGAAGTCTGAGATGTCTGAGATGTGATAGCTTCAACTTCTAAGGAGGGAGAGGGGTATTGGTTGTAAATATATATAGCTCTAATTTTTAAAGATTCTGGGTTAAAGAAATTAGAAATAGATAGATATATGTGTAAGAGCAAGCTCACCTTTTAAGGACAGGATATGATAAGTAAACAGACATTATAAAGATTATGAAAGTAGTCTGAAGAGCTACTTGGAAGTAGAATTCGGTCTCTGCTTTGTCTGTTGGTTCTTCATTAGTTTGTCCAGTGAGGTCTATTAAGTCAGTGACTTTCATGCACTATAATATTGCAATATGCTGTGTTAGACATAACTGGAGTTTTCAGCAAAAGTTTCATTTCATTATCTAATGAAGACGTTTTGGTTCAGTTAGCCATGTAAACTGGCATGTCTTCTTTTCCTAATGTTTTTGATAAACACATTAAAAGTGGGCAAACAGTCAACAAGGTATTGAGATAAGCCTATATATAAATCAACTTATTTTAGGTAGATGCATGTAGTCTTCATACTGAAAATTTAATGGACTACAATTTTCTAAAGCATTTAAAAATGAAAGTACAATGTATTAAAAAAAAGTATTCATTAATTTTTTGTTGTAATTTCCAGAAATCCTAATCACTTTAATGAAGACAAGATGAAAATGATGATGAATAAGTTTATTATGAATGTTAAGGACACTTGGAAACTTAACACGTTCAGATGCATGATGCTCTTGCGTACTGATGATACCTTGAAAAGTTCAAAAATCTCAAGTAAATTTATTGTCCTTGAGCAAGGAATTATGGTTGGAAATTTTTTCTGATACAAGTACAAGTTGGAGATAAATATTTTCTAAGCATGGTGACAACACAGTATGATTTTTTTTCTATAATGCTATTTCTTGAGTTTGGTTTAACAACATCTTCTGTTATTGCCCACCTGGACCCCAATAAAACATATACTTTGTACAGTATGTTGTTTTTCCAGTCTTGTGACTTATGATATACTTTGTCATCCTAATTAAGTCACAGTTTCTGCTGCAGGCTACAGTGCAAGTGGGTTTACTTTTATATGTACACATGTGTATTGGTGTGGTTAATGGTGTATAGACTTTATGTGTAAAAGTAAATAGGAAAATTATTTCATGACTTTTTCTTCATTTCAGCATTTTTATTCATCAGACATGTCAACAATATATGACAGTCTATGCATAATACAATCATACTTAAAAACTAAATAATGTGATAATACATGTATATGATTAGTATTTGTGAATTTTTTTCCTACTTGTCAATGACTACCATCTGAAACAAACACGTTCCATATTCCCATCCATTCAATACAATTATTTGATGCGGAAACTTGGGACTTCAGAGTCTGTATTTAAGACACACAGTTGAACATTAGTATTTTGAACATCAATACACACATCTTCTATATCAAAGTGAGTTGGAATTCACAATATTTCTTTATTTTATTATTTGTCTGTATTTACATTGACCTCAATTTCTTTAATCTTCAGACATCTATGATATTTCCTGGTCTTATTGAGTTGGTGATAATGAGGTCTGACTGTATTGAGGTTTGGGTCAGAAGGGGCTGCATCTATGACCAGTGATGAATAGTAACTAGAGTTTTTGATTTTTTCAGGGAACCATAAAAGCCAATGCTTGAGAAGAAAAGAAAATCAAGAAAAAGAGAAAAAGAAGAAATAATTAAATTCCCCCAGTGATTTCTGATCTATGTCTGTAGCCAGAACAAGGTACGATTGTAGATGTAGGATTTAATTACGTAATCTTAACCTTTACATGTAGGGGATGAGAGACCTCAGTTCATGAAGCTTTGATGAGTATCTGCAGGTTTTAATTTAATGTGATATAATGTTTTTATGCTTAGTTGAAAGATGGTTCATTAATGTAGTAAGGACTAAACAGATTGTTTTAGATTTGGGGCCCATTTTTTTTTTATGGTTGACAAAATAATCCACATATCTACAGATATTGTAGAAATATATTGTATGATATCCACATTTTATGATCATCTGCAATTTTAACCTTGAGGCCTTTTGTTGCCACTTTTGACATGTTTTTGTTTTATGTCTTTTTTCACGAATTTACCGCAATATAATTTTGAAATATAAAAAATTAATTTCTGTTGTGCTGACAGATTTTCATAAGAATTAAAGACCTTAATCACCGGGAGATTAAAAGAGTTGATCCGATGGAATTAAATATACAGGCTTAGGGACCATTGAACTTTAAGTGCAAAATTTGCATCCGATCTGAAGTTTGCGGGCAGTATTTGGTCTAATGTGTTTAAGCTCCTGGAGATTTTGCATCCATTTGGGTATTTAGAAAGATTTAACTGATTTATGTGTAGGAAATGTGTGGGATGGTGAAGCTAAAAGCCTGAAAAACCCCATGTGCATGCATACAGACATACAATTTGTAAGATAAATCAAGCAAAACCAAAATTGTCTATCCTTTTTGAAGTTTAACGTTCATACCACAATGAATGTTTTATGAAATATTCTGTGATTAAATACCATATTTGCATGTAATTGTCTATATCCCTGGGGATTTTGAATGTATTAACTTGGAAAAAACGGTGGATCATTTGTATTTGGGACTTGCACTGCTTATTAGGTCCATGTATATACGGTACACAAAACATCAAAAGCATTTAATTTTCCTTTCCCTTGAAAATTATGTAATTGGCTTAGTTGATGCTTTTATATTCAATTTTTAAAGACAGAGGTTATATGCTAGAATAAACAGAAATTGAGGAAGTATCTATAAGCCTTGCATGCATCCATCTTTCCATCTTTGATCTTCATAAAGGTACTTAACCATGCAAATGAAAATTGTTTTGCTATTTTGCAAAATGAAAAAGAAATTTAGCTCAACTGATATACAGTATACAATATGTCAGCTCTGAGTTTGTATATAAGTTTGAGCCATTGAATTTTCACTATTTTGAACTCCATCATTGTCTCAATTTTTTAAGCCACAGACTGCAGTCTGCTAAATGCTCTCTCCAGAATGGGAGAGGATCCTACATTTTGGCCGTGGTTTGCGATGATGGAACTCCATGGGACCAAGGAAAACTTTGTTAAATCCAAGATATTTGAGATATTTAGATTAAAATGCATAGATCGAGACATAGTTTTGACTTTCATATTAGTATGGAATATCTGTGATATTCATCAGTATAAAAATGTTTGAGATTTCAAAGTTCACATGTAAATTAAAAAGACTCCATATATAATATGTTACTTTTGATATGGTAATTTATTTTGAGTACACTTACATATACTAAATTGTTTTTTTAGAGAGGACCTTATGAATCATCTGTATAGTTTTATAATATTCAAGTAGATATTATAGAATGCTAAAAGAAAAATGTCACTAAAGTTGTCGTCCAGGATTCATTTCTTGTCTGCCAAGCATAAACTTATCACATTTGTCATTATTTCTTCTTTCTTTTTGGAACACTTAGAATTCTGACTAACATTGTTACATGACTGAACTTTTTTGTACAGAGGGGTGAGATACCAGGTTAACAATCAAGTACAATTGTTCCTCTGGATCTAATATTCTTATCTGCGCATTGTAAAAATTATTTAATAATTCAGAATATTATGTGGTTGAGGATTGCTTTTGACACAAGTGAGCTTATAATAAGACTGTAACTTAAGTTGAATAAGCACTTTATAAAGGGGAAAATATTGCACACATGTATAAACATGTGAACCAATTCGTTTTGCAAATTAATTTGAATTTCATACATAAATTAAGCATATGACGATATAAAAAAAAAAAAAAAATTAACTTTTATCTCTATGATTTTCTTAAGCACACCGAATGCCTGTACAATTATAACTTTATTATTTGCGGGGCAGGTTTAATATAAAGGTTGTCTAAGAAGGTCGACACTTAGCTCTAAACAGTAGAGTGGCTATCACTTAAAAAGAAGCCAAGATATCTGGTGGCATTACTTGTTTACTCGGAAGTCAGCGGAGGGAGGATTCCGGCAGCTACGTGGATCGTTAGATAAAAACTTGGACAAACAGTCTAGGTGTGGCTGGCAGGCATTAAATCGAACACACCACTAATCTCTGGAGCATCCGAGCATACACCTGCCTTCATTAAGTAACGTTACATCCACGATCAATACAAGGGGATATTGTTTGGGGGGTTTCAAGTTCTAAGAGATATTGTTTGGAGGACTTAGATCAGAATTTATTTTTTTATGAGGAATTTTTATATTAAAAGCTAGTTTTGTTATTTTGATTACACAGTAACTCACAGAATATAATGAAATGTTATCAAAGGTCAGAATTCCAATTCCTTTACGATAGCAAATGAATAAAAGGCCAATATTTTTTATGTTCATAAATCAGAAACTCCTCCCCTTAGGTTTCGTTTTTGTTTGATATAGACATGATTTCCTTATAGAACCTGATGTTATGAATGGAAACAGATATATAGGACCATTGGGGTGGTAAATCAGGCCGACTTCCCAATTTATTTCTGGCTTTTACTATCTATAAGTATTCATTTAGAGGACACTCGTGTAGATTTGATAAGAAGAATTACAACAGGAAAACAATCATCGGAGATTATGATAGGGGGGAATAAGAAAGGTTGTCAGTTCCTATCAAAATAAATGCCTCGATCATTGGAGGTGATAGGAACCTAGCTCTTTCAATTATAACAAGGGGTTTTTGGGATTTACATATGCTTCCTGGTTCAATGTTGATGATCAATAGATCAATCAATATTGGTGTTTTTTGGAAATGTTCCCTGTTGACTGAGAAATTTATTAGAACCCGGCAAAGAAAATGTGTCTTCTCTCAAATTTAGATTTCTTGACAAGAATAAAAAGTTTGTGCTTTCCATAAAATATATGTCTTTTCTCTTATCCAGAATCTTTCATCACAATATTTTTGCTCAGGTAATTAATTAACTGACATGAGTCATATGACCTTGCCATAAATAAAATTTTAAAGGTGCATGTGTCTATGTGCAGGAAACACTGTTAGTGTCTAACTGTGTAAAGTTGGGCTCCACTGATGGACAACATTTGTTTAATCATATGCATGGGAGAATGAGTAAGACGGGAAAAATTTTCATATAAAAAAACCTGCAAGCAATGCAAAAAAAGGGAAGAGAGAAAAAAAAAACACATCCTTGATAAACAAATGTTGAAGTTGATGTTTACCTATGCATTTTTTCCACTGAAAAGTACGTATTTTATTTGCCGTGAAATTCACGAGACGTGAAAAAAGGGACCTAAAAAGCAAGCGACTGTCTAGATTTGGGAGCTGACTAATGTTTTTTCCACTGTGAGTTGATGGGACTCAGCAGTCTTGTCATCACTCCACACCTATTTGGTCATTGGCTGTACCTGGCCCAAGGTCTCCTTCTGATCTACGTCAAGGATTCCCTCATCTCTTGGAGAGTCCACTATGATGGGGATAAATCTAGGACTGCCGCACAAACACAGTCATTGTAATGTTTACCATAGAAAGTGAAAATAACCAGCGTTATCTCTACTGATGGGTAACAAATTAAGAGCTTGCAGGTAAACCTAGCTCCTCTCTGTAATTTCTTTCCTTCTGCTTGTCCACTGGTCGCCAGCCTTGTAATTAATCAATCTTTGGAGGGACCCCACCCCTTTTTCCAAACTTGGGATTTAGCCTGGCAAACCAGGTGGGATATGGTTAAACTGGGTGTGCAGGGAAGACCCAATGCTAACATGTTTGCCACGGGGAGTAGTAGTCTTGACCTGGAGAATTTGGCCATCTCGCAACAAGCCTCCGAACTCAGCATTGCACACTGGGTAAAGGTCTGTACTACCCCCCCAATTGTTGACTACTGTAATGCATCCCAGAAAAGATTAATCCCCTCAGATTATAACTTTTTATGGGCATTAACGAAGATAAATCTTTTTACGGGTTTCTATAATCCTTTTATAATCGACTCGTGAGTTGTGTAATGGGAAATCATAATATGATATGAGTTATGACTTTTTCCATTTTTATCTCGGAAAGTGCTGAAATGTTGGAGATGTTCTGTGTAATTGCAGAATGCATGTCTTGGTAGTCACCTAGTTGTGGCAAATGTTTTTCTTTTTGAGGTGGGGTGAAGGATGCGATAATTCGATTTCCTGTGGTGATTGACAGAGCTGTCTTGAGGTTTTTTAATGACTGTATTTCATTAGAATTCATTGAAAGGTCCTTGCACATCACAGGATTTTCCGTCTTCTGTTATGGATCTGTTTTCTAATAGTTCTTGTTTCTTTGATTATTGTTTAAATGGGTAAGTTTCAGAAACTGTTTTTTAATTATGTTATTTTCGCAGTTAAGTAATTAAGATGTTTAATTTCTTTCTTCAATTGTAGATTGCAACTCAAATGAAAAAAAAGTTGTTCGTTTATAAAATTCAACATTTTTGGGGAGGATTGTCTTATTTTAAAGTTTTATTTATTTCTTTTATGCTTAAAGAAAGGAATTGTTTGAAAATTACGATTCTTTAACCTTTCATATGAGGAAAATTTCAGATAGGTAAAACACTGTGACCTTTCCTTGTTTATAAGTGAAAAATATCTCCATTGAAATAATAACTGTCAACCATTTACATGCTTGTTTTATGATTCATATATAATCCTGATCCACTTGCTGTTCTGTTTTTAAAAATTATTCCTCATTATATGTTAATTGAACATGAACTTTGGGCAATAATTTTTCAGTAATATGTAGACATTAGCAGAGATCACAATTTATGCGTCCGCCAATGTAGATATGTGATTATACTCCCAATTAAAGTGACACCGTTCATCCTTTAATAAAGTGAATTGCTACCTGCAGCCATAAATTTTAAGTAAATCAGATTTGAATAAACACTTAGCATTTTGAAGAGGTTTGACTGCATAAATGTGACAAGATTTTTTTTGGGACCCTGTCAACCACCGGACAATTTATGTCTCTCCCACACAAGATTTCCACTTCCTCTAGTGCTGCCAGACATAAACGTTAAGGATTTCTTCTACAAGAGATGAGAATGTTGGGTAATTATAAGAAAGGGGAGAGAGAGAGGAAAAAAATCTCCTTGTGACTGGCTAGCATGATCGAGGGTTAATGGTCGCCTCTTGTGTTAAACATGGTCTTAGTTTTGCCTCCGTATTGATTTTCGTCCTTTCTTTCAATGATCATCTCAGCTATGTCTAGTCTGCCATGGTTAAACATTTAATTGAGTTACATGGTTATTACATATCTAATTTTTGCTGAAATGGTTTTGACCTTAGGTACTTGAGGGATATATTATACATGTGATGTAGAAACAGTGAGCCCTTGAGAATGTTTAGACTGCGGAGTAGATCAGGAAATTGTTTGTATGTAAGGTCACCACGTCAGTCAGCCATTGGGTGTAGTCTGGGAGTGGTTAGTGGGAGGTGCTTCCAACAGCTGTGGTAATGTATATGCAGAGGGAGGAAGATCATTTCTCACAACGGCCGGTGCTGATGCAGACTGGATTCTTGTAATAAGTTTGAAGCTCTCCCCAGAATTCTCATGGTGTGGCACTTTGTGAAGGTATTTATGTATGTGTGAGAGAGGAGAAGGAATATATGATTTATGTGCGGTCGTCTGTGTGTGTGTATTACAACTTATATCTGTAGGGTAAATAGACATGTTGTATGTCAGCTGTTCACTTGTTCAGAGATAATATAACTAGGGGTCATATGTTGACCCAGCCGAGACACACCTACCGATAGTTTTCCACTCGTACTGTGTTTTATCTTGGTGACTTTGTACAAGGTTTTACCAGGGAGGATTAGCTAGCCTTCCCTTGGGATTGTTGTTGGTATGTTTTTAGCTTGTAAAGGAGATTATAGAAGGCAGTTTTTTTCATTTCTGCAGTTCAGGCTTTATACTCTGAACACTTTGGGAGAAAAAGAAAAGGCGGACTTGCAAAAGAGATTTGACTGGGAAGGGGAGGTTTATGTGTGTGTGAGCCTGCTACAGTAAATGTAGGTTATGAGGATAAATTATGCAGTTAACTTTCGTATGTGTGCTGAAGTGTAAAGATATCTGAAGTTTTTTTTCCTTTCTGTGTTAACCCAGTCATCTGTGTTTTTTTTTTCAACTTTCAATTTTCAAATGAATTTTGTTATTAATGATTTATAATTGTGGGTCCACGTTTTATTGACTGGGGCACTTGATCACACAATGAGACGGATCGTTGTGAATCACATTAGTACTTGACTCGGTACCTTTCGGGGATGACTTATAAAGTGTGCTTTGTTGTACCACATACTTCATAGACCCAGTCAGAAATTGACATGCACTTATTAGCAAAAAATTTTGTATACATTTACCTGTGTCCTTTATTGACCTAAGATTTGAAATTGATAGTTGTTTTTTTTTTTTTTGCTGAAATTCAAGGAAGATAATCAATTTAAAAAGAAAGAAACATAATTGAAAAAAATCTTGTGACTGAATATTGATATGAAATGAAATTATTGAGGCATGTTTATGCCTTCCGAAAAGCAGTAAATATTACCACCTTGGGTCTCTATCAAAAGATTTATGAGATGTGTTCAATCTTCTTCAAAAGTGCACCATCTTTATTTTGTTAGTTATATGTTATATCTGGGTTACTTGGTTAATTATCGATAACATGATCATTCATAATTTGAGGGATATTACGTACTAAAGAGGTGTAAATTGATTTATATTTGATATAAAAATAATTATTTTTGTGATCATCTTGATCTATTTCATCAATCTGGAATACTTTTTGGCTCAAAGGGATGTACATGATGTTTCTAACCTTCAGAATGTTGCATTTATGGAAAATTATACAGAATGTTTTTGAAATCAATTATTTCCTTTCAAATCTAAATAAAAATAAAGAGTTCATTTTATGGGAAGTTTTGTACTTTGCTTAATTTATTATTTCCTCCTTATCATCGGAAGATAGATAATATCTCGCTGTTATGGGTGTGGTTTCAGCCTTAAGGGACACAAATTTGTCATATTCTATTATTAATTAGCTGACAAAACTTTGAAATTCATTTTCTGCAAAGAGTATTATTTCCCCAAGGATAACCAAAGAAATTTATAATTTATTCTAAAATTATATATATTCAAAACCTATGATATTGAAAGGAATTGTGGTTGAACTTTTCCCTATGGAAATGGATATATAGACAGTCTTTGTTTAGTTACCGGATAAGAAAATATGTCTTCAAAATGTCTAAGACACTAATATTTTTTGTCCCAAATATGTAATTAAAGTTGAAGAATATACTTTCCTTTGGCATCCTTGAAATTTTTCTGATAGGTTAATGTTGTCAAAAAATTACCATCTGATTTGCATAGTATTGTGTAGCATTCATTTCCTCTTTATTTTTTTAAGTTTGTCGGACATGTCCATGTCAAAACAGATAAATATCAGAAATGTTAAAAATCAAGTCAACTGGGTCATTTTTTCTCTAACTTCAAGGAAAGGGTCAGAAAGAACCATACATATGTATGTGTACAGTGAACTTTGATGAATGGGCTGTCAAACAGCCATCAAATTTGAATCACTCATCACAGCTTGAATTTGTTTATTTGCACTCAATTAATGTTTTATAAAGCATGTATTTTTTGAAAAAAAAGGAGTTTAGTGCACCTTCAAAGCAGGGTTCAGAAAATGCTGTATTTTGAAAGTTATCTAAATCATTGTGATCCTTATTTCAGAGGCAGTCACATATGGGTAATGCAAGCTTTTGCTGCACCAAGAGTTCACTGTTGAACTTACCTGAGATTCAATATTTTACAATGATGACTGATGTACTGCCATTTTTTTCATCATGGAATATGTTACCTGTGGATTAGTATACAGTATGCAAATTAACTGTATAGACACATAAAATATATGTCTGTTTGTGTGAAGCTAATTAATGAATTGTCAATGATTTGTGGAGGTTCTGTGTGACAGTTATGTAGAAGTTCACAGCTTTAAGTACCAAAGTCATAACAAATAGGCACTTACATTTAATACTTCACTATGGGATCCAAAGTTATATGGCTGTCAAAGTGGAATTTTACGAAGGTACAAAGTGACAAAGGAATTGTTTTCTTTTCTTGAGAATCCGAAGTCAATATTTTTGCTCTTCGGACTTTCCATTAGGATTTAAATTGATGTGATATTTTTGTACTACAGACTGAGACTTATAATTAATGTATTTTATTAGTCCAAATTAGGATCAGATGGCCAGTAAATACCATATTGTTCACTTCAATACTTCTTCAGTAAAATTTTACTTTCTTTTTCAGATGTCGGCCATGACAGACGATGGTTCACCAATGGTACAGCAATTCAAACATACAGAAGACTCAGATATTAGTTCCTCTAAATCTCCATACGGATCATCCGAAGGTTCTCCGCCACGATTAGACGACGAAGATTCCAATGATGAACCGCCATTTAAGTGTGTCAAAACTGAGCCAAGCAGTGTTCTATACCGTGACTCTCCCATGCCAATAAGCACTCAGATACCGTGCGGTTTTCAGTTCAAACTCGAAAATCCTAGTCCAGAGAGACAGTCTCTGTCGGACTTGAGCCCGAATTCTTTGGACTCTTCGGTTTCATCCAATGGGAGCCTAATTCCTCAGACCCCCTCTCCTAACTCTCCCATCATCGGGGAGGAGGGAGTCAGTGCTTTTACGAAAACTGTCCCCAAAACTTCTGAACAGAAACTTGCACTGATCAAACTAAGTCAGATTAAGAGTGCATTCAATTATAGATCTCCCAATAAACCTACTTCTATTGGACAAATGTTTGCGCTGAAAAAACGAATAAAACAGGCCCAGTTGAACGGGGATGTGAACCTGACGGCTAACTCTCCATCCCCCCTTACCGACGGAGAAATGGTGAACAGACTGTTAGCCAAGGATGCGACAAAGAATGGAACCAAGGTCAGTATTCTTAATCTTAAAACCAAAATCACGATACAGTAAAACATGATTATAAGGAAGAGCCAGGGACAGATGATTTTGCTTCATTTTTAAGTGTAATTTGTGTAATTTGTTATATCCATCAAGTTTACAATATATCATAAAGTCAAGGGGAATGAAAATCACTTTGCTGTAAGCATCCATTCATTTTAAGGCCATGTTCGCTATAACCGCGTTTTACTGTATTTTATTTGAAAGAAAGGCTAGTAGAAGAAAATATGCATGCCATACTGTAAATACAAACTTGTTTGCATGACATGTTGAGAGTGGTGTAACAGCCCAGTATTGTATGCTGCAGCTATTGATGCAGTAGAAAAAAATGATGTGCATAAATCTCCCATTGGATTTAAGGAAGTGATATCTGAACAAATCCCAAAGTTAACTTTTGCTTTTGTCTATAATGTGAAAATCTATTAATAAATAAATGAAAGAGATTAATTCACTGGGAAAAAACCAGAGCAGAAATAGGGAATTTATAGAATTAGATTACAACTAATGGGGACCATATTGATAGATATTCAGTCAGATATGAAAGTATTTTGACTAGCATTCTTTAAATCATTCCAGTTTTAAAATTAAACCATCAAGATATATATTTCTAAATGTAGTTACCCCCTCCGACTAAAGCATATTGATGACACAAAACATTCTTAATATTTGCCAAAAATTTCTGGGTGAACAATGGATTTTTATGGATGTGTGTTAACATTAAAAGTCTGTATGCATGACTTACTATTGGAGTCTGGTAGAGATTTTTGAGTTTCTTGTAATTATTTATGATAGCCTCAGATAGTGCAGATAAGATTGTCTACCCACTGGCTGTGCACATATGGTGCAGAAAAAAACCTTCTACTGCATATAAACCTTCTAGTACATTCAGTTACAAAAGAATTCCACTCTTGATAACAAAATTTTCTTTTCTTTTGAACAAATTATTCCATAATTTGATTGTCTCTGATATTGGGATGTTTGTGGCTCTTCTCAATTTTCTCTCATTTTGAGAAAGAATTCAGGTATTTTCAACCTATTTGTAAGTTAACAGTTGTGTCTACATGTACTTTCTAAACAACCAGTGTGCTTGGTTTCTGTATATTCTGTCTGTGTATCTTAGAAATATTGTGGTACACTTTACGATTATTGTGACGCATCTGGTAGGAGTTTAGTTCCTTTGTGAGCACTATGGTTTCTATGTGGACGCCTGTTCTTGTCATTGATTGGTCCTGTTTCTGACACGGCGAGGCGATCTTTGACAAAAGTTCCTTTACGAAATGCATGTATTTCTCAAGTTCTCTCTTACTCACTTTTACACCTACTGCTCCCAAAAGACATGGCAAATAATGGAAACATGAACATTTATGGAAAAATGAATATTGATCTTATGAAATCTGATGTTCAAGGCATTAGATATATGTTGCGTGAGGAAAGAAATTTTTCAAACAAAAGTATTTTTTTTACTGTTTTGCTCTGCGTGCATTTGATATTGTGAAAAGTATATTTGCATATACATTATACAATGTACAACCATATAATACACCGAGCAGTGTCTATCCCAGAGCAGGTCGTGGTTTCGTTGCTTTGTGTCAAGCCCCATTAATGCGGCTTCCTGGTTAAAATGTGGGTTTCCTGATCGACTAGATCCCGTGAGCAATTTCCGACTCCAGTGCCTGGGCGTGCAAGGCTCTTGTATAACATCGTTACAATTTATGTCGGCATCATAGGTATCACTGCATCTGCTTACGAGGTTCAAATCCGGCAGGGGCACCAAAATCTGTATACCAATTGCATAGATTAAGTCGGCTTTTATCCACTATCCTATATAGATTTCTGCATTTCCTGTCAAGAGATTGGATGAATGCTTTTTGATTTAACAAATAGTTAAAGGACCTAATTTTAAAAATTTTTTGCTTGGAATACAATACATGTTTACACATACATATTGTATCAATTTTGTATTGTATGAATGTAAAATACATGTAGTTTAAAGTTATGGTATGTCATATAGGAAATAAGCCAATTGAATAATGATTTACACTGTTAACTTGCAAAATCTAATCTTGTTGAATATAGAGAAGCAACATATGAAGAAAAATTTGGATTTTTAAAAAAAGGTGAAATGTACTCACATATTTGATAATAGAAACAGGTAATTGTATCTAATAAAAATTTGAAAAAAAAGACCAAAGGCAGTTTTCACTACAGTTTAATGGTTCATTACCGCCATGATTAACCCGAAATCTGTACTTGAAAAACGATGTCTCCTTGTTCGAGGTTACACTGCAAGCCATTACAGTAGAAAAATACCTGTTAGAGATACGTTAGTTGTCAAATTATGGAGAAATTACCATACTGAAAATGTCACCCACAAGCAAGTCTACAGTATTCCAGTTGTGGCATTGTTATGCAAAAGAGGGAAAACTTATGGAGTGATAATTTGCTTAAATACAGCTCAATGACAAAATTAATGCTAATGTAGCGAATATGTATTTCCTGTGTTATCTTGTAGGGCACTCTTGTTACTGAATATCTATTGATTCGGGGAAAATGGAATTCAAAAGTGCGGGGGAGGGGCAGGCAGTTTTGTAAGAATTGAGGAAAAGATACATGAAACCAAAATTTCGAGGGAAAAAATAATCGGTTGCACTTCCTCTCTTTTTTTAGAAGATTGAGAATTTTGTTTATCATGATGAGTATGCAGTGGATGTTGGTCATATGGTATCGTTTTCTTATTAACAGTTGTGATGTCACATTGGTTTTTGTGTGAAAGAGTTGAAGTTGATTCATATATAAAAACAGTGAACAACATGTCATAACTATGTGTAAAACATGCCATAAAAAGAAGGGTCTGTGGTTGAATATGATTTTTTTTATCCAGCTTGTGTGTTTTCTATCCCCTCACCTGAAAGGCTCAAAGATAGGAAAAAAAAAAATTATTGGATAAAAAAAATCATATCTCTAACCACAGACCATGGGAAATCCTATATTTATCCAAAATTTCAGCAATGATGAATGAAATTTACCTTGTATAATCTTACGATAAAGGAGAATTTTTTTTTATTAAAGTGTTGATGGCAGAACAGGTTTTAAATTCGGAGAGCCGACAAGTTCTATGGGTTATACATGAAGGAGATGGCGTTAGAGATCAAATAAATGAAGTAGAAAAATGGAGAAATTTAATACCAACTAGTAATCTGCTTTTGCAGAGGAAAACATTTAAAGCTTTTATCATAATATCAACAAAAGACCTCTCCTGAATTCGACATGTATTATATTTTAGGCTTCCAAAAAAAAAAAAATAAATAAATATATAAAATGGAGATAAATATAATCATACCCAATTGATAAAAGGCAATGATTTGTGAAACTGGTGAGAAAATTTGACAATAAATGTAGATTTTTGGGATTGAAAGAAGAGGTTGAGTTACATCAGCCAAAGAATTTTATCAAAAGTGTCAGAGAGATGGCTGCCTTACGTGAACCCCACAGCAATGATGTAATTCTGTTGCCATGGGTGATGGCAGAAGGTGTGGTGGGCCATCTACATAGATACCAGCATAAAGATTTTACTTGCTTAGATTTGCACGTAGTATGTTGCATATGGGATCTAAGGCCATTAGCAGCAAGGTCCAATGTACAATGAACTCAAAATTTATTTATTTTTACTTTTTAGCTCACCTGAGCCGAAGGCTCAAGTGAGCTTTTCTAAGTGAGCTTTTCTGATCAAAATTTGTCCATTGTCTGTCGTTGTCGTTGTAGTCGTTGTCGTCGTCGTAAACTTTTCACATTTTCATCTTCTTCTCAAGAACCACTGGGCCAATTTTAACCAAACTTGGCACGAAGTATCCTTGGATGAAGGGGAATCAAGTTTGTTCAAATGAAGGGCCACGCCCTTTCCAAAGGGGAGATAATTATGAATTAGAGAAAAATTAATGGCATTTTTAAAAAATCTTCTTCTCAAGAACCACTGGGCCAGGAAAGGTGAAACTCATGTGGAATCATCCTCAGGTAGTGTAGATTCAAGTTTGTTCAAATCATAACCCCCCGGGCAAAGGTGTGGCCGACCCAAGTTTTACATAGGAATATATAGGAAAAATCTTTAAAAATCTTCTTCTCCAGAACCACTGGGCCAGGAAAGGTGAAACTCATGTGGAATCACCCTCAGGTAGTGTAGATTCAAATTTGTTCAAATGATGACAGGATAAAGATTATATAGGTAAAATCTTTAAAAATCTTCTTCTCAAGAACCACTGGGCCAGGAAAGATGAAAATCATGTGGAATCGTTCAGGTAGTGTAGATTCAAGTTTGTTCAAATGATGAGGACAAGGTGGGGCCAAAAAGTTTTACATAGGAATATGTAGGAAAAAATCTTAAAAATCTTCTTCTCCAGAACCACTGGGCCAGGAAAGATGAAATTCATGTGGAATCATCCTCAGGTAGTGTAAATTCAAGTTTGTTCAAATCATGACCCCTGGGGCTACGGTGGGGCCAAAATGGCCCACCCAAGTTTTACATATGGATATATATAGGGAAACCTTTTAAAATCTTCTTTTCAAGTACTTCAAAGCTATGATTAGTGTTACTTATATGGAATCATCCTTAGGTAGTGTAGATTCTAGTTTGTTCAAATGATGAACGCCTGGGGGGGGGTGTTAAATTCAAGCCCGATGTGCTCAGGTGAGCGCTGTGGCCCCTGGGCCTCTTGTTTTCATGATCTACGAATTTGCGAATTTGTCAAGTATATTTAAACATTGCGGCTATGCACAAAATCTCTTCCCACTGAAAATTTCTTAAGGGTTTGAAAGCAGTAGAAGTTGTGGGTGCGTGGAACCTAGTTATAGTTTCATAGTAATGAATCAGACATGCAGCATCAGAGAAACGTTTTAGTGCATTCAGTGTGTGGGTTTCAAAAAATTCACTGGTGCTTGTTCAAGGTGGGGTCATGGTTGAAACCCCCTACTGTGGTGCTGATTGCATTGTTCTGTGCTCGCACTGATTGCTCTGCATTAAGTATCAGTGGTATGCTTCACTGAATTTCAATAATTTCAATCTCCAGGAGAGCTTTCTTATTGTTGCGAAAAGAGATGCTTAATTGCCGCATTAAAAGAAAAATTCCTAAAAAGTACATTTCTAATGGCAGATGCAGCAAACCTCAGTAAAGTTTCTTGAACAATTGAAATTATTGTTTCAATTCTTAAGAGTTGCTGAAAAGCGTATGAACTGATAAAGTCAGGTTCCCTCAAACAAATACTCTGGTGACGCCGTCGATGCACTGATTATACTAAATATGCAACTGTGTACTTTTTAAAAGTTTTGTTTGAACTCATTAGGTGACACTGGGAATTTAAACACAGTAGGTGACATGGAGATTTTAATTGGCAGAAAGTCAGGGAAATTGTCTCTGGGGGTCTCGACCTTCATAAACTTTTAAAGGAACTCCAATGCGGTAATATCATGTTTAAACTTTGTGAGTATAGAGCATACTTTGGGGATTTCCCCATAGTTTTCTTTTAAGGATCCTTGTGAAAATCTTAATCCATCATACTGCAGTAAACCTGCCAATCCTAGAGGTGTCAAATAATAAAAAACAAAAAATAAACCCCCATAAAACATAAAATTTTCATGGAAATATCTTGACTGTCAATTTAATTGCATGAAATTAATACTCCTTTGCTGATACCTTGGTAGAGTGTTACAAGGAGAAATTGAGCTTGACATGATATACCCTTTAAATAGATCCTTAACTACCCCATTGCCACACCAATGTTTGGGATAAAGGGGAATTTAAAATAAATATTTTTATATCAATGTTGATAACATTTCCTTGACCCCAATTGAAGTTCTTTCACCAAATTATTTGAAAATCAATAAACAATATTCAGCACTGGGGCCTTTATCCGCCTCCTTTTAGTTAGTTAATTTCTGTACCCTTGAGCTATGGGGATTTGATCTGATAGAAATAGAGAAAAGTCGGGAGAATATATTAGTGTCTTGTACAAATATCTTATGTATAACATCAGATGATATGATAAAGGATCATAACTAAGTTATGTACAATTAACGGTTTTTCTGACAGTTTTTCTCGATCCAATGCTATTTGTCCTTGTTTGTGTGTGTCCTCTTTTTTGTAAGTCTCTCTCTCTCTCTGCAGTGATATTATAGAGGCCTGTATTTACGGAGGGCGCCTTCAGTTAACAAAAATCCATGTCAAGTGACAAGTATGACATCTACTTGAAGCCCTGTTACCGAATCAGAAAAGCTGTCCCGATTATCAATTTCCATACGTCAAGGCATTTTGAACTTACTTTTAATTTCAAATTCGACAAAGACCTCATTAGCAGCCATGAAGGTGGAGGACCTTAAATGTCTTGAGAACTAAATGGTTGATCATTTTCATTTGAGAAAAAAAAAGTTTCATGTCATTGATCATTTAAATGTATTCTTTAAGAGATGCATCGTCTATAGAATTACAGGACTAAACACCGTGAGTTGGCAGAATTTTTTTTCTCTCAGTGGGCCAGATTGACTGATAAGTCTATTACCCACATCTTTTGTGCCGATTATTAAGGTCGTATTTACATGAAATCTCCGCACTTCAGTAACAAAGGCGTGCAGCCCAGCCTCGTACACACCCACCAATAGTCTATCTAATCTGAGTAACAGAAGCCGTCACAACTCAATGCCTATCAATCCATAATATTTTTCAGCCTTCACGCCTTCTCTATGCCTCACCTGTGGAGCATTTAAAATATCATATTTAAAAGGCATTTCACTACGTTGGTGTATTGTATATCAATGCATTGTTGGAATCAGAAAATCAATCGGAGAACCAGGGGGTCTGTAGCCTATTGAAATCGGTGCAGTTTAAATGTTCCACTCACCCCCTGGAGAGACTGGGTGAGGTAATATTTGAATTTTGATCAGTCGACGCCAGGCATTTATTCCAGTATACCTAACCACACTGTCAACATCATATTCTCTGTCCTGATCGAATTAAGTGAAAAAAATTTTTTTGGTCCCAGGCCATCCCAGAGTGACCACTGATGAACATATATATTGATTTTTTTTTGAGTTTGAACAATTCCGAGTGATACAGGCATTTTATAGTTGATATTGGAATTATATTGTGATCACCAAAAAGATTCTCCTGGGTGTCAACTTTATCAAGTCTGTGGTATTTAAATTCTGCTGGACATTGACAATTTGTTTTTAAGAGGCTTGTGAGCTTTTGCAGAAGTGTCGAGAATTTCGTGAAGAATCGTCCAATCACAGATACCAGATCTGTCCTCCGGAATCTAAAGGCCGCTGTCATAACCCCCAAATTATCTTTTGGAAGGAAAATCTAAAAATAGAAACAGAGGAATCTGCAAGAAGTTTAAAAATAGAACAATAGTAGATCTCAGGATATATAAATATACCTCATAAAAAACACTTCCTAGAGCAGTATCTTAACAGTATTATACTAAACTGTCATCAAGATGCATCTAACATTCTGTGAGGAATTCCACCCCTACCCTGAGTACCCGGTGTTTGGGATGCCCCCCTGTATGGGCTGCAACCAGTCCTATTTATATCCCTGGGTATGTATATATTAAGCAGATTGAATCAGGATTGTTCCTTCTGTTCCTCTTATTCTAGATTTGTATTTTTTCAGGGTTGAATCAATCATAAATGATGAAGAGTTTAGAGTTAGTAGAAATCATAGAATTTTTTTCTGTTGAACTATGGTTGTTATACTGATTTTCTGTTGAACAAGTGAATGTTACCAGAGATGGACATTTCTGAGTTGACCCAGTTGCTAATAATAAACATTTTCAAGTTCTTATACCTTTTCAATGTCATTATGTAATACTTTGTCTTTAATCAAATACAGGCCATAAGGATCAATATTGCTTAGAAGTTCTAGCTGGTTCCTCTGTGCTTCTGAGTCACTTTTGCCAGTTCTGGTATTGATAAACCAGAATGAAAAAAGTCCACTATCTTTCTGCATTGCTTGTACTTTAACATGCAAATATTGACTAAAGGAGTTTTTTCACTGTGCTGGAATACTAAATACTTTGACTGATAAAGGACTTTTTTCTCTATTTTTTTCCTTGTGTGTGTGTTAAGGTGTTTTTAGTCCATGAGATATGCAGTCTTATTGATTTGTCCCCTATGTTTTGTCTCAGGTTCTTGGATCTATGTCTTTCAATTATTCAAAGATCTTCATATGCTCAGATGGTTTTAGGCTCAAAAGTATTATTTTTCTAATCAATATATATTTAATAACCCAGATTGGGGTTTCGAAAATGACATAGGTATTGCCGACGTCTATATATCATGAGACATTGTCACATCTTAAGAAGATTTTCTTTACAATAAAGCAGTGCGGTTGCTTGGGTGTGTCTCCATAGCTGTAGGATAGAATCGTGCAGCTTTTCCTTGCAAAAGCAAGCTCTTTTTCCAATGAAGGGGGTGTGGTCCCGAGAAGACAGGTGTACAACAGACTGTTTATTATAATAATTTACCTTCTTAAATCAGTCAATACTAGTGGGGGACCACACCTTGCCTTTTTGTGGTCAATTTGATTATGTATGTGTGAAGTAATATATTCCATCATTATTATAAGACCAATGAAGTTATGATCAGCCTGACATAGGGAAAGGTTGGGCTTGGTTTCGATAATAATTTTAACACGAAAATGAAATATTGTAGGAAATTGTTATTTTGATAGATTTGAGAAATGAATATTGAGGAATTTTTATTTTAATTTTTCAGCCTGTACAGACAGAACCTGTTGATTTATCGGTGAACAAGAAATCACCTGACCACCCTGGTAGCCATCATATAGACCTGAACTGTGTCAAAAAAGGTAAAAAAAATTGTTCATGAGCTCTGATAGTTTAAATATCAAAGGGAGAGAAGTCATTCAAAAGGGATATGACTCCTGTCTATTTGCATATGATTCAATTAGGCAGCTATAGAAGAGTTTAAAAATCTAGTAAACATTGCTATCAAAATGTATATTTAAATGTCAACATCTCATTTGTCTTTAAAGACCAGGTAGTCCTAGATTTAATTTTAAAAGCAGCAAAATTTCTGTAAACATGCTAGTTAAAAAGATATGTATTTTTATAATGTTGGGAATATTTTAAAAATTATTCAAGAAAAATAAAAGCAATTTTCTAATTGAGACAAGAATTATAGAAGCCACATTGATTAAGCTCGGCAGTCCTGTTTATTAACTGAATTACAATGGCCTCATCTTCGTAATTATTAGAACAAAAGACGAGAGGAAATGCTTAGTGGAATTCAATAGTAGTCAAAAGACTCCCTCAATGCCACTGGGATAGGGGAACTTTTTTTTATACTCTCCCCATTATGTTAAGCGGATGTTGCTTCCATTGATCTCCATGAGCCCATATTAACTGTATTGAACTACTGGAATGGGAGATCTATTGAAAAAATTGTAATCACAAATATTAAGGGATGGGTTTCTCCTCGTGACGGCTGCATTAAATTCTTTTTTCATAAACATCTGTATGCTAATGAAAATAAAAAATCGTAATGCCAAAAAAAAAGTTCAAGTGCCCCATTTAAACAGATAACTGATCTGTTCCAGGAAAAATAAATATGTTTGCGAAACATTGGAGGCGCTTGGAATCTACTCTCTCTCTCACTCATTCATGGCCAATATATGATGGCAGTTTTGATTTTGTAAATGAGCTATGTAGAGATTTTTAATTTTTCCAAAGATACGCTAGGTTTATCTTGATGTACTTTTTTCCCCCCAAAACATTTGCCAGATGTAAATTTATGATTTCTTTGGAGTTAATTTTTGCCATGTTTTAACCCTCCATGGGGTGTGAAGCATGTAGCACGATTTCCCAGCTTTAATATGGTTTTATTGATGAAGATCTCGAGATTTATAGCATGAAGTTATTTCTATAGATATATTAAAAGGTCAAACAGGTTTCAGAATGCCAGTTTCATGCAAAACAGTTGAAAGTAACCATTAAATTTAAATCCAACAGTTTGATGTTGAAAGTGAACTTATATCAATATTTACATCGTGTACCTGTTTATTTACTCGCTCTTTAAACATTTATTACGTAACTGTTTACAGATTTGGTCCAGGGGGGTAGCCGAGTATCATAAATTACTTTTTTGCTGATTCACTTCCATTTTTCACCGAATCACGATATCTGTTATATATCGGATTGTAACTGTAGCTTAGATCAGGCTACTAAACAATAGGCCCGTATATCTAATCCATCGGAAACATTGATCGTGTGACCCCAGAGGAGTACTTTTGAGGCCACAAAAATTTCACACTCTTTGTGGACTCTAAAATCTGACAAGGTCTTTAAACTAGCTTCATTTATCCCACTGTTAAGCGAGTAAGAAGAATGGGGTGGCTTATTACAATAAGTGTACTCAAGTAAACAATAACAAAAATGTGTTTTAAAAGTTCAGTTAAGTAAAAAAAACTACCATGTCAGGAAAGTTTTTTTTTATATCAAAGGTTAGGCCAAGGGAGATATAAGAGAAAATCTTGTTTTTCCCATGGTTATGTAAATAGTTAAGATTACTATGAGAAATGTTGGTCTTACAAGTCATTAATGCATGTTCAGACCTTATTTTATAGTCTTACAAAAAGAGAATTACCGAATTAAATCCCACCTCTTTGTTGAATTTATTAATTGTTTTGATTGCGGTGACCCCAATCTTTGTGCATTGAACAAGACTTCAAATGAAAATAAAATTACAGGTTATGGGAGTCTCGAAAGACATGTATTGCTCATAAATCCTAAAACGATCATTTTTAAATGGGTTCAACAGCGCATTATGTTCAATATATAGGACACAGGCAATGAACTTGGTTTATCAGTTATTATAATGTTCCGTTATCTCTCGGTGCTTTTTGACCAGTATATGAGGTTATCTGAAACTTTTTATTGCCCTCTGCTTAGTCTATTTGAAACTTTCTTCCAAAAGAAAAAAAAGAAATATGTCTGAAAAAGAACATAATTATAAAGCATGAATTGTTAAAACGGCTTAAAATTATACTCATATGAACAAAATAAGAGGTTAAAATTTAAAAAAAGGACCTCTTATATCTGCTGACCACATGTAAATTAAAAAGTATAGAATGTTAAAACGACTTTAAATTATATCAATATGAACAAAATAACAGGATAAGATATAAAAGGACCTCATAGATCAACAGACCACATACTTAGTATATGATTTGTAAAGAAATGTATTAAACATCAACTGACCACATGTATTTTGTATAATTTATAAAGAGATGTTTTGAATTTTTTCAGAGGAAGACATGATGATGTCAGCGGACACAGTGAAAATTGGGTCAGCCGCGCTATTGTCACTGCAGCGTATCAAAGAGGCCTCAAAGTGAGTTGTTTATGATGACAGAAAGGGGGAAAATCTTGTAAGAATTTTACTCTGGGAGACAGGTTGTGTAGGGACTCCATATTTAGCAAACAAATCCTTCACAAAAACCGTATCTTTCACTGTCACAGTGACACGTGTGGAATTTTTGATATGGAATATTGAAATAGGAGACATTAAAAAATTAATAAAAGGAAGAAAATACCTTTGGGATGAATAATTTTTACTCTTATACAAATTTTTCTACCATGACAAACTAATAGTTCCTGATACAATTGCCTTTTTCAGTAAGTTTAAAATGATGGGTTCCCCAAGTTCACCCAGACCTGACAGTCAACCGTTTCCTATGGCAGCAGCTTGTGACGCATTTATAGACCGAGAAAAGAAGAGGCGGGTCCACAGGTGTGACTTCGAGGGCTGCAACAAAGTGTACACAAAGAGCTCACATCTAAAGGCTCATAGAAGAACGCACACAGGTACTTGTTCTGCCATTTCATCCCCACCTGCCACCCTCAACATATACCACAATATTGATATTTTTTAAAATTATTTACCTCTAATCCTTTTATTACCAAAAATATGATAAAGCTGCAGTTTATCATTTTTTCACCAAAATAAATGCATGAATTTTCAATCTTGCAGGAGAGAAACCCTACGTGTGTACATGGGAAGGCTGCACATGGCGGTTTGCGAGATCAGACGAACTGACCCGTCATTTCCGCAAACACACTGGTGACAAACCGTTCAAATGTAATGTGTGTGAGCGGGCCTTCTCCAGGTCAGATCACCTGTCACTGCACATGAAGAGACATTGATTTGTCATGGTAAGACATTTAACATGGCTTCTATTCATTCTTCATTGATTGATGTGGGTATATCCTCAGACAGCATAAAATTATTTTTAATTAAATTTCCCATTTTATTTTTATTTTGTAGATTCATTTTTAAAGGCTAACCATTGGATTTCTGTCGGCAGAAGTCGTTGCAGCCCCAGTTTTATAAAAAAAAAATGATGGACCAATGAAATGCCATCCTTTCAGTTACTGCTGATTGCCTTCCTGTTGGTGATTAGTTGCCATGGCAATGGTTCCTACCAGAGACACCTTAGCTAGGTAGTTAATACCTAGGATTACTGTGCAGCAATATGTCATTATTGCTTTGTCACAAAACTTCACTTGGTGCATAAAAACTGCTTTATGTAGTAGAAAAACTCTAGCCATTTACATGTACAAAAAAATGGACGCCTAAGCAATACAGGGTATCCTACACCATACAAAAAAGCGTTCATACCATGAAGATCCACCAGAGCAATAAAGAAGTATTCACATAATGGATTTGACATTAATGGTGTGTCATGGTTTTGCTTTTGTATGCAGACTTGGCTTTGGCATGAATACCTCTGCTGGCAAGAGGCTGTGCATGCAGTGAAAATGTAGATCATAACAATACTGTGGATATTTGTACTTCATCTATATAGATTTTTTTTTTGTCATGAACTGTTTTTTTTAATCACTTGAATGAATTTTTATGTCATTTGAAAGCAGCTTTGTGAGAGAAAATGATTACAATATACTAGGCATGCATCTGTAGTTTTAACTATTTATCATGTTTAGATTGTGAAGGTTACAAATAAAAAATCCCCCGACACTGTCGTCAGTATTGTAGATACCGGTAGATAAATTGATACTTTTTTTTCTCCACTGAATGATGATGTCAATGAATTGTTTGCTTGACTGTTGAATGAATTGTTTTTATCTCAGCCAGTCAAACGAATTGAACCTTATCTAATGTCAATACGAGGCACGGCCCTTGCAAAGACTTTTGCATTGGAGAAATGCAGATGAATTTTTTTTTTCCGAGCTCACGAGAAAAGCAATGTTGTTTAATAACTTTTTTTGATGACCTTGGAAAATTATTTTTGAATTTGTTAAAAATATACAACAGAGTGCAACATTCAAGCAATAATTTTAAAATATTTTAGAAAGGTTTATATGCGTTGTTTCATTTTTAGAGAGATATATTATGACTTAATGTGAGATAGCTAGTAATAATTTTTGAGTGTCATGTAAAAAAAAAAAACACTGCTGAGATAATATATATATTTGTTAGTTTTCTTTTCTTTCATGTAGAAAAGAATAGTTTTCTTTCCTCAGAGCAATAAGATTTGTTACATTGTTGCCAAATATATATATTATTATTCTGTTTTTGCTTTGTTTAAAAGAAATCTGCTGACACAAATAGTATTTTCTAAAATGTCTGCATCCTTGATGGTGCTAGATGTGTAGACTAAATCTGTTGTATGGATGAAGAAACTAACACAGTATAAAATTGTGATTTTACTTTAATTTTTTTTTAAATTTCATTTTGTCAGATTGGTTAAAGAAAAAAAAAATTATAAAGATTTGGTGCAATAAAAGACAGTTTGAATTGCTGCTTATTGGCGGGAAATTTCTGCATTGTACGTTTTGCTCCAGTAAAATCCGTGATGTAAATTTAAAAGTAGTCAAATAATAGCTATTTCCTATTCTGCCGATTCAAGTCAATAAAACAAAAAAATAAATACAATTTCCAATATTTTCCCAATTTACAGGACTTAAACATTGGAATAATTCTTTTTAAAAAAAATATTGCATTTTAAAAATTGAAAATTTTAACTGTGTACGAAAGTTTTATTTTGTATTGTGAATTTACTTTCAAGCAAATAACTAGCTGGGACCAATTTGGGATGCTACATACTTCCCAAATGATTTTTTTAGACAGAGGGTCATTTATGTGTTCATACATTGATAGAGATTGCTATATATTTTTCATTCCTCTCCCCCGTATGTTCATATACTATATTTCATCAGCTTCAGTGTTGTAAATATGTGTAACCCATGTTGTAATTCTGTCAAAATCTATCAAATTACAGTTGTAAATTAATTTATTAAAATGTGATGAAACTTATTCTTATTGTTTTTTCCATCTGTATAATGGTTTCAACTGATATACATGTATCGGGGATATGTTTTACCCAAATACCATCATCTGGTGAAGAATCATAAAGTTGTGGGAGAACCAACTGCATAGATATCATGCTCCTATTTAAAAAAGTTTACCGGTAAGCTAACCTGCATAAAATGGAATGCTACCTTCATACTTACAAGGGGGATGGAGGTGGTAGGGAGCTAGAAAGTCTGAGTGTCAAATTAATGAACCACCTCCTGGTATTAAGAATCCCTGTTAAATCACTGTTCTGTCAAACCTCATTATCTCAGACTCCATGGGACCCAGAAAAAAATTCCAGATATCCAAGGATTCAAGGCATTGATTATTATTACGTAGAAATATGTGGTTGAGACATCCAAATGACCAAGTATTTAAGAAGTCAGTGTTCAAGATACTGAAGTTCAACTGTATTTAATAGTTATGTTGTATACAACTAGAAACATCCTAACAGGACTAATACTTCATCTTCTTATAAAAATTAAACACAACATTCTCATGATAACAATTTATTGGAACATAATATTACTGTCTAAATACATAAATAAACGACAAGTTTGTGACCTTGGGTACATGAATCAAGTCTGTGATGACCTCAAACACAGCTTGCTTAATGATGAAGTAACATAAGGTTGCTTTAATGATGAATAACATAATATCCTCACTACAATATTGACTAGATATTAACTGTATCTCAGCACTGTTTAAAGATGTACAAGATGGCAAAAAATTATTTACAAATTCTGTTCATCATGATGCCTGTATACTCTCTTAAACAACAAAATAGAATTATATTCCAGTTTCAGGTTTGAATTTCATCAACATATTTCCCTTGACTATAGAAACTGTGTTTGTCATATAATGAATACAAAGGTTGCTAGGTTAGTTAATAATCCAAATACTTCATTTCCTTGTTTACAGTCCTTGGAATGTAGGAATATTATAAATGTCAAACATATACATGAATGTGGAATGCAATTACCATAAGTATAAAATTATGGAATCTTAGATGTAAAATTTGGCCATTTACACAGAAAAAAGTTGTGTTTCATAATTTATCTAATATATGAATATTTCAAACAAACAGTTTGTATACTGACACGCAAAAGAAACGCAACACCCTACTTTGAGGGAAATAATTATGTAAAGTAAAAAAAAAATTAATTACGCATTTCCATTGCTCTAGCTGGAAAATTTCAATGTAAAAGTAATGGAAAGTTGCTGATGCAAAACTTCACAATAATACGCCTCAAAAGGGTCTTAGTATCATATTCATTAAGGACAGTCCTTGTACTGGAAGTCCAAGGGTGGCTACACTGCTCTAAGTTAGAGAAAATTCGACCTAATCATCTGAAAAACGGGCATTTAAAAATGGCAAAGAATAATTCCTTCGCTCAGATCTCGATATTGATGAACCTATTGTATCGTAGAAATTAAGCTGCAATTGTTGTTCAGGGCAGTCTTGCACGTTTTACTTGGATGGCTGGGAGGGGGGTGTTTTAACAGTCATGTGTAAATTAGTAAATTAAAAAGATAAACATTTAACACTTTTTATCAAATCTCTGATGTTCTGAAAAGTGAGTTTAGCCTTACTGTATTCATTTTTGAAAATCATAATATAAAAAAATCAAACATTTGTAGGATACTGCTTGTTGCGTTTCTTTTGCGTGTCAATATATAAATGATAATATTCAGATCAAACTCAGCTTCTTGCTTTGTTTAAAAAAAAAGTAATTAAATTATAATCAAAAGTTGGAATGCATCAAAAACATCTATAAAAATAATAACAATACAGCAATTCATTAACAGAAAAGACCTGCAAGTCACCTATATAATTGCAAATGAAACAAATGTATAGAGACACCCCTCCAACATTTGAAAATGTCTTTAAAAGATTCCAAAACAATAACATTCATGAATTTTGTATTTTCTGCCTGACCTTTCATCTAAACAATTACAAACCCCCAAAATAGTATGGCACGGAAAAAAATTGACTGATTTTTTTGTTTAATTCACATAAATGCACCACAAGAAAACAATGTTCCCGTAACATAATAAAATGTACAATTTCATATTATTTCACTTAAGTTTACAATAAAAGCCCCTGAAAAAAGCTTCATCAACTAATGGTCTAATTCATTATGAGCTAAATCAGATTGTTATTGAAAATTCTTAAATTGAAACACTGCAACAACTGAAGTACATGTACATATAAAATAAACTGTGTCATGTATAATGATAGCCATGATTACTGTAGAAACGTTTGGCACAGTGGGTTACAAAACAACAACTAAATGTGGAAAATGGAAAACCTTTTTTCTTACTTATGTTCTCATGGATTTTAATATGTAATAATTCTGATGATTTTTTTTGTATTTAATAAAGTCTCAAAAAATGGAAAAACCTTTGAATGAAATTATTTTGAGGACTGCAAAAGAAGTAACAATGCAATATTCAGTTGAAAACAATATCAAGAACCACAACTCCTACATGTATGTAACTTCTCGAGGATATGATTTGAAATGTCTCACAACACTAAACAATATTCAATGTGCAGATGATGATATTGCATAATGGGTAATGTGCATAATGCATGCATAATAACACCTTCTCAAGGGGGGTGTGACAACAAATATGGGAAACTAAGTTCTTACATAGTAAGATCTATAATTTTGTATAGTATCTATGTACAGTATTCAATCTTTTTATCTTTTCTGGATTTCAGTGTAATATTATGTTTGCATAAATATTGGATACCTGATAAATGTATAAATCCTTGCCTTAATTCTCCATTCTTTTAACACTCAATCAATACACTTAAGTAATAGGTAATTCATTCACCAAAAACCATTGTTAATTTTTTCAAAATATCTATGTGCAAATTAATACATATTCCATTTTAAATTTCTATTACATGTGATATTAATTAAATTATATACCAAGTTACATGTTTATATAATCAATTGAATATGATAACTAAAAGGTACATGTATATACTGTAAAAAGATTATATGTTGAATTTTTCTTTTAGGCCTTTATTGAACGCTTTTAAAAATTCTCTCAAATTTTCAATCCCCTTTGTGCAAATTTCACAAAACATGTTGTACACAGTATAAACCAAAATCTAATACATGTATCTAAGAATGTTACATTTAGCACTAAAATATAGGAATATATAATGCAGAGAAGGAGATTCCTATGTCCATAAATAGTCTGATGACATCATACCAGAGATTCCTATGTCTATCAATACTCTGATGACATCATACCAGAGATTCTTCTCCCTCTTCACCAAACTCCGCATCAAACACACATATTTCTTCTTGTGATCTGGGACCTGATTGCCGAGATTTTAGCTGGGTGTAATTCTTTAGGGTCCTTTCCTGAAATCGCACTCTCTTATGACCAACCTACAAAGTTAACCAAAACATGTATTTGGTGGTCTTATATACTATTTTAAAAATATCAAACACACAAATATGCAAGTATTCTTAATTATACTATTATGTGGTGTTTATTTCAGAAATTTGTCTACCTCAGATAAATTGAAAGTATACTTAAAATAACAATGATTTGACCAATATACGAGGGCTGATCGGAAATTATTGAGACAATTACATTTACACCATAAAGGACAGAGATAATTTCATGAAAATTCATCAACATTTTATAAAGAACGAATTAAACAATTATGCAAAATTTCTAATTCCTACGATGATAAGAAAAGTTTCGGTGAAATGATAAATATGCATATGTCTATCGACCCAGAGCAGCATCGCTATGTCATTTAACGTCACGTCAGCCGGAGATGGTTTCACATGTAAAACGATCCCGAAGCATTTAATACTTTTCTTTCTTTGTTATTACATATAACTTTACAAAAATCAAACAGTCTCTTTTCTCAACCTCTTTAAAAATATATGGCGTTGCTATCCCAGTGTAAAATTTTCATTTGTGGGAAAGGATGACTTAGAATCATGCAGTGCCAATTTATGTAACGCGGGTCAACGATATAAATACCGTAACGATATTAATATCGTATGTAATAACTGATGGTTGTCCGGTGCTTTTGATTTCACTCTGGTTGAATTAATTGTAAAAAAAAAATGTATATCAATGAAAAAAAAACCAACATATTATTTTTTTCTCGTTGTTATTGTTTTAGCAGGTCGTCCTGTCTGGAAAAGTTCTACATTGCGATACACAAAATTTTAGGTATGCTGGCTGCTCCGCCCTTGATGTCAAACTCCATTTTTTCGTTCTTTGCAGATTTCTCTACCGCGCTTAATTTTTTAATTATCTCCGTATTTGTGATCAAAATTCTAACAAAGTTGCATGAACTTTGAAATAAAGCTGAAAAATTATACACATAAACTGAAATGTTTTCGCTCTTATTATGGGTCCAGGAAGAGTTAGAACGTTGGTATTACATATTTTCAATATCTGATTTCATGACTGCTCCGGGTACCCATACTATTGACGCATTTACGTAGCATCGTACAGAAAATATTTAATATTTGTAAAATATTTTTTGCTTTTATTAATTCTAAATGTATGTCAAACGTATATGCAAAATTTCACCGAAAGATGTTCAGTAGAAAGCAAAATACACACAATGTCTAAATAATTTTCGAACAACCCTCGTAAATTATGACAGAATAGGTGTTTCTATCAAATCTATGGAACTGAAGTTTCAGATAAGTATTTGGTCCCTCAGTATGTACACTAATGGACAAAAGTCCTGAGAAATGCAGTGTACCTTTAACATGCATCACTACACCACTACATACTAAAAATCAAACCAAATCCCTTTGATATTCTGGTTGCCAAAACAAAAACAAACAAGAGGCCTATGGGCCTTATAGGTCACCTGAGCATTATGCAACAACTTTCCAGTTATTGAATTTGATTCATGTTTTAAGCCAGATGCTATGGCATTCACAATTTTGAAAGAGGCACCATTGATCATCATAACAATACACTTCGCAGTTGCTTAGCTTGGTACTTAATATCCATAGGCAGGGTAGGGGAACAAAAAATGCATTTCAACTAATCAGTAATATTCAGCAATAATCAGTAGTGCCCTTACCACACATGAACCCCTGACCCTTAGGCCTAGATCCACACACTGCACAATTTTTGAAAAGGCATCCTTGCTTTTCAAAAATATTTGATTAATACCAAGGACCAGATTTCAAACAATTCATTCATTTTCAGTATATAAGTACAGCCCCCCCCCCCCCCCTCTATGGTACCCCTGAACTTGAAGCCTTGAAATTCACAATTCTGCAAGATAAGGGCCCTTTCTCATCATAACTATATAGGTAGTTCATCTGCTTCATACCCAGAGACAGAGAAGGATTTAATGTATTTTCACTGTATAATCAATAGAGCCCCGTCCTAACACCAGAATCCCTGACCCTGGGGCCATAAAATTCACAATTTTGGAAGAGGCATTCTTGCTCATCATAACTATGCACTTAGTTAGTTTATTTAATTCCTAGGAGAAGAGAAAAATTTTTTCAAAGAATTCATGTATTTTCAATATATAATCATAAGAGCCCTGCCCTAACACTAGAACCCCTGACCCTGGGGCCATAAAATTCACAATTTTGGTAGAGGCATTCTTGTTCATCATAACTATACACGTAGTTAGTTTATTTAATACCTAGGAGCAGAGAAGAAGATTCTCAAAGAATACATGTATTTTCACTATATATTCAAAAGAGCCCTGCCCTAACACCAGAACCCCTGACCCTGGAGCCATAAAATTCACAATTTGGGTAGAGGCTCTCTTGCTCATCATAACTATGCACTTTATAGTTAGTTTATTTAATACCCAGGAGCAGAGAAGATTTTCAAAGAATTCATGTATTTTCAATATATAATCAATAGAGCCCCATCTTAACACCAGAACCCCTGACCCTGGGGCCATGAAATTCATAATTTTGGTAGAGGCACTCTTGCTCATCATAACTATGTACTTAGTTGGTTTATTTAATACCCAGGAGCAGAGAAGAAGATTTTCAAAGAAATAATGCATTTTCACTACATACTTATTTAGCCCAGCCCTAGCACTAGAACCCCTGACCCCAAGGCCATGAATTTCACAATTTTGGTAGAGGACTCAATGCTGATTACAATCATGCAAACAGTTTGACTGCTTGATGTCCAGGAGTAAAGAAGAAGATTTTTAAAGATTGTATTAATTTTAGTAGTTTTGGCCCCACCCCTCAGGCCCCAGGGGGGCAGGGATCATGAAATTCAATTTTTGTTCCCCTTCACCCATAGATGCTTTGTGCCAAATTTGGTTGAAATTGGTTCAGTGGTTGCAGAGAAGAAGCTGAAAATGATCAAATGTTAACGTACGACGGACGACTGACGACGGACGACGACGGAAGCAAACGGATAGCAATAGGTCACCTGAGTTTACTCAGGTGACCTAAAAACATATTTCTCATACTGACACTTGTAGTCATTTATCAATTAGCAATATCAACTACTTCCTTTAATTGCATGCAACATGTAACAAGAGGCCCATGGGCCACATCCCTCACCTAAGAAGCTTTGATCATGCTGTTCTTTTCAAGATTTTCCCCTTGTAATACAGTGACCCAACCCTACCCCACAGATCATAATTTAGACAATTTAAAATCTACACTAACCCAGGATGTTTCCACATAGTGGTTCTTGAGAAGAAGATTTTTCCTAAATATTTCTATGTAAAACTTTGATTCCCCATAGTGACCCCATACTACCCCGGGGGTCATGATTTGAAAAATTAAAAATCTGCGCTACGCCAGGATGCTTCCACATAAGTTTCAGCTTTTCTGGCCCAGGAGTTGTTGAGAAGAAGATTTCAAAAGATTTTTCCTATATATTTCTATGTAAAACTTTGACTCCCTATTGTGGCCCTGCCCGACCCCCGGGCAATTTAGAATCTTCACTACCCCAGGATGCTCCCAACTAAATTTCAGCCTTTCTGGCCCGGTGGTTCTTGAGAAGAAGATTTTTTAATGACCCCATCCTATTTTTGTCTTTTCTTGATTATCTTCCCTTGTGACGAGACTTGGCCCTTCATTTTAATAATTTAAATTCCCCTTTACCAAGGATGCTTTGTACCAAGTTTGGTAAAAATTGGCCCAGTGGTTCTTGAGAAGAAGTCGAAAATGTTAAAAGTTTCAGACGGACAGACGTATGGATGGACGACCAACAAAATGTGATCAGAAAAGCTCACTTGAGCCTTCTTATTCATGACAAAACAGCTGACACAACATCAAAGACCTATCTAACAAATTAATGGAGTTAAGTTTTCCAAGAATATAAGTATAAGGTCGGAGTGAACTCATACTAAGTGGGTTCCAGTTCTCAGGCAAACATTTAAATCAACTCACCACATTATGCTTCAGACTGTTAATGTCATGTCAAATCAACTATCAATTAATACTGCTTATATATCAAAGAGTATCAGAATCATTTAGAAAAATTTTTAAATACATTGTATCCTATTATGTGATGTCTGCTTTACAATTATCATTGCAGAGGTGTACAAGGGAATTATGGTAGTAGCACAATTGAGATGAATCCACCCATGTTTTTATGTTCGAAAAATTTGTTCCTTATTTTTTAATATTGTGGTTCGAGTGATTTGATATTACAATTTCCTGTTATAAATATCCCAAGTTAAATACCCTGTCTCATAAAGAAAAACAGGGCAGCCCCCTCCCCAAAAAGCTAAATTTCTCTAATCTGAAATTCAATCTCTTGTGCAGTACATCAAAATGAAACTTTTTTCTATTCATCCATCAGATTACATGATTTTTTTATATTTTATAATTTATTATTCCCTGTGGGAATTCGCAGTCCTTAAATTAGGGTTAATCCTTCTCTAAAAATCTGAACTGCTATATGTATTTACCTGGTCATCTCCATTTGATACATCTTTCCTTAAACTGTATCCTGTGAAAAGTAAAAATTAAAAGTTATAAATAAAATATCTTCTTTTAATTAATATCAAAACAAAATCTATACCGATATCAATCATTATTTTGTTCTTTTATAAATTATTTTCAATATGGACAATACAAAGAATTTCTTGCAACTTGTGCAATAAATAAATAATTGCTAATAAATTGAAATAAAATATGTGATATCAAAAAGGAATAATTTATACTTTTTCTTAGACAAAAAAGAGCAGATCATGTGCAACGAATGCCATTATCATTTCCACAAATCAAATTTTTATGAAATTAACAAGACTTGACTATAGCAATACTTGTAGCATCATCTAAGGACATCTTTAAGAAGAAATGTTCAGTAAATGATGTGAATTTCAAACTTTTAAGCGATTCAAAGTCTGATAGAGAATGGGTGCATTATAGTTCAATATTTTTGATTAGAAAAACCTAAAGTGCAATACTGCTTGGACTCCACCCATTTAACATTAAGTGTGAAATTGCAATATCAATAATTTATTGCACTCATTGACTAATTCAGTCAAAAATCAAACAGTCTTATTTTTTGTCATCCATTTAAGAAATTAGAGGACATTCTCAAACTCTCTGATGTCAAAGATACTAAAATAATTGCTCATATTTCAGTTTTTGCTAATTGTAATTTCTGCAAAATTATGTATTCCAAAGTGCTCATCTTTTATTAAAACTTTAAAATTTAATCAGTTTGGGAGGAGAAACATGCAATTACTGATTGCAGTACTTTTCATTTATTACAATTATTCAGCTAATATGACCATTAATCCTAGCTGATAAAAAAAAATACCTATCACAAATCTGACTGTAAATAAATAGTACAAAACTGGCCACAGTAAAAGCATTATATGAAAAAAATTAAAATACTTATATAGACGTGCTTTAATAAAAGCCTGTGTGTGGATTACTGGATTAGTCAGTTAGTACAAGCACTGATCCAAGTACTTCAGTATCAATTAGTAAATTAGTCTGCCTTATATACCCAACAAGTGATCAACCAATGGACAGAAAGGAGACAATTTGACAGCTAGGTGTTGCCACCTTACCTATTTATAACGTGACCTATTTCGTTTCTCATTTCTACCTGTACAATAAAAGCATTTTATGTTACAATCTGCAACAATAGCACAATAATGATTGTTAATTAAAAATGTATGTGTGCTGGTGAAAGCAGGATTGGATATATATCATATATATCAAAATTGTGTGATATAAAAAAAATGGTGGATGACATATTGTAAAGATTTGCATAAAAAGCATATTCTAAATTATGTACAACACTTCGTATCTTACAAATTAACTTTCCCCAATACAATCCTTTGAATGGCAAAAAATATCCATCCCTTGTTAGATAAACATGTACATGTATATCTAAAATTAAATTTACATGTACAAGACTGAATTATGTTCCCTTTTATTTATTCCTCGGTAACTCCTTCCTGAGCATTGCACAACTAAGCATGCATCAGTAATATAATGTTTAATATTTTAAATAATGAGCAATCTGTTAGTTTTCTTTCATCTACATATCTCTGCATAACACTAGAATATCCAAACAATATCATTCCAAGCCTATAAAAATTATATAGATATTTTGATGATAGCTATATATAATAATAACAAAGGTCCGCCTTAAGTTAAATTTTGTACCATTTCTTTACTACTGAGGTTTATATAGCAACTGCCAGTTAATCTGTGAATAATGTTAGAAAAAGTCAAATGCGTGAGATGCAAAAGGACAGGAAAGGTAAAAATGATAATATACAGCTTTCACCAAATATAACTGTAAGTTATACAATGATACCTAGACGGTCGATTCAAAAGAGGAGGCATTTATGGGAACAGTTTTAGAGCGATTTCGATTGCGCTGATTTCTACGAGCTCGCTGTGGACTTGACTGTAACTTAACAACTGAAAATCAAAATGCAACATAACTACAACACAGGATGGAGAAAGACAAAAAAAGAGGTTTATAGTTTTTCAATATATGATCAAAAGTAAATTCAGTTAAATAAAATCATACAGAGATTATGATAAAGAATATATCAGGGTCTCAAATTAGATGAAAGTATACAGTTCAAACATACTAGGAATGATATGAAGATTAAGAAAGGGGTTCTGAAATATGCATGCTAAATGCATCACAGCTATAATAAAAAAGTAACAGATAGGAAACATTGAAGAAGATATTAAATTCATTCTTAAAAGCAATCGACTTCTCAAAACTATACAATTATAAAATAAACTTGATCAAGTAAAATTCATCAGTTTCAATGAACTCCAAACAAAACACTTTTTTTCTGATTAATACACTGATGAATTCAAAACGAAATAGCAAACAGCAAAATAACAAGACCTCCATTATGTGTAAAACACCTGGCTTTACCTGAGTTTATTGAGGGAGGGTGTTCAGACTCGGGGGTGGCAGCAGTAATGGTCACGGGGGGAGGGGGTACAAAACTGGGAGGAGGAGGGTACTCCTCTGGTGACATCTGAAGAAAAAAAATCTCAGTTGAGGTATTTTAAAACAAACTTCCATTCTGGTAATTCTATATTCCCAGGTAAATAACCATTAATAATTACTTGTTTAACTGATTCAAAAAGCGCTTGATAGGTACAACTTTAAAAAAAGTCTTTTGTCAAACACTTCAAATAACCTGCTATAACAGCTTTGAGACAGTTTATGGAAACAACATGCATAAGTTAATGGAAGATATCAGCACTTACACAAGAATTTTCAAATATTTATTCACTTAATTAAGTAAAATTTTCCTCACCATGCCATTATTCCCATCCACACCTAGCTCCTCTACAACTAGGGAGGGAAACACCCCTACCCTCCCATTTAACTCTCCTTCCCAGAATCCATCATCAACTCCGTTCTCGTCCTTACGAAGAATTCGGATCAGAGTGCCTGTTATGAAAGACAACTCCTCACCTGAACATGCTTCATAATCATATATAGCTCTGGCCCAGGAACCCTCTAAAAAGTAAAAGTTGAAAATGATATTTATATACTATCACTACAACAAATACAAAAAATAATGTGTTTCCACTAAATTAAGTTTGATTTCAATGATAGAACAAATTTAAATTTATAAATTAAAATTGAATCCTAATTTAATCCATTATATAAAAGTGTATGTAGAAAATATTTGGTGCTAGAAAGAACCTCCTAATGGAATGTGATTATCCACTGGCATTTGATTGGTTGTATGTTGAACTTCCATGTCACCTGATGAGTATGACATCACTTCCTGTGTGCTGTCATTGTAGCAACCACTGTCAACATGGCTACCATTTCCTGACATTTCCATATTTCCACCACTAGATACAGAGCCCCTAGAAAACAACAACATAATATTCTTCTCAAAATTTGTAGCATATTTTACCCCAATTGAAATGTTATAGTCCATAATGCTGAATATCTAGAAACTGATGTGCGCTAACAAATATTATTTTTTGCTTTTAACATTTTGGATAAAGTTCTGCCAAATTATAATTTAATTAAACTATACGTGTTATTTCCAAAATAGCACCTTCAAAGTCTGAACCAAATGTTGTCACAAAAATTATATCAACAATCACCATTTAAATAAATATTCCATTTCTTTTATTAAAAATAAAATTAAAATAAAATTTTACATTGTGCTACGTCCATGTGATTGCAAAATGTACCATTGTAAAGTTGACGAATGATTACTTATATACGGAAGTGCTATTTTGTTTTCCTAGAGCCACAGTATTTTATGTAGTTTGAGGGGATTTTCCCTATAAGGCAGCCGTCTAACATGTTGGATAAAGTTTTAAATGCTTTCCAAAATGCTTCAACTGAGCCAAATGTTGGACAAAAATTATATCAACAATCACCATTTAAAGCCAAAATCTAATTTCCTCACCTAGACCCCAGTATTTCTATGTAGTTGGAGGGGATCATCCCTATAAGGCCCTCTGAGTTCCTGGCTCTCAGCCAACCATCTCCGTCACCGTCAGCAATTATCTCCAACTCCTCATTCTCTCGCAAATTTAGCTCATCCACATTAGAGCCCTTGATAATGAAAATAGAAATGTTAATTTTTTTAATTTACTAGAAAGGTGTTTAAAGTAACTGATCTCATGTACTGGTAAGAATAGTATATTTAGTTTAAATGTCCATCAAAAAGTTTTACCTGGAAATCGTAGATTGCTCTGCACTGTTGTGGGTAGTGACTAGTATAATTAAAGTTGCTGTAGGTGTCCATCTCATAATTCACTATGCTCTTCTCTCTCCTTGGTTCATCATCAAGAAAATCATCGTCATAGTCGTAATTTGTGTATGTTGGCTCTTCATCACTTTTCTGTGCAAAAATCAGATGACAAATATATATACTTCCCATTTCTAGTCTGTGACACAAGAGTTAATTTTAAGAAGACTTCACACAACATTCTAGATACTTTCCTTTTTCTAAAGATTAATCGTTAATTATTTTTGGATTTTTTTTCTCAAGACTTATGACAAGGAATCTTTGTATAAACACTGGGGAATCAAAAATTGTAATACTGACTATTGAGCTGTCTGTGAAGACAGAACCCTGGCTGGATCTGAGGGACTGTTCCTCCTCTTCAGCCCGCAAACTCTCAGCCTGGGCACTCGCCAACCACTCGTCAACATTCACTGCAGAAAAATTTTATTTGTTAAAGTATTCAGGAAAAAAATATGATTTTACAATGGTGACAAGAACAAGTCTTAATTGGTTAAAGATACGGCATATAGCAATTTTAAACCAATCTATGAAAAATAACTAAAAAAGTATTTTTTTTAATTTCACTCAGGAAAATTTAACATATTTACCTTTCTTCCTCAATAATGCTATTCTTGCTTCAGCTTTTGCTTTTCCTATCTGTATTTAAAAAATTCATTTCTTAATCATATTCATAATCAAACTGATAACCAAAATTTATAAGCACTGTGATAATTATAAAACTGAATGCCAGTTAACAAAAAAAATTCACTACAAGTTAAAGCACTCTTTTTCTTCTTTTCTAGTTACCTCTGATTTTCGTATGACCTCTCTCATTTCATCAATCTTCATCTCCAGTTCCTGTATCTCCGAGGTGTTGCTTCCATCAGAAGCCTGCAAAGAGAGAAATAATATTTACTTAAAAGATGGATAACTCACAAAGTCCTTGTTTGTTTGTTGTGTCCCTCTGTAGAGTCTTTCACTTATTAAATGGAGATGCCACCAGTTGCCAATGGAGGGCTGCAAATTTAGATCTATACTCTGTACTCCTAGCAACTGAGTAAGAGGGATCTTTAGCTTACCAACACCTACTGTGACATGAGACCTCAATTCATACAGTCTCATTCACAGGATCAGTCTCCACATCTTGTCGTGTATCAAAACCCACGACATAAGGATCAGCTCCTTGATCCGTGAATCTAAAGTAGACCTTCTAACTACTGTGCCATGCAGGCAACTACAAATTCCATTATAACCTATTAATTAAATTTCAAGTACGACTAGGATTGGCAATATTTATGACTCACCTTATCCCCCCTTAACAGGTTTTCTAATGCCTGGAGGGTTTTTCTGTTTTGTCGTAAGGAGCGTGTTTCCTTGGCGATCTTTGTTGCCCACTTCCTGGCTTCCTTGTCCAGCTGATGGCCCCCATTATGCTCTTTTGATAAAGTATTGCACTAGATAAAAGGAGGATATGTTGATTTTAAAAAATTCCTGGGAACAAGTATATCTTTCATTTTCAATTAAATTAAGTGAAAAAATATCTTACTTATTCAAAATATGATACACATAAAACAGAAAGGTAAGATTTCAACATTCAATACAACAACATAATTTTGCATTTGTAAAACAACATAGGCATTGTTTATTTACAGAATAGCTTTACTGAATCTATATCTATATACCTCATCATTTTGGCAAGGTTGAAATACATATTGCACAGGCTCCGTATAAACTGGATTACGGTACATAAAGACTTGATGATTAAAATCTCGGCATATCTGAAAAAAGTACACATGTACATTAAAATGATTCTTCCCTCTAAGTCTACATATTCTTCTTAATCATCCATTAACAACATGTATTTCTCAATGTTTGATGTCTTTTTTCATATTGACTTTTCATCAATAGATTCTGAGTTGCAATCAAAAGCTGCTCAGAGCAAGTACTATATTTTTATGCGTAACTTTATTTTGGCAGCTGTGGAGTCACCATCCTGCTTGAACAGGTTGACTATAGCCAGCAGCTGGTCTTTGAGTAATGAGCTTGGCTAAAAAGGACCAAATTATGAACATTATGCTGTTAATCTATATTCCTTTAAGAAGCATGATGTATTTACCATATCTGCCTGTTTAGTAATGGTTTCACTGGCTGACTTCTCCATACTACTAACATCCAATAAAGCTTTGCCCATGGTGTGAAAGTATTCCAGTATTTTTTCATACATATCTCCATCTAGAGCCTAAATTAAGAATTCTTCTTAAAAAATGACCGAGAAAAGCAAAACTCAAATATTCTTCTTCTAACTCTTTTTAGGAAAGATATCCCCAGTCCACAAAATTACCCACTATAATTGTTGAAAACCGTAGGGACAGATTATCTTTTTTCTGTAACATTCCCAATTTACTTCTAAACAAATAATCTTTCTCCAAATAGAAAATAAAGACCTGTTTTGCTTCAGAGGTGAAAAAGAACTTTTGAGCACATATGGGAAACTCATTTGGTACATCATGCAACAAGATACCAAGAAGTAAAATCAGAGTATTTCTGCTACACGAATCCATAAATATGAAAAAATTTACAGGGTAATTTACTGTTATAATTAATAGAAGAAAAGATGCATTTAAATTGTTACATGAACCAGATATCCAAGAAGGAATCACCTGTCAATCATATCTTTGAAAATTTAGATTTAATGGGCTACGAGGGTTGTTAGAAAAGTTCGCGGATACATTGAATTACGGAAAATCTATTGTGTTCGGTGAAGTATGACCCATGTCTGAATAAATTCCTACATTTTGTTTATTAGTATGTAAAAAAAATCAGGTCCATTTACTAAAATCTTGAAAATTTACAACGATTTTTACTATGAGATCATAAGATTCACGGAGCAATCCCTTGACGTAAGGCGATGTGACAACCAGATTTCAATCCGTTATGCTTTGTCGTAGTTCTATAAATCTTTCCTTTCTTCAGATTTTTCTTATCTTTCTTCTACTTTAAAATTGAATATGTATATCAAGACATGTTACCTTTCTACTATAATGTCTTTTGTACTAATTCGGATTGTATTGATTTGTATATTTTTGAGATCTTTAAAAACATCTATGCAGTAAATTGATCAGGTGTGAAAACTATGAAAAACCATATAGGCACAACGTCCATGCCATAAGAGGGTACATGAATTGAAATATCGATGGAGTTAATCATTCAAAATGTTAATCCTTCCATTCATATGCAGTCATAACCATTTGAAAACTTTTGTCCTTTGTCTGTGTAGGAAATTCCCAGCAGCATCTTGAAAATTTTAATCTTTTTTTAGACATTTTACTGTCTACACACATAATTTTTACGTAGTGCATGATGCTCAATGACGTTCCGATTTTTGGCTGTGTTTTTACGTGTTGATCATTTATAAATGGCTATAAAACAGTCATATACCCAGGACTAAATACCCTCCAATTTATATCAAAATTTCTCAAAGTGATGTTTCATGAATACTTTAGCGATAGGTAAAATATCATAAATCTCTTTGCACTACAATTGTACAATTTTTAATTTTAATAAAGAGTCTTTGTAATGTAAACGTGCCAAAATGGAGCATGCTCCATGAAGCAAGATTTATCAAAATAAAAAAGCTGTATATTTTTCAATGATCACTGGAGAGAGCACCAAATTCTTGTATATTTATTGGAAAATAGGTTTAAATTTTATCTGGAAAGTTTGACCGGTTTCGAGGAAATACTGTACAGCAGGTTAAAATCGCGGTCGGAAAAGATCGCGATTTGTTCAATTTTCAGTAAATCGCGGTCGTTTGAATTCGCGGAAAGGAAAAAAAAACATACTTGCAAGCATTTTTCTTAAGTTATATATTGTGTGAACTGTCATTTCCAGTTTCTATTATATCGTGTATCAGACAGGAAAGGCAAGTCTATATATTGTGAGCCCGATGCAATAATTACGAAATACCAGACTGATCCCGATTTAAGGTCAAAATAATGTTACGCATCCAGAATTTTTTTTTATTTCAGAGTCCAAATAAAAAAAAATTATACAGTAGTCCAAATGTTGAACTTTTAATCATATAATTGAAATTAATTAATTGTCTTTACCCTGTTTACTACGCTTGTGCCTTGATTAAAGGTAATGACTGAGTGATACGTACATGTACAGGTGAAATTATACAAGCTAATTATAGATGGCAAAATTACCGTAATTGTTAGCTATAGAAATTAATTTAACAATTCATAAGCTTTAAAAACACCAACAACTACGTGTTTGTAATTGATCCATACGCTCGCGTAAGTATAAAGACAGTCTACATCTAATGAACGATGATACAGTATAATTTGTCCAAACCGGCTACCGCCGGTTCCATAAAATTTGGCCGGTTTAGACAGAATCCGGAGTGCAGGAAAAATGTAGCAAAATATACGTTTTGAAAATTTCGTTGTTTATTTACAAGTTCATCTTTATACATAATATAAAATATAATTAAATGATGAAATCGATCAATATTATGGAGTCTAGAAATTTTAAGATAGTTTCTTATGACTTACTGTATTTTCTTCAATTCTTGTTTGTTCACGAAGTCGGGTGAAATGTTACCTAAATCAAAATCTACAGGCACGCATAATATAGGCCTACTATCGTTCAAGCAGACCAGGTTTCGCTTGTCAAAGAGCTCATTTAATGTAAAAACAGTAATGCACAATTATTTACGATCTGCTAATTATTAGATTGAATTTTTAATTTTTATGTAAAAAATTACGTCTTCCCCCACAGTGTAATGGCGCCATTTTGAAATGCGTTCGATTTTCGATCCCGATTTATATTTTGATTTGTAAATCGCGTACATATTTATTTCTTGTATTTGTGTTATAATGTCGTAAAAGGAGTTAAAACAAAATTAATATTTTTCTAAATTGTAGTTCAAACATATACTAGTAATTTTTTTTTCAACTGGGCAGTGTCATCGCCGTATTTCACTGAGTTCGTCTCATGGCACTGCTAATGTAAACACAGATTATCAAATCCACCACGAAAGGTGTTAATTGCTTTGAAGTAACGCAGGTGTGGCCGGATTAGAGGAAATAATTAGTTAATTATGAGCAGTTGGGACCAGTATGGCCGTTCGGAATACAGAATAGACAGTATCCGGACTACACAGAATTTTTTCTTATGAATTTGTTAAAGTAGTGCATGGGACTAAAATTTATAGACGGAATGGACAAAAGTACGGAGTACTCAGAGTCCGGATTAGACAAATTTTACTGTAATAAAATTTCAGTTTATCCTTTAGGCTTATAAATCGTTTCAAGAATTATTCACTGTATGTTGAATTCGCGGAATTTCCTTTTCCGCGAATATAGCGAATATTAACTCCGCGAGTTAATTTCCTGCTGTACAGTAGCGCGCTCACAATAGAACTTGTCCGCGAACTTTTCTAACACCCCTCGTAAAAGTAAAATAATTGAATAAAATGTCAACATTTACAATATTGATCTACAGTGTAATGGTAAATAAAGCTGCCATACTTTCATAAGCTGTAGGAGATCTGTGTTATAGTAATGAGACTGGTGAGCATTAGCAGCTGCTATGTGAAGAAGGTAGTCATTGCGAGCTAAAACTGATTTGGCATTGTACGCATCTCGTCTTGCTGTAAACTGAAAAAGAAAAATTTTGACAAATTTATAATGGTGTCATATTTTTTTTATTAATATATGTATACCTACATATAATATTGTAAATGTATTTTAATTGGCCTGTATGTATTTAGTGGAAACTGATTTTGTAACAAGATAGTAGCCTAGATTTCAATTAGCACTTACTGGGTGTGCTTTGTATGAATATATGTAAATAGGAGATTTAGCAATGTACTTGATTTAGCCTAAGATGCTTTCTGCAAAAGGAGCTAAATAAAATACTCAGCCAAATGTAATACGTTTACAGTAGTTCTCTAAAATATATCGTCTGACTGGTCAAGACACCTGTGTTACTGAAAGTAAATATCTGACTGATTAGCCAAATAGGAACCTAAGACAGAGTTCTTGAAATCTTTCGGTCCTGTCGGCATGACCGATAAAAACAACCGAGGACTGATCAGTTTACGTTCTGTGTCAGTCCAAATGACCGGTAGATGTTGAGAAAGCAACTTGCGAAAATCCAACTAAATTTCGTACAAATTCCCTATAACCGACCGATCATAATCTGTTAAACGCTTTTAAGTATCTCATAATGGCTTCTTCGATGAACGCAAGTACCAAACTATGATTGATTAATTGTTTTTAGTTTTTGACGGCGATAAGGTATTAGCCAGGTGAGAAAAATCGAACTAGATTAAAAACTTATGAAGAAAATTGACCTCCCACGAGAATTCAATGAAATTTGTTATACGATGATCAAATTCGCATGAAGTATGCAGTGTGTATATGACGGAGCGTGCGAAATGTAATGATAATAAAATTCAAACAGAGTTTTAATCTTCTTAAAATTATGTTTAATCATTTTGTTGGACTGATAGAAATCTGTCTGGACCGACAAACTTCCTGTGGCAGTCAGTCCAAATGACTGGCAGTGGAAAAAAGATTTCAAGAACTCTACTAAGAACACTTATTAAAATTGCTAAGAACTTGGGGATAAAGTGTTCCAGCTACGTGACTTTGTCCTGAAGCAGCAGTGAATTTGAAAATTTTTTTTAATTTCAGAAGTTTGGATTAATTTATTACATGAATGTTTGGAAAATATAAAGAATTATGTAGCAAAGAAAATCATATTCCCTTTGCATGGTCCTCAGAGAACATGATTAACTCTTTATTTTACCTACTCTACCATCATAGAAAAAATATATACAAATCAATCTCACGTACCTTGGCACACTGTTTTTGTAGACTTGTCTTAGACTGGAATATTCCTGACGATCTTTTGGCTAGCCTACAAATATATATATAAAAAAAATTATTCAATGACTTCAGCAACAATGTTAATCCATTAGCTTCATGTCAGCTAATCTATGGATGTTTACACTAAAACGCATTTTTTTTTCCTGACACATGGACCTTGACAGCACAATGATCAGCTTAGACACAGTTGTGACTGGAACTTTTGAACTATACATGCTGTACATCTATTTCATATTGCATTGTCCCAGAGGCCTTAACCTTTGACCTAGGGGGCAAGAACTTGTCAATCATAATAGGGACTGATTATCATAATCTTGCAAATTAAGATTGCCACCAATATATCTAGGAGAAAAGAATTGCATGTTTATGCTTTGGTCTAATTCTGAATTAAGGTAATAGGTTTTCCTGGATCACAATATTCAAAATTTTGTTTTATCTATGTCCATACATGATTTATACCAAATTTCATTAAGATTGGTCCAGCATTTTTTTTTTAGAAATTTAAAGGATGTCATCAGAGTGACTAAAATAACCCAAATGAATTAAATTACCCTTGTATTTTCTAAGCACCGTTACCCTAATTATTCCTTGTAATCAGCTCTTACTTTTGAGTGAGTTCTTCTGATTTGACTCTGGCATCATGGGCCAAACTTTCCTCCATACTGTATTCTTTCTGGGCCTTTGCCATCTCTAATACTGTTTGTCCAACCTCATTTTGTAGAACATTTAATTGTGGCATCAGCTGTTAAGGAATAAATAATACAGTTAAACATTGTTATCTGGAATACTATTGGCAAGGCAGAATGAGTCTGTCTCCAACTACCGGTATGCTTCTTTTATGTATTAGAACATCAATATCTTGAGATACATGTATCGTAATTTTCTTGAGCAATCAAGTTCAGAAAATGAGCTTTAACTGAACATGCATAGCTATTGTACGTAATACATGTTTTTCATCAAAATTGAATTCGTGACCTTGATACTGGTAAACATAATTTTTTTCTTTTTAGTCCTGACTTATTTCAAGGATAGGATGGTCATCTCTGTTAAACAAATTATTTCAAACAGGAGACACAAGAATTAAAGTACAATATTTGAGGAAGTCATTAGCTTCCCAATTTAGACCCACTCTTTACCATTCACAGCATTACTGATTAATGTACCAGAAATCATACTTTATTTACTGCTGTACACTTCATTGCCATTCTCTTCAGCTATCTAGAAATTTTTCTTCCATGCTATATATACCGTACCCTTTTCTGAATTTGCTGCTTGACCATGCGGTAAGGTTTGATTGGCTCGGCAATCCCTTCCATGAGAATTTCAGCCACTTGGAGTCTGGCCTTGGCCAGCTTCTCTGTCTCTTCCAAGATCAGCCTCCATACTTCTAATGCAGTCCTAAAACAATTACAAATACACATAAATGTTAATGAACTTAACATTGGCAAATTGCACTGTTGTTTTTGGCGAAAGAAGGTCATCAATCAAGAGCAATTCATACCTGACCAATGACATTACAATGCTTAGCATTAAATTATCTTTGACCAAAAATATAAAGACAATATACATGTTTTCTTTAATATGTTCTCTGAATATCTATTTCAATTGTAATGGACAGCTGGTATTCCTTAGAGAGTTTTCTTATGCCAGAAGAGTAGCTAGACTTTGGTATTAAAGTTCAAAGTAAGCTTGGTTGATCATATTTTCTCGATTTATACAACTTAAGGTTAAGTAGTCTGTAAGATTCTACAGTATAACTTTGATATCCCAAACACTGCCAAGTCAAATATCAATGTATAACAATCATGATATCAGTTCATGTCTCAACTTAAATTATCTTAAATTCTCAGATATCTCAATTTTCTCAGTCCTGATGAGGTTGAGATACTGAGATTTTACTACAAATTTTATAGCAGGAAAATAAATAAACATTCACTGATATTTAAAGTTGATACTTGTAATGAATACTAAATTAATCCTATATTGCAATTTAAGCACTGCGGTCTATACTCATTTTCAATTGATACTTTATTGTTCATAACAGTAATTTATGTGGCAAAGTTTATGCTATTACCTCTATATTCACATTACATAAAACAAAAATAACCACGGCACCAGGAAGTCTTAATTTGATTTGAAAACACATAACTTAATCATAAGAGGAATTTCCTTATTGTCGTCAACAGACATTTATCATTATTAACTGTTAATGCAGTCTGATGTTTTGAATATCAATAAATTATTTGGGAAAAATTGACAGAAGGTATATCCTGTGTGATACTTATATCATACTGTGAGTTTCATCATTTGCATAAAATAACACTGTGTATCTCTGAATTTTTTTAATTTAATTTTATTTTTCTTTCCCAAAACCTACATTAGGACATAACAAAAGTCAATCCATTTACAAACACCCACCAATGACACTTTAATATTAGTACTGAAAACATGCAACTATTATATATATACACATAATAATTCTAAAATGAGAAATATTTTCATCTGTATGATTTATTTTTTCTTTAATCTATTCTGTTAACACCGCTATATTTTACAGGCTTGACCCCTGGTTTGTCTGGGTCAGCTGACTGTTTCTTCATAGAAGGAGAGACCAAGGGTGCCTAGCCAAGCATCAAATCTCTCCTCAGATCAGCTAGAGCAACTTTCCAACATTACCACTACACAACAGAGCCTTCATTATAGCTATAATAGCATCCCTAACTCTGGGTGCAGAAAAATTAACATGAGAATAAATCTCGGTTTCAAATGTGATTTAAACTGTAATTGTTTGCCACCTTGTTTAGTGAGCAATCTGATCCAATGTACTTAAAATTTGCCTAGCAGTCACTTGCTACTTTTAATGGGAAATTGAAGTTAGTTGTGATTTGTTTACATATGGTCGTAAAATGGAAAAAGAAGTCATTAGACTGGAGTGTTATGGCTTTAAATAATATTGATAAATGAATCTATATATCTGCTTTAACTTAATATGGTGTTCATTGGGGAGTTTTGTGGACAATCAATAGTTCTAGAAATCCCATAGACAGAGGGATAAAAGAGAAGACAAACAGACCTGGTACAAGCTGTATAACTATCAAATTATTTGACAATGTATTACAGCGAACAACCGCATCAATCAAAACTAAAAACAAAAACGTCTTGATTTTTCCTTTCATCTCCCTTGAGGGGAATCAATGTTACACAAATGTCCAAGACCCTGTGTTCTAATTCTGGTTAATAAGTCATTTCGAGTTGGACTAATTTAACATACAGACCTACAATGTCCTACATTTTAGATTTCAACAAAATGCATATACCTAAATCATGAGCATATTTTCAATTTGTGTGCAAATTACAAATAAAATTTTTGAAAAGCAACAATGCAAAAAAGGCATTCCTGATCCAGAAGAAGATGTATAAATTCCCGAGTTTATAGACAATACTTGAACAGATGACAAAAGAGGAAAACAGATAGCAAATAGGTCACAAAAGAGTCTAATGTGTCTTTCATATGCAAATTAGATAGACAAAAATAAAATTAAAGTCATTAAGAAATGTTCTTTGGTATTTTTTCCTAAATAGATGATACATATACCTCTATAATTAATGTTGATAAATTCTGATCAGAATAAAAATTATGTTTTATAATATTTACATTTCCAAATGTACATAATGCATTTGAGCACGTGGATTGGTGAATTCAAAGCATATACCGCCTTCGGCGTTTATCTTCCATAATGCATTGAATACAGACAGGGACTTGTGGAATTATTTACAGCAGACATGGAGCAATCATCAACATTACTGAATGATATCAAATTTTATAGATAACATCAATTTTTGATGAAAGTGAAGTACATCAAAGCAATTAACATAAGTATCTTCCTGGCACACACATTCACAAGACCAAGGAAATAGAGCTCATAAAGACTGCAGATCAGACAAAATGTCTCTATAAAGAATGATTCAGAAGGCAAGCTTCTCAAAATCCAGCACTTAACCAAAGTCTAAAGTGCATTACAAGTTATAAAGAAGGCACTGAGACATTTCTATAATGTTTGATAAAAGTAGAGTTCAATTTTTTCTTCTTTAAGTATGAGAGGAACAACATGATAAAATGAAACAAAAATTGAGTTCAATCTGATCCTTTTTTTCCTTTCCAGATTGACAGCAAATGTTGCTAAAAAATTATTTTATGCCTACCTTGGTATTAGGGTGGGTTAATTTTTTTTTTTAATCTAAGTGCATGTATTGTGTAAAATTTATCTTATCCACAACTCTGTAGTGATAATTCTATCAAAAAGCCTGACGAGAGAAAGATTAATCAAGAAATATGTGGCTCTGAGCCTCTCCTATAAATATTTAATAAATCAATGTGTGAACATATAGAACACATCCTAGACATGTAAAAGCCTTGTTTAACTAAGCTGGCTCCCCAAGAAAAGTTTCACTCCACATTATGATTTAAGGTAGCTGGATATTGACAATAAGGTATATAGTTAAATATGTATGTCAACTTGAGAGTTGATTTTTACTGTCTCACCTGGTACAGGTATTGATTCAGTGAAGCGTGAAGGGCGAGTTATCCTCCAGGTGAAGGACTTATTCCAAGCATTTATCTTATATACGCATCTTTTCATTATGAAATACCTTATAACCACGGGACATTTTTTATGCTTACATATTTTTCAATGTAAATGACAATGCACATTCAGAATTAACACACCATTTACAATGCTGGTATATGTACCGTGTACTTAACTGACACATGTACAGTGAGCAATAAATGAGATTCACATAAAGAAGATTCACACATAGAAGATTCACACATTTTTTTCAGTGGGGGTGGGGTGGGGGATGGGAAGGGGGTTAAACAATCTTAGTACACAAGCACTACTTACTTTGATTCTATTCCATCCTCATTCTGAAGATCTGGTGTGGCTTGGAATTCTCTCTTTAATAAACCTGTGGTCAGTTTCAACAGAGCCTACAAGAGATTTATAAAAGTGAAGCAACAAAAATTTTACATTAAAAGTCTACAAAATATATAAAGAGGTGAAAATATGGTCAAAATAGTGTTTCATCTGCTAACTAAATAACTATATCTTATTCATTATTGTCTATAGATCTTGTACATTTATTTTAGAATTATGTGTTTTTTTATTTATAATGCTAGCAGTTCTCTAGTTATTAATATTTCTGCAATAGTTGAAAGAGTTGTCTAAGAGCAAAATCACCACACTTAATTCAGCATCAGTAATATTTTTTTCTTTCAATAACTTTTCACAGCAATGAAAACTGATACAGAGTGGAAAAGGTGGAGTCGCATTTAAAAGCCCTAATTGAATCTGCAAGCTGGACATAAATCTCCATTTAAGAAGATCTTATATAGACAAGCCAAGGAACAATTTTAATTCATTAGCAATGAATGGTTCAAACACTGGCCCATATTTTGAGATGAGGTCCTACTTGAGGGAACCAATATTGATCCATGTCATATCCCTTCCAGGAACTGGAAAGAATCACTTAGGAGTGCACTCTGAGGTGATCTGTTTCAAGTATTGATTTCCCCCTTCCTCCGGTTGCCAATTATAGCAGGAAATTGTGCCAAACCCCCCATCCCCTATCATCAAACACTGTGGTCCCATCACAATGGTAAACTCCTCGGCATTGATCCCTTACATCTGATTCAGTCAATTTTGACATGAATGGACATCCAATAATGGACATCTTGTCATTCTAGGCCTCATATTAAGGGAAAAAAAGAAGACGTTATGCCTTTATGGGAGGACATTTATTTTTTCCTATAGATATCACAATGTCTGTGCATTTCTTCAAGATGTAATTAACTAATGAAATTAATGTATTGGGCATAAAAAATTACTCATTCCCTCCTTCAGTGTTTTTTTTTTCCTACCATTAACCCACTTTCAAAAAGTAAATGGCTATAGATGAAACAAAATTAATTCTTCATTCTTGCAATGATTAAATGAAGTACTCCTATATAATTCTGGATTATCAGTGAAATACATTCATGGCAAAATCGGTTGGAAAATCATGATTGTGTGGGTTTTTTTTTTCATTTTCAGTTTAATAAAGGAAATTACATATTAAGTTCCCTGAGTGCAATCTACTTTGTGAGAACTGATATCAAAAATTCATCTTTACAATCTGCATGGAGAGGATCAACTTTTAATTCTGTACATAAAATTTAATCAATTCAAGATATATTCAAATATAAAACACCCTACCATATCCCCCTAGAAAAAAAAGATGAATAAAGAGATTCAAAAAGAATATTCTATAAGCATATACCAAATAATACTTATTTTAAACTTGTGGTTATATAACTAAAACACATTTTACATTTAAAATAGTTTTCTACTTCTTTTGAAGCTTTCTGAATTAACCTGCTTGAGAACTCATGGTTTTTGGTTTTATATAAATGAGTGACCTTGAAAAGGATGGAAGGTCATTATTATAAATAGATAAAAGAGGATACTAGTACAATAGTACATCACCATCGAGTGCATCTAGAAAAAGTCAATATGGTCCTCCTATTGTAACTCCTATCTCGGACTAACAGAATTATCTGATTACTTTATTGCATGTCAAGCTGAATTTTAGTAGAAACTGAGCTACATGGACTAACATAAGGAAACGTGTCTGACCATAATATGTTAACTGCAGAGCTGTAGAAATGCTCCGATATCAATATAGGTATGAATTATTCCTTCATGAAATAAAACATAATTTTCTTGCATCAGAAAAGAACTAGCCTTGAAGTTTTTCCTATAGCTCTTCAGGAAATTCTTTTTACCAGATAACAGATATAAATTGGCAAATCTGGAAATTGTTGGTCATGAGTTGGAATCCATAGAACCTTTTTTTTTCAATCAATGGCTTGAAGTTAATTGTTGTTAACAGGTTGAAATTGGAAGTAGAGAAAAATAATTGCCTTAATTAAATTTATCACATTTCTTGACTTCAATCTTTAATCAAATTTCTTTTTTTATCAAAGGACCTATAATCTTGTAGGAAATATCAGCTGGGATTTCACATATCCGGAATCTATCTGATTAAATTCTTTGATTGGCCTTCCGAAGACCACCTCACACTGAAAACACATAAATGAGATGAACAAACCTGATCTAAATTAATCCTAGCAGAAAAATCAATTGAAGAATCAATTAACGAGCTTAATTCCAGAGGATCTTCTGATTGGGAATCTAGAATAGTATTCTATCTAATGTCCATTTTCAATTTACTTTAAATCCTCCATACAATGAAGATTTCTTTCTACATTGTAATTATGCATTGTTTACCTAAATCACTGAAATAATTAATTTGTGAGATAACATAATACCCTATTAATTTCAATGGACACTTGACAATTTCATTACATGAAAATATATTTTTTATTTGGTTAGAGAGCAAGATTTAAAATATCTAAATATTACATAAACCATATATCTACTCAATGACATAGAGAGAATTATAGCCATTCCAGGTCACAGTCCACATCCACACTGAAGCACAATTTTAGAAATTAAAACAATGAACCATTTGGGACAATGGCAACAAATAATCCATACAACTGAAAACAAGTACGTCCTTGACCTATATGGTAAGATCTTGAGTAAGACTTTGAAATGTCAAGGTCAGGTATAAGAAGAGGGTCATTTGTGATCAATATGGTTTACAAAGACCTTATCAGTGACATTAAAATATATGGTTTAAGTCCTGTATACACAGTGAGTACCACTAGTATTATATATAAATCCTTTATCCCATTAATTTGAATACAACATTATTCAGAGTCCCTTTTTAGTACATGTGTACTGTAAATCACATTGAAACGTTTCACCTGGACCTCTGTTAGAATGCTAATGGAGATTTTATTACTGACACAAAATTAAAGGTGTCAACATTTAATTACCTGTCCATATTCCTTTTCTATGATAGATCTCTGTCTGCTAAAATTTCTACAAATAAAAAAAAATATGGTGAAATATTCAGCAAAACCTGTACATTCCTTTCATTACTCAGGTATATTAAATAATGTCACTGACTTGCATGCTATAGTGTAGGATTTATAACAGCTTTTATAATTAACATTTTTTATAAAAAAAATTTTTTTTTGGTGGTGTTGGTTGGATTCACAGAAATTTCTAATGTATGGTTTAATGTTACCAGGTCTTCTTTTATATATATGCAGAACATACGTAGTTAATGTTACGTGTCAAATTGATGATTCAGATTGTACATAAAATTTACACCCTGTTATAAAGCTAAAAGTAAACATAAATATTGCCATATTCAGTTGAGCAATATCCCATTGAGTATTTCGCACCCTAATAAAATTCTAAATTAGGCCTATTATGTTGTGATACCACAAAGGAATTTGTTATCTGTATCTTTTATCATTAACATATTTTTCGATACAGACCAATGCCCTTCTTTTTCAAATGGTGTCAAGATAAAAACAGCTGGGATACACCCCCCATTTTAACAACCTTTGACCTCAAATTCAGATCAATTTCTGAACCGATATAACACGTTTATCTAACAAATAAATAATGTTTAATTCTAATCTGTTGACCCCCCGGTCGTATGAGGCCCTCTGTACCTGATGTCATCCAGTAAATCGCAGTCCTGCTGTACTTTGCTTTGTAGTTTGCTCACCTGCTCCGAGTGGATGTTTTTGAGTGCAGTGGTGTATTTTACCTTGAAAACAAAACAATCGTGTTTTTGACTTCTAAAACCCGATTTCAAATTTTAAAATGAAAAAATCAATTCAAACTATATTGTTAATATAGTAATTAAATAAAAGAAACTGTACCTTTCGGGGCGGTGGTTGCATTTTTGAGGATTAAATCCGTCCGTAAGTTTTAACTGTGTTGTGTGTCAGCCATTCTCTGTTGTCTTCTGAAATTTGGTAAGAGTTGTCTATCTTGTGGAACTTTCGCAAGGTGCGTTCAGTTGCGCAATATTGATTTCATCTCGTGTTCAAAGTATTATATTTTTCTTTTTAATAATGTACACATTACATGAATTTCAAAACAAATTTGTAAACGTTTTAAAATGTCATTACAAACATTTGGGGTATTAAAATATCTAATTCCCAATCTAAAATGTTAATGATTTTTTTAAAAATTAAATGCACATGTATTTAAGATTCATTTTAAATTAAATTATCGGGGATTTTCATCTGGACAAAAGCACGTATTCTTTATATTTCTGTTTCTGAACTGCTACATTTCTCACAAGGAGCAGAACGGACCAGAAGAACTTGACTGGCAAAGATATCCGAAAACTCGACCTTGCAGCATCCCCCCCCCCCCTCCAGACTGGGTTGCAGGGGTGGGGCGGGGGTTAGGACGATGTTTTTGTTTTGTTCTAGGTAGACTTATTAAATTCTGAAATAATTAAGTCACCGGTCAAAAAATGCTTATCAATACTCTACGCACTGTGTACATAAAAGAATAAATTAATATGAGACAATGAGAATAAATTAATTTAAAAGTGGAAGACCTCAAGGACTTGCATAAAAGCCCCTAGAAGAGCTGAGTATTTCAGATACCAAGATCTTGCAAAGAGAAACATGCAGAAATCTCTGGCCAGTTCTAATGAAAGAGATCGATATTTTACTACATTTCTAATCTGACTTTTTCAATTCCGATGACAAGACTAAGTAGACCAGTGCGATAATTGCTTCATTTGTGAACAGATAGGCAAGTGAAAATAATGCAGTATTTTTTTTTTTTAAATTTTTTTTTAGAAAAATTACAAAATTTACTCAACTTTTTTTTTCTGCAAAAACATAAATAACATGATACATGTATCTAATATCTGTTATCTACGTATTTCAGTCTCTGCTTTCAGTAACAAACAAAAAACACACTACCCGGGTAAATAAAAATACCTATACATCAAAAGAGAATTTTTTTTCTTGGAACTCGAATTTTACGTAAAAATTGTCTCGGTCATGTTTCATTCTAATGATAAAAAAAAGAAGTTTGATACGAAATGTATAGAAAGAAATTTTCTAAAGTAAAACAACCCGTAAATGAGGTGTAAGTTGTGTTTATCAAATGATTGATATCAGTTCTGCCTAAGAACAAGTACAAAGATGAACTTGTCGGTTACTGTGAATAAATAACAAAAAAAAACTTGATTTTCTTGGGGCATAAACGTGACAGTGGAACAAGGGAAATAACTCCACTATATATAATTTTTGTAGTGCTCAACTGTATTACTGTACTATAAAGAAGTAACACCTCTAATTCATTATGTATTGTGCATAGTGGAGCGATTCAGACTACAAATTTTCTATTACTTATCCCTTACAACGCGATCCAATTAATTTTCTTAATTCTAAACACTCAATTTTCGAGACAATTTCTCCTACATCAGATGACATGACTCTGAACTGTTTGGTACTGGAACACCGGTGCTGCTTAACCCCCCCCCCTATAAACATAATTATCATGCATCCTGTCACATATGATCCCCTGTTGAAAAAACTAGAAACATGTCCATAGGACATGAATGCCATGCCGAGGGTATATCAGTAAATGCAAAATGAAAATTTGAATTTGTGTATGAAATTCAGAATATCTTGAATAGTGATGCAGTTGAATTGCTTACATCAGTATGTATTAGCATATGAAGTTTAACACTAATTTAAGAAAAGTGAGGTCAAGGTCAAAGGAAAAGTCAAGGTCAAATGTTGATGCAGTTGAATAGCTCTCATCAGTATGTATCAATATAATAATAAAGTTTGATAAAAAATATCTTGAATGGTATCTGTAAAACTGACTAAACACATTTAAGAAAAGTGAAATCAAGGTCAAAGTAAAGGTCAAGGTAAAAAAAATGCTGATGCAGTTGAATAGCTCTCAACAGTATGTATCAGCATATGATGTTTGATAAAAATATCTTGGATGGTTTCTTTAAACCCGAGCTAAACACTCATTTAAGGAAAGTGAGGTCAAGTCAAAGGAAAGGTAAAAAATGTTGATGCAGTTGAATAGCTCTCGTCACTATGTATCAGCACATGAAGTTTGATAACACTATCTTGAATGGTATCTTTAAAACTGAGCTAAACACTCATTTAAAAAAAGTGAGGTCAAGGTCAAAGGAAAGGTCAAGGTAAAAATGTTGATGCAGTTGAATAGCTCTCTTCAGTATGTGTCAACATATGAAGTTTGGTAACACAATCTTGAATGGTATCTTTAAAACTGAGCTAAACACTCATTTAAGAAAAGTGAAGTCAAGGTCAAAGTAAAAAAATATTGATGCAGTTGTATAGCTCTCATCAATTATACCTATCAGCCTATGAAGTTTGGTGAAAATATTTTGGACAGTTTTTTTGAAACTGAGCTAAACGCAAAGTGTAACGGAAGGACAGACATGACAATTGACAAACACTATATGCCCCGGCTATATTCATGGAGGGGCATAATCAGAAGTCTCTGTCAAGACTGAAGCTCTACTGGTTTGTACTTATAGCAAAGGAAGAGAAAAATACTTAAGCAGTTGGGAATTGAAACTTTATAACAGCAATAAATAGAATAATGATCCTTGATTAAGTCTTTTTATGTTCTTAGTGTAGTCTACTTGCATGCCACATTATATTATAATCAGACTAAAACTGTATTTGAGTGGTATTTTGAAAGTATTAAACAAATTTCTATTTTTAGTAACTAAGGCAATGATGTTCATCGAAGTCTAATACACAGAATTGTGTATCTTTAAGTGTAGTCTACTTGTGTGCCAACTTACATTGAAATCAGTCTAAAACTGTAGATGTAGCATTTAAAAAGAATTTCACAGAAATTTCTATTTTTAGTAACCAAGGCAACACTGTTCATCGAAATCAAAAACCAATACACAGAATTGTGTATCTTAGTGAAGTCTACTTGTGTGCCAAGTTATACTGAAATCAGTCCAAAACTGTAGGAGGAGTAGCATTTTGAAAGAATTTCACAGAAATTTCTATTTTTAGTAACCACGACAATACTGTTCATAGAAATCAAAAACCGATAATCAGAATTATGTATCTTAATGTAGTCTTCTTGTGTGCCAAGTTATATTGAAATTAGACCAAAACTGTAGGAGGAGTAGCATTTTGAAAAATTTTTACAGACATCCCTTCTGAAACGGTCCAATTTATTTTCCTGATGTTAAATCTCAATTTCTGAGACAATTTCTGCTACAACAAATTGTTACTGATGTTTCAGTCCAATAACACCCCATCTGAACCGGAACACTGGTGCTGTTTAACACAAAGACACCCCCCCCAAATAAACATCATATAAATATTAATGTCAAATTGGATCCCTGTCCAGAATTAAAAAAATGGTAAAATGAAAATATAAAGTATAAAGCTGCGTCACTTTGCTTTGCTGACTCTTCAGAGAAAGTACTTTTCTGCTCCAAATTTAAAATCTGACTAAAAACTGAAGTTGTGTGTATATGCAAATTATAAGAAACATAATTTATTTGTAGAAGATAAAATGATCAAGCTCAGTCTCTTAGACCATAATTATACTAAGTTGACAATTTTTTTTAAAAGATATAAAGCTATGTTCTATTGTTCCTGCCTCAGAAGAATCTAAACACTCAAGACATAAGCTCACACAGTTGGCACATTTTATTGTTCTCACATTTCCAAGATAAAAATACATAATTTAGTTTATATATAGTATTAAACTGTAAACTTTAAAAACTTTTTTCAGGCACAAAATGTGTTTAATTTACATTAAGATTTCATCACAGATTTTATTGGATAATCTAATCACAGTATGTATTATGTTGAAATTGGCTGTTAAACATTTTTTAATGGGAAAACAGAAAAGGGTCTATAAAGTTTTTTTTAAACAAACTTTGTCATATAAATGTAATTGTGTGTGTAAAAATTTCATTTTTCTCTTATGTCAGCACTGGAACAACATGAATATTTCAAATGACATGAATAGCTGGCTTCTATTACATAAATGAAAACATGAAGGAGTGGCTACAAGGCTGAATTCAAGATCTTGCTGGTCATTATTTTTCTTTATGTGGAATACAGTGTGTTATGTATGTTCAACAGACCAACATACATGTATCTAGCCCAGAAGATTGGCTAATTGCAATGATCTTGAAAACAGCCCTGGTTCGTAATGCAGAAAGGAATCGCTTTTGTAGGAGAAATCCAATGAAATCTTTTGTACAACAGCCATGCAAAACTACAGAATACAGAATTTTTATTTATCTTACGTAAGCACACAATAAAAATTGGTCTTTGTGTAGAGATAAAATTTCATATACTTGTATAAATCCATCCACTAAAAAATTTGGTAAAATATTCTTAAATAGAAATTAACCCCACTTGTAATAGCATCCAACACATAATCTCTTCATCAGCCCACCCCTATCAACATGATTTTATTGCCAAATAAAATTAACACTGAACAGTTTATCAAAGAACAACTTATCAAGATCCCAAAAATTAAAATACACCTAATTTGATATCCCTAACAAAACAATTTAATGACCAGAGTCATCACAACATTTTGACAGTTTATAATGCCCCTTCCACGATTATGATACACCACTGCGTGAACTTGTAAACGAGTCTCTAGAATTCTCGGCAGAGTCCAGGCCTTGACTTCTGGTAATTCGCTTTAGAGTATTATCAGATTCGTAAAGGTTTTCCACATCCACCAGCTCACTGTTTATAGAGGCTGGGGACAGGGACCTAAGCTGTCTAAAACTGCGCACCGAACTCTCCGGTGAATTTTCTCTGCTGCTCTTTCGACCAAAGTCCATGTGAAATACATCAAACACGTTATCGATACGCCTGCGTACACTTCGTGTTTCTCTTGATGGACTGCCAATGAGATTTTTTTCCATCGAATTTGAGATGCCCTCAGAAATGGTTTTTGTCTCTTTGGGAGAGCTTGGTTGAGATCGACAAATGCTATTGCTAGAACCATGTCTCGTTCGAGATGGTGAGATCTCATTGAGAACACGTGAGACAGGAGATTTTGGAGTGGGTGATCTAGTGCTGGGACACTTTGCAATTGGTGATTTAGTACCTAGTCTATTTTTAAACAAGGTGTCCAAAGATGTCTGAACATAGCCACTTGCAATGTTTGCAATTTGTGACCTGCTCCTTTCCAAGCCCCTATGGACTCTGTTTTTTATTTTGTCTGATATAACAAGTTTTGAGCTTCGTAAGTAGGCATTAACCTCCTCTTTCACTTTGTCAGACACCACATTTGACTTTGAACTTGTCACTATATCTGGGACACTCAATTCATCACTGGACTCCATCCTGGTAACTCTGCGTAATTCCCTTTCTGCTTTTGTGAACGACTCCCTTCTTGCCCTTTGCCTGACTTCTACTTGTGGCTTCATTTCCTCCACATATTCCTTCTGCTTTGTTTTCTCTGGTGAGATTCTCTTGTTGTGCTGGTTCACTGCCATTTCCACTTCACACACTGAGCTGCCCGGAGACTTCTGAGAGCGTAAAGACCTCGACTCTCCAGTCAGTCTTGGTTCACTGCACAGAGAATCAACATCAGTCATTTCCGTGTCCCCATCATCCGACATCTCCTTGAATGCTTCGCTCTCTTTCCGACTTCTCCTGCGTAGTGTCTTCTTCTGCCTAATCCGAGACTTTGGAGATTTATCTGGTAACTTGACGTTTGACTTCTTCGATTTACTCTGCTTCTGATCCTGTGGATCTTCCTCTGTTGTTTCAGCAGGCATCAGCAGAAGATCCTCCACTTTAGGTTTCATCTCCTCCTCCTCAATTCCTTCTTCTTCCTCATCCTCAGCAGTTTCAGGAGGAATCCTCACAGTCTCTAAGACCTTAGTATCATAGATACTATCAAAATGGTACATGTCCACGATTTTGTTCACTTCTCTTTGAGCCAAATTAAACTTGGTATTCGTTAACATTTTGTTCATGGCCATGAATACTGCTTCTCTGTCTTTGTAGAATTGTTTCTTCATCTTCTCTCTTTTGCTAACCATGTAACAGAGATTACGTACCTGGAAAATCAAAACAAAGCAAAAAACATTACACTTTAAGACCAAGTTCTAATTTCCTTTTATGCTATTTTCTATCACTTTTTCAAGAAAAACGAAGAGACTCTTGCCATAAAATGGTATATAATTAGTTCAGTATCTCTATAAAAAAAATTTCTTCCTGAAGCACTAAAGTTTGAAAGGACTTATTGTCCAAAATCAATTCAAAACAATTATAACTTTTTATAAACATTAACACAGCATATTTTTATAAAGACTGTAGGTGCATAGCCTGGGTTGACAAGAAGTGCTAAGCATCATCTTATAAATAATATTTCCTGACTTGAGTGGTTTGGATAACACCTAAGGAACACTGTTATGTAGATATACAGAATAAAGTACAGTGTTGTAGAATCAGTTTACCCTCTCTAGATCCTGTCTGAGCTGGACAAACATCTTCATCCTGGCCACCAGAGAATCCTCCTGTTGTTTCTCCAGGAGGTCCTCCTCCTCCTTCTTAGGAGTCAACAGAGGTACGTCAAACTGAGCCTAGACAAAAATAAACAGGAATATTTCTAAAATTTCTATAAAATATACATGTACATGTATTTGACAAATCTAATGCATGTAACTTATGATCCATCTTTGGATTTCTAATCAACAATTGATTTTTAACCATTAATTTTTGTGCTGTAAATTTTACAATGGAAGGATATTCAAAATTGAAATTAATTGTTATCTGTTATTAATGTGTATTTTCAAACTGACCTTTCTCTTGAGCTTCCAATAAACACAAATCATTTCTACAGCACTCTCATCAAGGTTATATTGCTTTGCAATTTCCTCAACATTCACAAAGGTGTAGAAATCTTCATTTAGCTGCTGCATTCTGTAAAACCAATGTAAATAGTCATATGCTATCATTTCAAAGGATTCAAGATACTGAGCTTGAAAAAGACAAAGAACAAGTGGTAAGAACTTCCAAATCATTTTGATATTTTCCTCGTTTTTGAAATATATACTGTACTTGTTTAAGACATCATGATAACTACAGAAAAACATATTTACTTTTCTGCCCTCATTTTGGCTATTTCTTCATCTGACAGCTCCTTTCTGGGGGACCCTCCTATACTCTTCCTTGGAGATTCTGAGTCTGACTCGGAATTCCTTCTCTCTCCCTTCTTGCTATGTCTTGGACAATAGGCCTGTTATAACAGTAATTCATATTTTTTAAATTGGAATATTTTATTTATCTAGAAAGAAATAATGGAAATTAAACCTTTCATGTTTGAATAATTTATTTGAAAATTCTTCCTGGTTATTATTTTGAAGTAAAATTAAAAGAAATAAAGCATATAGATACAAGCATTTATACCTGATTATTTGGATGAAAAAAAAAACAAAACAGAAATACACTACATTCTCTTGAATAAAGCTTAGTATACCTTAAGCTTGACTCCACCATCATCAGCTACTTCATCTGTGAGGATTGTTTTCATCTCCAAGTTGTTCTGGAAGGCACAGCTGACGTGAAACGCTGTCTTACAGGACTTAACTGAGCACTGAATACAGGCCCCACATCTCTCCTTACACAGACAGCAAATCAATGACCACCGACTAGCCTGTAAAGAAAATTCAACTCATAAATTGTATGATATTGTAAGTCATGATAAAAGGCATTATTTTTGTATGTACTTTTTCCCAGGTGACAAAAATTAAACATGTAGTTTTGGCATTTCCAAGAACTGTATTTTCAGATACTGTGTCTTTTTATTTCATAAATAATTTGGTTTTTTAAAATAATATTTGGCAATGAAAATTTTGGCAAAAAATACAATCTTGATAATGTGTAAATTCATTAATGTCAACTCAAAAGCTAAAAGTAGGAATGATGACTTATATCTTTATTATTGCTTAAAATGAAGCTTAAAAATTTGGAAACAATTGATGAGGGAGGTGATTTGTTGTTTTTATTTTATTGATTTAGCAATAAAAAGGGTAATGGACGCCCTTGAAGAGATTACAGGAATCTGAGAACCAAGAAATTAATTTTTTTTGGCCTTAATTGCTAAAATTTTAAAACAAATTTCTCTACACACCCATATAAAAATCTTTTCTTCTGGGATCCACAAAGCACATTGCTGTACAAATGGGCCCACCTCCTTGGATTTACCATTTTTATTTTACATGTACAAAATCTGGTGATAATCATGACAATATTTATAAGGGAAAATACAATTAACTGTTTAAAACTTTTAAGACATTGCCTATCTCCAATTGTCCTGGACACCCTATATCACTTCTGGGATCCACAAAGCACAGTTACATGAGTTGTCCACTCCCCAAAATCAGGAATTCAAAGTTTTGTATATAATAAACTTGGTAATAACTGTAACATTGTTTGAGTTTTATACAAATAAAATTTCCTTCAATGATATTTACATAGGACATCCTTCGATTTTTCTTGAAAACAATCTGAAAAGGTTGCATAGGAATTACCTCTGATACAAAGACAAGTAGAACAATGTGAGTTATACGGTGGGCCTTAAACCTTACCGTGTACTTTTCATGGCACCCCCTGTCTTTGGACACAGAATACAGGTCGGTTTGATGCCCAGGGCACATGTTCTACACAACCAACTTCCTTCAGGAATCTTCTGGATACCATAACAAGCCTGCAAAATGTTTGTTATAATTCAAATATCCAACACATCAAAGCTTCCATATACTGACTGAAATAAGAAATAAGATTTGAGTTGATTCTATTAAGACCTCTCACCTGATGTACACAAATGTCACAGCCATCACAGAAAACCATCTCATTACATTCTTCACTTTCTGGCTGTGTAACAGAGAGAGAGCAAAAATTAGACAATGGTAAAGAAAGGAAAATTCAAATTTAATAATAATGCATGTATCAACATGCACAGAAATATAATGTACTTTCAATCATAACTTTTAATTGTTCCCTTGCTCTGCACACTCAATCTTTATACTTACCGAAGCACACACAGCACAAACAATGTCCTCATCGTACTCAATCCCCAGTCCTTCCTCTGTCTTCATTTTTATCTGCATCACTTCATGGCACTAAATGATAAATTCAAAGAAATTAACAGACGATAAGTTACTTTTCTATATAGTGATGTTCATTGTAACATTTCTATATATTCATTGCAACTTCCATCTTTTCACTAAAAACAAAAAATTAACTACAATTTTACAAGTCTGCTTACAATGAATAATTTAAAACCATTTTGGCACACAATGTACTACTATAGCCCCCTACCTGAGTTTCCAGAGCTTCAATGACTTGTTCCATCACCCATTCATCAATCAATATTTCTGAAGTCTCTTCTCTCACTTCGTTTGCCAGATTTAACCAGCAAACATCTAGATCATCCAAATCATAACGAATCACCTGGTCTGCTAACTGCTGCATGCCCGTCAATTCATGAATTCCTTGCTGGAATGTTTCGTCTTTCATACCATGTAGGTATTTCCTTGGTCTAATTTTTGAGAGAAAAAAGACAAATATCCATCAACAATTCTAAACTGAATAATCTTGTTGTCAATACTTTCAGGAGAGTTCATTTTCATTGTCATAGTTAGCATTTTAGCAGCTAGGTCTACGCCAGAGGACCAGTAAATCACAGATTAATGAAAGTAACAATCACTGTATAAAAATACTTACATTTTAAAATCTCCGCCTGTTTTATCATTGTCTTTCACTTCTCTACAAAAGAAATATCTGTTTACTCATCAACTGTATAAGAAGAAATTTTGGTAAAACTAAATTTTGGTATTTTTATCGACATCGAGACAGATTAAATTGAAAATCGCAAACAATGCATGAGGTTACTGTTATTTTTCTATGCAATACAATTTGCCAAAACTATTTTTTGCAAAAATTAAATCCAATATTTTGGGAAAAATCATCTAATTTGCCTCTCGTAAAATATTCCATTGATGTATGTGAAGAATTCTATCACGATTATTGAAAACATCAAAGGAAACTGCCGGACATTATTCTCCAATAAATCACGAACGTCATCAAAAGATTATCAGATCAAAAACACGTATCAAATCTGAACAATTCAAATGCATGTTTGGCTGTAGAATGAAATACTTGTTTAGACCGCATCGATGTGTCGTCTTTTGCAGTATAAACACTGTAAATTGCATCAAGTTGCTGATGAATGTCGGTTTTTATAGCTATGCGGGGCAATTCCACGGACCTCCCTACACATTAAACGTGATTTTAGCAGTAAAACAGGAATATGATTTTGTTATTGTATATTCATTTTAACTGATAAATACATATTACGAACAAATTTGTAATTTAAAAAGGCTATTTTTAATGTAACGAAAGCTCAAATCGTCTGCATTCTATACACAGGTAAGCAAACAAATTTTACCTCTGGTGTTAAATGAAACAGTGTAATCGAGACATGGTAACCTAATTCGTTTCTCTAAAGAGGAAACGATTATCCGTAGTTTAGCGATTGTAGTTATACATGGTAGAATAGAAATAAAGTCCTTGTTGTCGTGAATGATGCAGAATAACCTCCTCGGTCTCGAAATGTTGTTTGAAATATAAAAGCCTCGGCTAACGCCTCGGCTTTCATCTTTCAAACAACATTTCTCGACCTCGGAGGTTATTCTGCAACATTCACGAAAACGGGACTTTATTTCTTAAACACAAAACCCCATAAAATACATGTATGAGTCATTATTTCCTTAACCAATTTTCTCCATTTGTATTGTAAACAAACTAAAGAATACTTTTGTTTTTCCCCCATTCATGTCTTACTTGATACAGGCCTCCTTTACTCTGTCTTCGTTGACTGGCACCTGGACACCTTTCTCCCAGTCCTGTCTCCACGGGTCAGCAATCAGGAGGTAGTCCTCCACATCTAGTTGTTCTGTGTCAGCCATCTTCATAGCACTAATCAGATCCTTACGGAATAACTGTCAAATATGTTAATATTTCCAAATAAGAATCTGGCTGTGTCATAAATTGGAAAAAATTTCATTTAATATGCATATTATACGATTGTTATTGTTTTTGAAGTCAAAAGATTGAATCAACTACCACAGAAGCACAATATTCACCAAGTCCTAAGACCAAGTGATATTATACTTCAATGATTACTAAAGCATTGCATAAAAATAAGCATTTACAATGCCAAAAAATTATAAAATGTATCAAACATAAAAATATTAATTTACATGTATTAAATAAAGAAATCATTTAATGATGTTAACTTTTTTTTTGGAAAATCATCTGATGTATGAAAACTGTGATATAAAGTTGGTGTTTGGATTAACTAGTAAATTTCTTACCTCAGCTGGCTTGTTGTGGGATGATGCCGGACTTCTTAATCCACCTGAAAAAACATAAAAGATTTTCAATATTGATTATATTTCAGTAGGCCAGCTGCTGTGTTTTTTTTCCCCATATTGGATTGAGACTTTAACCAAAGAGAGACAACCCATCATAGTTATACTGCAATATACCTTCCATTTCCTTCATATAAGCAAGAGATACATGATGCAATACATACTGTTATCTGCATATGCTAGAGTGAAATTAACTTCATGAAATCCATCTTGGTTAGATTGTGCATTTATTAAATTAATTGGGATTGTAAACTGTGTAACAAAAATATTCGTGAGAATTGTGTGTGTGTGTTTTTTAAAAGGATATTTGTTGAATATTTCTTAAACTGCTCTGACAATAAGAAAAAAGCTTCTGACATTTCACACATAAACCTTGGCAATATCTATCACGCCACAGTTTACTTTACAACCTTGTTTTGCAATACAACCGATAAGAAGTCAAAATTGATTTCCCATTTCCAAATTTAGTTTCATTAGAATAATTTAATCCCTTATTTTTCTCTTGGAAATATTTACCTATGTCCATGTCTTCTTCTTCTTGCTCTAGTCTTGGCCTCTTGTTTTTCTTTTCCACTTCTACAAAAAAAGAGACAAAGTGAGAAAACTAAATGTTCATGTCATTCCTCTCCTGGGAAAATAATACTCCAATCCATGATTGTTTTACTTGTCCTATAAACATTTTTCTTTTCTTCAAATAATGTTAACTACCGTGTAAAGCTGTGTATCTTTAGTGTTATAATCTTCCTTGAACTACATACCCTCTCCTTCCTCCCTGCATGGTCTTTTACTCTTGTTCGGTGGCATGATGAACAGACACAAAGCAAAAACCTAAAGGAAAATAAAACAAATCACATAGTATACCAGTGTACGAAACTCGGAAAAAATTCAGGTGGACCATCAGGGCTGACTACTCAAAAAATTTGTCAGCCCTGCTGAAAATTAGCAAGCCCGCATAGTAAAATTCAATATTCGGGTATACGCACACTCAGACTTGTACATTATTTCACATCCACTTGAATTTCATACACAGTATAATTACAAAGATTAAAATTTTATTCATTCAGTCATTGTTTACTTAATTATAAAGTTATAGGAAAAATGAAAATCATTACACTATAATCACTATTAATTGCTAATCTGAAAGACATGTCCTATGTTGTCGGTTTTTTTTTCTTATAATTTTTTTTACATTTGAAATACATTGATAGATAGCATAGATACATGTATGGTCATAATAATATTTAATAATATCAACATTTATACATGTAGGTATATTCACATTTATATTTCATTTGTTTGATTTTAATTGAAAATGAAAAAAAAATACAACTTCTTTAATTTTAGTACTTATTAAGAGCAATTTTTAACACTCATTATAATTAATTTATAATAAGAATTTTAAAAGGCTAGAATATTGTGATATGATTTAATATAACTTAAGTTTTTTTTTTTATTTAATTAAAACAAAAATCAGTTTAAAACAACCATTGAATAAAAGCACAGCACGTTACCCTTTGATGAAAGTTCATATAGTACACTTAGCTTTGTCTTTATAATTATAAACGGCATGATCATTATACAAACATTAATTAATACTAAATTAATTCTTATAAATAAGCACATTGAATGTGTTTGATTTCTATCTGATCCTTTAAGTTAAAAAAAAAATGCACAATATACCAGTGGAAAGTTGAAAATATCGTTTCATGCGTGAAAACAGAGGAAATTCGGGTTAAAAGACGATGGTGGTGTTCTTCATATATTTACAGATTTATTGATCAATAATTGTTTATTTCTTGTTGTCCCAGGGAATAATGCCTTGCATGTACCTTGAAATATTAAGTCTTTACCTTCTTAAAACATTTTCTGCAAAAATGGAAGGGGTGACCGTGTGGTAAAATTAATGCGTCCAAGCGGGCTGATGCAGAGTAAAGTTTATACGTCCGCTCCCGATTTAGTACGTCTCGGGCGTGCGGGCGGACGGGAATTTCGTACACTCAGTATACAAGCCTTATACAAAATAAAACAGTATAGACCATAGCACAAAGTGAAGCTGTTCATAGCAGCCATTTTTACAACCTAAAAAGTTATTGAATTTTTTAACAGAAATTGATTTTGAAATTTCAAATTGATGATAGGAACCTATCATATAATGAATATCAATTGATGACAATTGTTTCATCACTATAAATAGTCTAACTCTATACAGAAAATCTGACTGGTTTTAAACCTGTTTCTGGCCAAGTGTAACCAGAAAGAGATGTACATTGGATATGAACTCTTAGCACTCAAACAACAGAACGCTCAGGCCTAGAAAAAAAATATGTTTGTTTCCGCTTTCCCGACCGACCCTAATTTATAGTGCCGACCCTAAATATATTTTTAATGCTTTTGTCCCATGATGTGCAAGATTTCAACCAGGGAATTATAGCCTCCAACTTTGCAAGCTTTTCAAGACAGAAAGAAGTTTGGGTCACCTTTCTATTATAAGTTAAGTCACAGTAATGCTTGAAAACACCATTTCTTTTGTCATTAATGTTACTTCTATACACGTTTTGATTAAAGAAGCAAAAAAAAATTTTTCAAAAAAAAAAAAATTGCCTACCTACCTACCCTATATTTTTTCAGCCTGAAAGCGGAAACAAACAAATTTTTTTTCTAGGCCTCATCATGATGACACAGTTATAACATCAACAACCAAGGGGCTTAAGCTGCAGTACTACGGTTTTATATGTTAGGCTTTGGACATAACACTACAGATCCAGTAAATAAGGATTAGGGAAAGGTATCTGATTGACCATTTCTGGAAAGTGGATATTCAGGATAAATATTTTCCCCAACTGTATAAAAAAATCTTGTCATAATTGCACTTTATTAACGGGATCTGTAGTTTGAAGGTGAAATTTTAAAAACTTGGAATAATCTATTTTAATTTATTATTCACCTAATTGAAATGATCATTCCATTAATGGTCTACTCCATGTGATCTCATCGAGGAAATTCGGGATCCTTCAATAATCAGTATTGGCCACAGGGCATTAATCAACAAAATAATGTTATGATATATAGTCAAAAACTTAACTTATTTTAAATATCTGCTAATCTCTAGCTTTTTCGTAATTAATGGTTCATATCTGCGTAAATACATCGACAAATCTTTAGCGCCATGTAAAATGGCGAGCTAGGTAAACAAATATCTTTACATACCCGAAAAAAAAACACTTATTCTTTCACTTACCGACTGAAATGAATGGAGATTGTCGGTAACTTTAATGCTTTGGGTATTTTACTGTAAATTTAATTGAAGGTATGAAGCTTTCAATCCAATCCAATCGATGACATTTCATCATCGTCGTAGACTACATCTTTGGCGCTCTATCATGGCCGAAATACTTATAAATTAGGTCAACGAAATATCGCGAGATTTGGGAATATCTTGGACGCGCTCGATTTCAAAAAAACATGCGTACAACCTGAACCAGTAGAAGATCCGAAATTCAGGTTTTCGGTGTACAATATAATCAAATTGGGGAACAAGAGGTATTTGTTAGAGTTATTTATTTAATTGATAGAAGCACTTGGCCTAAATTTTTGATTTTATACATAAGCTTCATGGCGGGGAGGAGGAGGGGGGAGGTCGGATTTCCTTAAAGTTCCTTGATCAGCAGGCAAAATTTAAAGAGAGGGAGAAAATTATTAAAATATTTTTTTATTGTATACATTATACTTGCAAAGTTTGGATGGACACGGTTTCTACAGGCCTTATTTCAACAATTTTTCATTGCAATAAAGGAAAGTACCTTTTATCTTAAGAGGGGAGAATATCTAGGAATTATGGTGGCATATTTCTGCCCCTTGTGTGCAAGTTATTTTTCTATCAAATATGTCGACATGCAAGATAAATATGTTGACATGCAAGATAGTTTTGTTTTCATTTCCGAACATTTTCATATGTATGACATGCCAGAAAATTGCAATCAAATAGCTATTATAAAAAATCTTCAAAAATCTCAAATATCGCCCACATGTGACATCCAACATGCTAGATGCTACTTATTTATGTTAACGTGCAAGATAAATATGTTGACATGCAACTTATATATGTTGACATGCAACTTATTTATGCTGACATGCAACTCTAGTTATGTTGACATACAAGATAAATCTATGTTGACATGCAACTTATTTATGTTGACATGCAACTTAGTTATGTTGATATGCAAGATGAATATGTTGACATGCAACTTATTTATGTTGACATGCAACTTAGTTATGTTAACATGCAACTTATTTATGTTGACACGCAAGATTAATATGTTGACATGCAACTTATTTATGTAAACATGCAACTTTGACATAAGTGTACTGCGGTCATGACAACTTATAAGTTGCATGTGATGAAAAAGTTTATGCTCATTGAACTCTTTTACCTAGGCTTAGTGCTACATGTCTGTGTATATGTGTAAATGGTTTTTTTTATTTTTATTTTTTATCAATATTTTGTAATAAATACTTTTAAAATTCCATTTTTACTTACTAAAATAACATTGAATTGCCGCACAGGTAAATTCCGGAAATGAAAAAAAAATTATGTCGGAAATGAAAACAAAAAATGTCGGAAATGAAATTTAAAAAATGTGCAAATGCTATGCATATTTCCGGATCTTGCACGTTAACATAAATAAGTTTTGGAGCATATAGTTTTTGCATGTTGGATGTCACATGTGGGCCACATAAACTTTAACCTTGTCCGTAACTTTTGAGTGAAGATTTTTTATAATTTTTATTTTATTGCAATTTTCCCCATGCTCAACATATTTATGCTTCATTAAATAAGACAAACTCTATGCATTTGAGATTTTAACATGTTTACCCAGAAGTATCTCTTCAAATTTTAGCATTGCACGCGTGCGCATTTGAATGCACAAAATATAACTTGCACACAATCTATAGATTTTAATATACTAAATATCAAAGTATTTAATCCAAAAGTATTAAAAAATAAAAAGCAATTTTAATTTTGTAAATCAAAGCAATGTATATACTATTTTTTATAATGCAACGGAAATTACTCGCCCAAAGTAAGTAAAATTATACTTGTACGTATAAATGCGGACTGAAGTAGATCAAATGACACTGTACGTATGTATATATTTATTTCTGCTTCGTGTTATTTTCTCACAGTTACAAACATTTTTTGGCATTTAAAGCAATAGCCAAAATTCCCGCACGTGCATGCACGTGTTTTCATTTTGCTATAAATCTTATTGTAGAATATCCTAATACATGCCTATGTTTAAAATTTCAAAGGATTTGTCCCCAGAAAGATATTGAGACTTTGGTTTCAGCCCCCCCCCATGCCCTTGCTTTTTTGATCATGTCATTTTGTTTATGCTACTAATATATCCTTACATTATAAATTTCAAGATTTTCAAAAAATAGAAAAGTTACGGCTATATATTATATTGGTCATTTTTTGCACTGTCCGCACGTCCAAAATGGCTCTCTCTCTTTATAATATGTCTATATATTCTAAATATCAAAGCATTACATTAAAAAATGTTAAAGTTACGGCAATTTCAAGTATATAGGTCATTTCACGTGTTACACGTGCGCGCTCTCAAGCACGTGCGCGCATAAACTTTAACCTTGTCCCTAAAAAGGTTTCTTTTGAGTGTACTTTACAAGATCATTCGCGGACAAAATTTTCCCAAGAAGAAAAATAATAATAATAAGAAACAGAGTAAAAACAATATGTTCCCCAACTTCGTTTGGGGAACATAATTAGACCTTTCATCTCGCTCTTCGTAAATTGATTTGTCGCCTTTCACTTTCACGGTCTAATTTTAATTAGATTGGTGGGACAGTGGCTTTCATATTTCACAGGTGTTTTCCTTGAGTTATGGCACGACTTTTCGTTGGGTTCTCTCAAATTTGACCTCTTGACCTTAGAGTTTGACATACTTTTACGAAAAAATGCCACACTTTAACATTGGCCATAACTTTTGAACAGCTAGGGCTGGGGCTTTCATACTTCAAATGTGTATTGTGAAAAGACCTTTCAGTGGGTATAAATATTTTAGACCTTGGCATTAGAGTTTGACCAGCTTTTTAAAAACTTCAACCTTGGCCATAACTTGAACATTTAGAACTATAGAGTTTTCCTATTCCATAGGTATCTTGTGAGAAGACCTTCCATTGGGTACCAACACTTTTGACCTTGACCTTTGGTGTTTGACGTGCGTTTTAGAAAATTCAACCCTCGCCTTAAGCTGTCATACTGGGGCATCCGTGTTTCACAAACACATCTTGTCTTTCTTTGAAATCACCCTCGTTTTAATTCGCCCATTTGAAAAATACAACGGGAGCTAAATTTTTACGTATGCAGTATTCGGAGTCTATCATCTTCAGCGCCGGAAAAAAACATTCTGTTTTACTTGTTACACCCCCGCTTGAAATGTGGGAGGGTATATAGTAATCGGTATGACCGCCCGTCGGTCTGTTACGCTTTGGGATACCCATCTCTTATCCGCAACTCCTCTCATACCACGGAAGGAAATTTAATGAAACTTTCACAGAATCTTTATTACATATTGCCTTTGTGACCTCCTATTTTACTTTTTGATCTGACATATATTTTGGATCTTCCAGAGCAAAACATGGATACTGCCATTATATTCATATGGGAGGCGGGGGGTATTATTTAGTGAGCTCATTGCTCACAGTACCTCTAGTTTTTAATGTTTCCTTTAAGAACAGAATCTTAAAATTTTTTTCATCGAAAATAAATATAGTGACAATCATAAATCATAATCTTTAATTCTCTTTTGGCACCTTTTGATTCAAGATTTATGAGCAATTTCTTTTAAAATGTTTCAACACTTCAATGGAGCACACAATTCGCGCATCTCCTCTTTCATTCTTGAAAGCACCCGACGTACATGTATATACCGTATATACTCCTGCAAAATTTTGCTTATTTTGGTAAGATTTGCCATTAAAATTGGATTTTTTGCCAAAATCGGATGACAATTTCAAGTAAATCCAATGATGTTTTACATGGTTTTAATTAATTTTTTTTTAAATGAAACCGATATTTAATCTTAAATCTGTAAACAAATAAGCAATGCTCACTTGAGATACAAAAATTTTTAAAAATATGTAAATACGTGTACTTTATAGGCCTATATAATCTAGCTATACATAAATTATCATATATATCAAGAAATTGTCTTTGATAATTGTCGGAAATTTCAGCGTCTAAACAAATACCAATCCTTTTATGACTCGCCTATAAGTCGGACATAGACTTGAAGACCAAAATTTAACTCCGCAAAAACCGACTTATAGGCGAGTATATACGGTACGTGACACCCTGCAGAATGCTTAATATTAGAATTGGGAAAGACACATGTGCGCCCGCAAGCATTTGGAATCTCCTGTTATCTCCAACAGTTCTGTTTGAATATTGTCAACATGTCAAGGAAATGACAAGTCATGGCTACATTTGGATGCAAAGCATCATGCAGTAATGAGTTATTGTCTGCGAAGACAATTATGTATCTCCGTCTGTTTAGATTCTGAGGTAGAGACTTGGCCGTCCTAGCAATTCATCATTACATGTAAGTAAAATCGATGTTCATAAAGAAATAGTAAAATCAAAAGCACTTCCGGTGAACGATTCCGGGCCCGCATTCGTCGTACTCCTGTTTGGTGATCCACATTTGTTGGAAGGTGGAGAGAGAACCCAAGATTGATCCGCCTATCCAAACCGAGTACTTCCGCTCAGGCGCAGCGTTGATCTTAACTTTAGCTGAACTTGGTGAGATGGCTGTTAGCTCCTTAGTCAGTCTGTCTTTTATACCCGGAAACATGGTGGATCCCCCGGAAAGAACAATGTTACTGTACATGTCTCTCCGGATGTCGATGTCACATCCCATAATAGAGTTGTGGATTTGTTCATGGATACCACTGCATTCGCGACCTGTGGAGACAGATTTCAAAGTAGCGTTTAATTTACTTTGAATTATTTTTTTAAAGTGAATCTATAAAAACTTTTATCAAAAACTTTCAAAGATTTCTGAGAACATAAATCTCACCTGAAAATGCTGGTTGGAATAATACTTCCGGACCTCGAAAGCGTTCGTTTCCAATAGTGATAACTTGTCCGTCCGGAAGTTCGTACGATTTTTCTAGGGCGGATGATTGTGCTGAGGCAAAGAGCTCGTGTTCAAAATCCAGAGCCACATAACACAGATTCTCTTTGATGTCACGAACGATTTCATGTTCAGCTAGAAAGGAATTGAAAACTGGTTTCAAAAAATATATAAATAAACGAAGATCATATGCAAGATTTAATATGATTTTAAAAAAAAATAGATAAATAATTAACTGGAATCTCACCTGAGTTATCGAAGTTGTATCCACGTTCATGAAGTATTCTTTGTAAATATTTGGTCAAATCTCTACCCGCTAAATCAACTCGCTTTATGGCATGGGGAAGCGCGTAGCCTGTAATTAAGTTAAAAAATAAATTATGTCTGATTAGTTCATAAATAAAAACATTCTTTTAAGGAATATTATTAACGAAAAAATATTGCGAGGCATTTTTACAATATATTTTCAAAGTTTAATGTCAAAATCTTACCTTCGTATATTGGAACTATATGGGAAACTCCATCTCCCGAATCGAACACGATCCCGGTAGTTTTTCCAGAGCCATAGAGAGAAAGAACTGCTTGGATGCTGACGTAAAACCCTGGGACATTGAATGTCTCAAACATGATCTATAAAAAACGAAGTTCTCATTTTACATTTTTACAAGTATCGATTTAGGGACTAAATAACAATACATGTAGATTGAACAGACATTTTCTGTCAAGTAGCAATCTTAAAAAAAAAATCTGAAAATTATAGAAATGATAATTTAAAGAGGGGGTCAAGTTGATACCTGGGTCATTCTCTCGCGGTTGATTTTGGGGTTGAGTGGCGCTTCCGTTAGTATCACCGGGTGGTTCTCGGGTGCCACCCGCAGCTCGTTGTAGAAAGTGTGGTGCCAGATCTTTTCCATGTCGTCCCAGCTGGTGACGATTCCGTGCTCCAAAGGATAATCCAGAAACAACACACCTCTGTGGTTCTGTGCCTCGTCGCCGATGTAACAATCTTTGACTCCCATTTGCGCCATTACAATCTTGAACATACATAAATTACAATTTTCTAATTGTATTTATTTTTTTCTACTGGTTTGAACACATGACTTATTAAATGAGTTTGTATTTAATGATACCGTAGTTTAATATTGGAAAGCCTTACATCATATCTGGGTCTTCCTGTGATGGCGGGAAAAACGGCCCTCGGGGCGTCATCCCCAGCAAAGCCCGCCTTGCACATCCCTGAACCGTTGTCAATAACAACGGGTGCAGTATCGTCTTCCATTATGTTGATAGGCATGTTTGATGCGTTTTTTGAATTAATATTCCTGAAAAAACATTAAATAATATTATAGGTTTGTCTCAAATTTTTATTTTCATTTTAAAAATAAAATCTTTCGTACGTTGCATACTTAAAAAATATTTACTGGTACACCATATAGAAGAGCAATCCATTAAAACTTAAGTTTAATTAGACATAACAAAAATATTAAAAAAAAAAATCATATTAAAATAACTTACCTCTTTCAATTTGCCTTGTTCAGTTTTCAGTGCTTTCTGCAGTTTGATTTCAATCTGTCAGAGTACACCCTTATATACCTGTACAAATTGTGAAAACTCTGAAAACATTTCAGGAATTGGGTAATTTAAGTATTCAACAGAGCTGTTCGCTTCCAAACAAGGAGATGTCTCCTCCCTTAATACCTTATATGTAAAGGGAGTTTAAATCTAAAAATAGCTATTTTAAATGGGTAGATATATTTACAATTTTGTTGTGCTTTTTGATTTCTTGAGTCAGTGAATATTTATTACTAGTAGTTTTTGGCAAAATATTGTTTACTTTCAACCATCATTATATCGAATTTATTTATTTCTAGATATACATAAAAAGTATACTTTATTAAAGAATGTTAAATATTATTTATTAACATTTTTGTTGATGACGTTGATGTTATTATTTATCTACGGGAACTTGTCAAGACAACAATACCAGGCCTATATGAAATAATCTCAGTTTGGGAGGGGGGGCACAACTATACATTTTCAGTTGAGGGGGGACACAATCAACTACCAAAGGTTCCTTGACAAGAAAAAAAAGTCATCAGACTATATTATTGAGGGGACAAAAACGTATAGTAGCTATGTCCTTTATAGTATTCTATATATCGACAAAAGAAGGGGTCACACACTCCATGCCCCCCCTCCCCCCGCTCGTCCGATTCCTGAGGTCATGAGTAATACTAGTATTTCTTACCTGCTTAGTAAACAGTTTATTGTGTTATACGTACATAGTATATAAATACGATTACGAAATATACGGACATAATTCATGAATTGTGAGTTAACGTCATAGAAATACCCCCCCCCCTCCCCTTTCTAAATAAAGAAAAGATAAGTAAATTCAATAATTAGAATAAGGTGAAGATGAAATCCGATATTGGAGATTAACAGCATTATGGGTATAGCGAAATTCAGAAGCTATCACCGAAGTTGATTTTTTTAAAGTAGGTTAATCGTCTAGGTCAAAGGGCCAGAAATCTTACCATGCTCGAAAATATCCTGTCACAGGTAATGCACTGTCAAATATGAAAGCTCTATTTCTTCTCAATCTAAAGTTATAGGGAAAACTTAACATCTTTTGAAAAGTAGGCCAAACTTCAAGGTCAGAAGATAAAAATTTATAGTGTATAAATCTTAAGATTATTAAGTCAATTCATATCAAAATATTGTATATGATTTTTGAATATTACAGTAACTATGTTGTATTTACAATATTTGCATACCACCATGGGTAAATTGGTTTAATGTTTCATTATGTACATTGTCTCTATTTTATGTAATAATAAACTTGTATCTGCGTTATGCCCCCAGTGGGACCATGACTGGAAATAAATGTTATTCTATTCTATTCTAATCTATTCTGTATTTAGAAAGGTCTTGTCACAAACAATACACAGGTTTAATTAAAAACCAAAACGCTACAGTTCTCCAGCTAGACAAAGGTTAAAGTTTTTGAAAAGAAGGTCAGTCTTCAAGGTCACGGGGTCAAAAAATCATGGTGTTTTTAGAAAAGGACTTGTCACAGGTACTAGTAATACATATGTTTTATATGAAAGGCCTACACTTTCTCTTCTCATTCAAAAGAGTATGACCAAGTTTCAAGTTTTGTGACGGACGGACAGACGAATTAGATTTAACGTCCCCTCGCTTTCGCGAAAGCGGGGGATATTTAATTCAACTATCATTTGACAAAGAAAAAAATCATATATTTTAGTTTTAAAATGTAATCATTTTTATATATCTTTATGTGGCGCTCGGAGCTCTTCTTCCAAAGGAGATCAATATAATATGAAAATGGCCACAACCACCCAGCCCTCTTAACATTCAAAATCTAATGCTAGTATAAATCTTTCCAATGAATTGAATGTTGTCGCAACACTCAAATGGAGCATTTGAATATTTTGCATCAGAAATAAGTAAAATGCAATATTTCTACTTGAAAATATTTTATTGCATCATGAAATTCCATGAAACATATGGAGATAACGAACAATATTCAAGATCAAAAGTCCATAAAACAATACAAAATAGGAGTAGAACAAACACGGACCTCCAAAACATTGGAGGGGGATCAGGTGCCATGGAGAAGTGAGCATCCATTGTCGACCGGTGTAAAGACGAATAATGACCCCCATCAATTAATGACCGGGGGGTCATTTTTCAACGACAAAAAGTGACCCCCATCCGTAGAAAAAAATCATTTTTTGTAGAAAAAGGGCCCTAGGGGGTCATTATTTTATATGTTAGTCCTATAAAATAATGACCCCCATTGAAAAATGACCCCCTTTAAAGTGATACAAAATATACACTCTTTGATATCTTTTTTACAGCGAAACTAATTTTTACATTTTCTGTAACCAGAAAAATACAAAAAGTCGTATGAAATAATTAAGAGATTCACGTAGTTTTTCAATTCTAAAATTGTGTTTGAAAAGAGATTCTTTAATTGTCAAGTAAATAAATTTTTTTTTAATATTCCTCCTTATAATGTTTGCTTAAAGAATGATATTCCACTTGTTTTTAGAAATCAAACCATGCAAAAATTAGGTTTAAATACTCTTTAATGGGAAAAATTAAATTTTCCGTCATTTCAACTTTTAGTTTGTTTAAGTTTGGCAAATTCTATTTGACAATGAAAGAGGAGGAAATTTTATCCCCCCCCCCTCCAAAAAAAAGAACATTACGTTAAAAAAAAAAAAAAAAATAATAAATGAAAAGCAAAAATATAAATAAAACTCTATACCTTTCAATAATTCTGAAAGAGGCTCTAGATAAAATATTGAAATGAAGTTAAGCCTTCACATAAGTACTATCATATCATAATTTACTTCGCCATGATTAAAGCATACTTTAAATGTTGGTGGAGGTATACTTGAAAGTATTGTGGCAAAGTAACAGTTAAAAATTAGTAGAAAAGTAGATTATTTTTAGCTTATTTTTAATTCCTTCTTATAGAAAAATAAAGGTAGGGTGTTTTTTTTTTTTTTTTTGCTTTTGTTCAAGATCGACTTCCTCCTAAATAAGAAAGGAGGTGGGGTAAGTATAAGACCTAAAAATATGCTCTGCAAAGCTATGGGCTAGTGTAAAATACACAGTCATTCTAATGCAAAAACTATACATGTAGACATAAACTTTTGATTTAGCACACAGTATTCATTACATTTCTCCTTAACGTAGAACCTACTTCGTATGACATCATAACTGGTAAATGTGTTAAACCTGTGCTAACCCATTTAGATGTCATAATTAATTCAATGCCACTTTTTCCCGTACTTGACAGCTTCAATAAAAATGGTAGAAAATACTGCATTTTGAAATTCACAGAATTCAATCATGCCAACATAATCTTAATTCAATTCATATATTTTTGGTTTATAATGCTTAATGACAATATATTTCTGGAATAAGAGAGAATATGTAGGCACCTTTTATTTACTAGATCTAGACCTGAAGTTGACAAACCCAAGACTATCTAGTGTAATGAAATTACAATGTACATACAACTTTCGTAATAATTTGAATGGTATGTAACCATTTTGAAGGAATGCATAAATCGTAAGAAATCTTTAGTTGCCAGCTATATAGTGTAATATCTTGATGAAATGTGTCTAAGTCAAAGATGTACGTGTTGTAGATCGTTTGATCGTGTGTACATTTTTGTGATATCTATAATGAAATGATGTGCATTCCTTTTAACAATTATTTGTTACCTATTCATATTCTTGGTGTTTGATTACAATTTTTCTATTAAATATGATCTTTTTAAAGTAAAAGTACAATTTCTGATAAATATTTAATCTGAAAGTAACCCCAAACAGTCATTTTATTATTAAATCCCGTGTAAATGCAAAAAGGTCTAGAATATGAGTATCGGCCTATCCAAACCGAGTACTTCCGCTCAGGCGCAGCGTTGATCTTAACTTTAGCTGAACTTGGTGAGATGGCTGTTAGCTCCTTAGTCAGTCTGTCTTTTATACCCGGAAACATGGTGGATCCCCCGGAAAGAACAATGTTACTGTACATGTCTCTCCGGATGTCGATGTCACATCCCATAATAGAGTTGTGGATTTGTTCATGGATACCACTGCATTCGCAACCTCTGGAGACAGATTCCAAAGTAGCGTTTAATTTACTTTGAATTATTTTTTTAAAGTGAATCTCTAAAAACTTTGATCAAAAACTTTCAAAGATTTCTGAGAACATAAATCTCACCTGAAAATGCTGGTTGAAATAATACTTCCGGACCTCGGAAGCGTTCGTTTCCAATGGTGATAACTTGTCCGTCCGGAAGTTCGTACGATTTTTCTAGGGCGGATGATTGTGCTGAGGCAAAGAGCTCGTGTTCAAAATCCAGAGCCACACAACACAGATTCTCTTTGATGTCACGAACGATTTCATGTTCAGCTAGAAAGGAATTGAAAACTGGTTTCAAAAAATATATAAATAAACGAAGATCATATGCAAGATTTAATATGATTTAAAAAAAAAAAGATAAATAATTAACTGGAATCTCACCTGAGTTATCGAAGTTGTATCCACGTTCATGAAGTATTCTTTGTAAATATTTGGTCAAATCTCTACCCGCTAAATCAACTCGCTTTATGGCATGGGGAAGCGCGTAGCCTGTAATTAAGTTAAAAAATAAATTATGTCTGATTAGTTCATAAAGAAAAACATTCTTTTAAGGAATATTATTAATGAAAAAATATTGCGAGGCATTTTTACAATATATTTTCAAAGTTTAATGTCAAAATCTTACCTTCGTATATTGGAACTATATGGGAAACTCCATCTCCCGAATCGAACACGATCCCAGTAGTTTTTCCAGAGCCATACAGAGAAAGAACTGCTTGGATGCTGACGTAAAACCCTGGAACATTGAATGTCTCAAACATGATCTATAAAAAACGAAGTTCTCATTTTACATTTTTACAAGTATCTATTTAGGGACTAAATAACAATACATGTAGATTGAAGAGACATTTTCTGTCAAGTAGCAATCTTCAAAAAAAAATCTGAAAATTATAGAAATGATAATTTAAAGAGGGGGTCAAGTTGATACCTGGGTCATTCTCTCGCGGTTGATTTTTGGGTTGAGTGGCGCTTCCGTTAGTATCACCGGGTGGTTCTCGGGTGCCACCCGCAGCTCTTTGTAGAAAGTGTGGTGCCAGATCTTTTCCATGTCGTCCCAGTTGGTGACGATTCCGTGCTCCAAAGGATAATCCAGAGACAACACACCTCTGTGGTTCTGTGCCTCGTCGCCGATGTAACAATCTTTGACTCCCATTTGCGCCATTACAATCTGTGAACATACATAAATTACAATTTTCTAATTGTATTTATTTTTTTCTACTAGTTTGAACACATGACTTATTAAATTAATTTGTATTTAATGATACCGTAGTTTAATATTGGAAAGCCTTACATCATATCTGGGTCTTCCTGTGATGGCGGGAAAAACGGCCCTCGGGGCGTCATCCCCAGCAAAGCCCACCTTGCACATCCCTGAACCGTTGTCAATAACAACGGGTGCAGTATCGTCTTCCATTATGTTGATAGGCATGTTTTTTAAATTAAGATTCCTGAAAAAACATTAAATAATATTATAGGTTTGTCTCAATTTTTTATTTTCATTTTAAAAATAAAATCTCTTGTACGTTGCATACTTAAAAAAATATTTACTGGTACACCATATCACGGCGGGGAATCTACGTCATCGTACAGGATTAGGACACACAAAAATGGAGGACAAATGCTCCGCTTCGATGTAAGAATTGATATTTTTGCACTTATAAAGAATGGATATTAAATCAGTACCCTGCTTAAAGTATGCCAAAGAACATCAACTAGAATATATATTGTACGTTTGTTCGTGATAGAATCTTATTGCTGCAAACACTTCAACACAATTTGAAAACAAGTGAGAAAAACCCGGGATGTGGGGCACACATTTTTAAAATTCGACCTATTATTCGCATGTCCAGATGTACTAGACATTTTATTCTTCCGCGTTTACACTAGAACTAATATTTTAAAAAATCCAGATTTGTTTAATAATTTATTATGCTTTAATTATCCAAGAAAAAAGTATAAATCATTTTATTTTCAGAAATGATGTAGGGCACACCAACACTAAAACGGATATGGGACACACAACAAGTTACTTTCAAATTGAAACATCGAGCATTCATATCTTAATGTTTCCATTTAAATGACTGCTATTTGATAGTATATGAACAAATGATTCTTCCACTGTATCATTCAGTTATCAAAGTTATGCTAAGTTACTGGTTTGGACTAAATACATTACATCTATCTTTTGTCCTACTCAAAGAAGCATACTCCGTCTCAAAAAGCCTCTTTTTAGAAAGTAAACCACCTTGGTTTGCATCCATTGAGACAATTTTGTGTCATTTGACTGCTTTTAAAAATATTGCCTTATCAAAATATAGTACTTGTTCATTTAAAAAGAAGTCATCATGTATTATAAGACAATATTTTATAAACCAATGGTATAGGAAAAAAAGGCAGGAAAATGATAGTAAACTAAGAACTTATTCCATCTTCAAAACCAAATATGGAAGAGAACACTATCTCAACATTGTCAATAACTATGATCAGAGCAAAAATATAATTTAACTTCGCATTTCTGCACATCAATTAAATATTGAAAGGGGAAGATATGCAGGACTTCTCCCTGAATCTAGAAAGTGTTTTCAATGTAATATACTAAAAGTTGAAGATGAACAACATTTTTTGCTAATTTGTCCAAAATACAGCAATGAAAGGTTGCAATTAATGGAAACAATATCAAAAATCAACCCAAACTTCTCTTCTTTGACACCTGCTGAAAAACTAATATGGATATTGAATAATAAAAATAAAGAAATTTTATGTTTACTTGCAAAATTAATTTCTGAAAATGATAAAAGAACCAATGTTTAAATACGTAGATTCTCTCATCATTTTTATGCATGCTAAGCCATTTTAATTTATACGTGTATAGCATCACATTTTTGTATTGTTTTGTGATCATTGACATTCTTCTGGACACTTGTATTATGTATGATCATTGACACTGAGAATAATATTATTAAGTAACTTGGTCATTTATATAACTGTTTAAAAAATTATATTATTAAAAAAAAGAATGTTTAAATTGTACATTTATGTATGTTGAAATGCCACTCGGGGCCCTTCATTGGTAAATAAAATATCTTGTATCCTGTATAGCACATCTTTGTAATACTCATCCAAATATTTGATTTTCCCTTGGTTTGCTTGTATCCATACAAAAATTCAAATATTATAAGTTGAAATGGCCTGCGTGATCCTCAACAAAAGCTACCAAAATGAATTTCAAATGTGTACTTTTGTTTGATATCATATTGAAAGATGTTAGTATATACATGTGCGGATCTAAAAGGAGGGATGACGTCCGGAGTCTATGTATATTTTACGTACTCTACGATATTTCTGTGTTAAGTAACACGACCCAGACGCTATTGAACGCACATGAAATAAGCTTTTTTTTAAGGTTGATTGTTTAATTTCTTTGCTTGTAAAAATATTTTGGAGTCAGAACTTTCTTTTAGTTTGTGTGGAATCCCCCCTCCCTCGAAAAGTTTCTGTATTCGTATATTCAGTGTTTGTATTTATTAGATCTTTGTCGTCAAGACTCTATAGTATGTCAGCTGATAGGAAGTGGAGATTAAGGAACTTTTCTAATTCTCAAATATTTGCAACGGCTGACAAACTTGTGTCAAAATTCTAATAGTTTATTACTGACTCCATATTTGAAAAAAAACAAAAACAAAGTTGAATGTTGTACTTCAGAGGTGGCTAAATCATTGTATTGATGAAAAAAAACCCTACAATTATTGTTTAATTATACATGTATGATCAGTGATTAAATATTACGTACTCATAAAGCAGTTCATGCCATCTTATTTACATTTGCTGGAATATTAGCCAGAAGCGATGATAGGAGCAGGGTTAAATAAATAATACTATAGCAGTATAAATTACTTTACTATACCAAAAAAAAAAAAGAAATAATGTCAAGCTCTTTTATAGGATATTAAGTTTTGGAGAGAGGGGGGGGGGGCATTATCAGAGAAAAATGACAGCTAAAAACCTAGCGTTGATTGGCAACAACGAAAAAACAATTTTTAACTTCAATTTTTGTTTTGGCCCTCCCCATCACTGGCAACCACTTTCATACATTCGATTACTAATTTTATGTTCACCTGAATGCAAGTTTGGAGCAAATAAAATAATAAATTTGTTTCAATTTGGAATTCCCCGATCTATTTATAGACCATTTTAGCATGTGTAGGGAAAACAATTCTTAAATTCACCTGGAGGGTCAGTTGTTGCAAATATTTGAGCATAAGAAAAGTTATTGATCTCTTTCCCACATTAAAAGACATGCTAGTGCCCAAGATCTTATTATTAATGCCAATATGCAGATTTAGGAATTCTTTGGGATTGAAGGAGGGTAGGGGGTCCATACAATCTCCAAAGAATTTTCTGACTCCCAACTATTTTGACAAGCAATAAAGTAAACATCCAACCTAAAATGAACTTACATGTATTTAGTGAGTGTGTATATGTATGTGTGTTTTTAGTTTTTATTTTGTTTTTGTTGTTTGGTTTTTTTTTGGGAGGGGGGGGGTGGCGGATGTCGTGTAACTTAAAATAGAAATATCATAAAATAAACACACAATCTCCGGACTTCGGCCCCCCTCTTTCTATAGTATAGATCTGCACAAGTGAACATTGGTGAAGTTCTACATGAAATTTAATAAAATTCAAAATTTAAAATTCTTGTTGGAAGCTTTTGTTGAGGAATAGACCAGCATTTTCAACTTATAATTTTTGTTTGGATACAAGCAAACGAAGGGAATCAAATATGTGGATGAATATCACAAAGATGACTTTTACAGGTTATTGCTTACATACTATCTAACAGCAGTCATTTGAATGGAAACATTAAGATATGAATGTTCGATGTTTCAATTTGAAAGTAACTTATTGTGTGTCCCATATCCGTTTTAGTGTTGGTGTGCCCTACATCATATCTGAAAACAAAATGATTTATACTTTTTTCTTGGATAATTAAAGCATAATAAACTATTAAACAAACCTGGATTTATTAAAATATAAGTTCTAGTGTAAACGCGGAAGAATAAAATGTCTAGTACATCTGGACATGCGAATAATAGGTCGAATTTTAAAAATGTGTGCCCCACATCCCGGGTTTTTCTCACTTGTTTTCAAATTGTGTTGAAGTGTTTGCAGCAATAAGATTCTATCACGAACAAACGTACAATATATATTCTAGTTGATGTTCTTTGGCAAACTTTAAGCAGGGTACTAATTTAATATCCATTCTTTATAAGTGCATATATATCAATTTCTTACATCGAAGCGGAACATTTGTCTTCCATTTTTGTGTGTCCTAATCCTGTACGATGACGTAGATTCGCCGCCGTGCATATAGAAGAGCAATCCATTAAAACTGAAGTTTAATTAGACATAACACAAAAATATAAAAAAAAAAATCATATTAGAATAACTTACCTCTTTCAATTTGCCTTGTTCAGTTTTCAGTGCTTTCTGCAGTTTGATTTCAATCTGTCAGAGTATACCCTTATATACCTGTACAAATTGTGAAAACTCTGAAAACATTTCAGGAATTGGGTAATTTAAGTATTCAACAGAGCTGTTCGCTTCCAAACAAGGAGATGTCTCCTCCCTTAATACCTTATATGTAAAAGGAGTTTAAATCTAAAAATAGCTATTTTAAATGGGTAGATATATTTACAATTTTGTTGTGCTTTTTGATTTCTTGAGTCAGTGAATATTTATTACTAGTAGTTTTTGGCAAAATATTGTTTTCTTTCAACCATCATTATATCGAATTTATTTATTTCTAGATATACATAAAAAGTATACTTTATTAAAGAATGTTAAATATTATTTATTAACATTTTTGTTGATGACGTTGATGTTATTATTTATCTACGGGAACTTGTCAAGACAACAATACCAGGCCTATATGAAATAATCTCAGTTTGGGAGGGGGGGGGGGCACAACTATACATTTTCAGTTGAGGGGGGACACAATCAACTACCAAAGGTTCCTTGACAAGAAAAAAAGTCATCAGACTATATTATTGAGGGGACAAAAACGTATAGTAGCTATGTCCTTTATAGTATTCTATATATCGACAAAATAAGGGGTCACACACTCCATGCCCCCCCCCCCCTCCCCCGCTCGTCCGATTCCTGAGGTCATGAGTAATACTAGTATTTCTTACCTGCTTAGTAAAGTAAGAGTTTATTGTGTTATACGTACATAGTATATAAATACGATTACGAAATATACGGACATAATTCATGAATTGTGAGTTAACGTCATAGAAATACCCCCCCCCCCCCTGTCCAAATAAAGAAAAGATAAGTACATTAGTTAATCGTCTAGGTCAAAGGGCCAGAAATCTTACCATGCTCGAAAATATCCTGTCACAGGTAATGCACTGTCAAATATGAAGGCTC